TATATAAAGATCGGTAATACAAAAGAAAAATAAGATAAAAATGTTTTTAAAATAAAATAGAAAGGTGTTATTTGAATAAGTACAGAAGTTATATGTAATATTACTGGTACTACGTGCAACCTCCTCAGAATTAAAAGTATTAAAGTTTAGTATTGCATATCTGAACGCACCCTGCCCGAGATGGAAAATAAATTATCTGTGGACTTTCTTAAAAACCAAAGTTAGTCAAACATTCTATTAGTTCTCGAGTTTTAGTGAGACTAATCTAAACCGCTCTTATAATGAATTACATTAAAAACGGTAGATTTATAAAAGACTAGCCTTATAAGAGACTTATAAAAGACTTCCTGCGACTTTGTTCGCGTAAAGCTTATGTTACCTGCGCAGGATCAGTTTCCCGTAGGAGAAAAGATTTTTTAACTCTGTCTAGCATTTTAAAAGCCTATTCAATACCATCAAACAGACTATCAAATCCCCTTTATAATATTAGTATAGAAGAACTCGTTCACATTTCCAAACAGTGTCTGATATTTTTAAAATTCAAGGTGATCCTTACTGATATTTTTAAATTACTTAAATATTAATACGCTTCGTTCATTAAAAACAAGAATGCAGTTTTCTAGGAAGTGTTTAATAGCTGATTACTTAGCCAAGATGAGGTCTAGGTGAGTGGGAATGAAGAGTTTGTTTCTTTGTTCTTTCTGACGTTTTCAATTCTATGCGACTATAAGATGCTATAAAGTTATGCAAATGTAGTTAATCGTCAAATTTTCCGGGTTGAATAATTAGAAGTTATTTGAATAAATAAATAATATACATTGCATACATTGTTCAGATTCGAAGACAAGTATTGCTAACTAAATGTATTATGCTCATCGTATTATGGTATATTTGAATGAAGAATATACACCAAAACCCAGAACTAAACCATTTCACACAAGTTTATTTTGTGCATTGACCGGGAATCGATTATCTGCCCTGCGATTCTGTAAATATTCAGACCAGAATTCGTATTCATTCATGTGTCAGAATTCACGTCGTTAAGTGTAGAAATTCTATTGATTCTAATTTTGATGTAAAATACAAAACACATTTCGAAACTCATTTCACTTATGCCATAAAACGTTATTACCAATTCAAGGTTGAGGGGGTGCCGCTTTTTGTAGTGAATTCAGACACCTGAGTGAATTCGAATTCGGGTATGGATTTTTACAGAATCGCAGGGCTGAACCTTGAAACCGGCGTTCGAGCCACTGGGCCTTTTATGATGTCTTTAATAATCTGATTAGCTGTTTTCCCTCATCTTTGCTTGCGTAAAAAGTAGTTTCGGAATATACTCGATACAAACAAAACATACCATTAACATTCAAATCTTTCCTCTTTATAATATTAGTAAAATATGTCGCAGTGTATAATCAGCCGATCAATCGGGCGGCAAGCCCTATAATTTAATGGCGCCATTTGATTAACAGGCTGACTTTCGATCAGCCGAGTAGCTTATAGTAGGGATGTTAAAAAATAATCGATTTTTATTTTAATCGATTATTATTTTAATATAATCGATTTTTATAATCGATTTTCCATGTCATATTAATCGATTTTTAACAAATCGATTAAATAAATTGCGCGGTTAAATCGATTTTCATAAATAGCATCATCTATGCGCCAAATGTAAAAACTCGAAGCATTATTACTTAAAAGTTGATTATATAAAAACGGCGCCATCTGTAGGTATGTAGGTATATATGATCTATTTCATGGCGACCGTGACCACGATGGTCCGAAGCTACAAAATAGTGGTGTGAATAGTGACATGGGACGGAGGTCAAGCTGTTAGTTATTTTCCTACATACTTATAATGGGATAGACAGCAAATGATTATTACTCCGAGAATTAAATTAACTATGTTTATCAATTGGATATAAAGAGAAGATGCAAGAAATTTTTAAAAGAAGTCATTGAAGAAACTGCAATGGTTGTAATACAAAAAGTAATTAAATGATAACGAAGAAGAAATGGCGGATAACCGAAGAAAAAAATATGTAAGAAGAATCTGATACTCAAGATGACATTAGAATAACATCGATGTTGACATCGATATCATCATCGTAAGTCCAACATCGATGTTGACATCGATATCATCATCGTAAGTCCAACATCGATGTTGACATCGATATCATCATCGTAAGTCCAACATCGATGTTTGATATTTATCGAAAACTAAACATTTACATTCATGACAATTTTTATTTTTATTATTATATTTAATTTTTTGCGACAATATTATATGGTTGTCATTTTGATGGGGTGCTCATTTAATTTTTATTATTATATAACGTTTAAAGATACTGAGAATTTCTATCAATAATGATATTTGGTTTTATTATTCCTTACCTTGAAAGTTTAAAAGAACATTTGCTTTGATTTTTAGTTTTGAATTGTCAATTTTTTTATTCATATTATTTTTTTTTTAATCTGATTAATTGTTAATATGAATCTTTTAGGTTTATTATTGGAATATGCAAAGCATGTAGGATTTTAAATAATAGAAAAAAATCTATTTTTTTCGCAAAAATCGATTATTTATTTTCATTAAAATCGATTATTGACAAATCGATTTATAATTTATAAAAGATAATCGATTTTTATTAAATCGATTATTTTCTATTAATCTCACATCCCTAGCTTATAGCTTTTTATAATACGGCTGAACTAAGCCAGCCAACTAATAAACTGTCAATTTATCGGGGATACCGAAATTTATTGGTTAAATTAGAAGTAAAACAAAATAAATATTTTAGTAGTTGATTTTATATAAAACTCAAAAAGTTTTTACGATCTATTATCGATACAGATACATGACTGATCAAAAAGATAACAAACTGCTTATTCGCGACTGGATGTTAATGATCCGTATGTCCAATACAGAAAGCTAACGTACACACCCGTAACGCAAGTGGGGTAAGCTTAAACTTATATGATAAATTCTTAATACTAATACAATTATACAAAGACAAGATATACTGCGATTAAGACAGCTGCAGAGCCATCTATCGAAAATGAGATTATGCAATGTATTTCACTGCGATTGTTTTAGTATGTTTATTTTAACATATAACAAAATAAATAAACGTTTTGACGGCTTTTAAATCAGCCGCTTTGTTGACCGGTCGAAATGTCATAATGATTCAACGCAGTTGTTTGGAGCCTTTAATTAAAAGGTTAGCCGCCTAATTGCACTGATGTTGACTGCGACAGCTGCACTATCCACATGAATATTATGCTTCCGCAATATCAAAATCTAATGCAACTTTTACAAATCTACTGCAAGGTTATCAACAATTACGTAAATAAAAGACAATAACAATTTAATAACTCTATTTCTGGTAAAATCTGGTTATCAAATCTTTAAAAACAACATTCCTCTTAATATGAACTTTATATTCTATGAACATTTTCTTAATCGGAAGAAACGTGTTTTGAATATCACAAATCAGACTCAATGGGTGGTTCTGTGGCCACAACATTCCAGAAATCATAAATATTTATCTACTTTAACAGTAGCAGTAGTTCGCACAGTTTGCGATTGCGAATGTTAAGCTACTTTCCCAAAGGTCAGCCATCGGATGGGTGACCAAAATTGTATTATGGTCAGTCTTCAGAAAGTTATGTCGTTGGGTCCGACTGCATTTGCAGCGTGAGAATATACCAGCCCGCATTGGGGCTCTCATTGCTTCGTGAATTATAGCCCGTTTACCCCGTGTTTCTATTCAATCAGGCCTAAGCCGCAGCAGTATACTCCTATTGCTGCGGTTCTATATTAATAGAACAATGATGATGACTTTTTTATTTTATTTTGTCCTTACGTACCATTATATTTGCTTTTGAACAAGCTAATCATCGATGCTTCAATGAAATTACTACAATTATCATAATTAAGAGAGCGCGCGATTTTATCACACAATTGTTCGTCCATAATTTTTAGCCTCCTCTGATTTACATTCCTATCTCCGTATACATTCCTAATAAAATCAACATAAATTAAAAATCATCCAAATACACGACTGACGTTGAAAAAGTAGTAGCATACCTAAATAAAAAAAAATAAATAAAAAGCAAGAATTGACTAAAACAAATAGAATAAAATTTCGTTTATGTATTATTCTTTTTAATATTTTGTGTGTGTGGTTAAGGGGGTTTGTTGACTGACTGTTACTGATTAAAACTTAGTGAGATGCAATGAGAAAATGATAGAAAACACCCGGTTTCTGAATTGAATATTTGAAGTTAAGCGTGACCTGAACAAGTTTTTGTTTCTGATTTTAGTTTTTTATTTTGATAAACAGTTGTTAGCAGTTTCTGCATACGGGCAGTGCTTTAGGCCCTGATGAGTGCTTTACACTGCCTGTATGCAGAATAATGACACGAGATATCCTGTAACAATTGCTCTACAAAAAACGACACGTGCATGATAATTGCACGTGAACCATTTTCTTCATGATTTTATTATGAAAGATTAAGAGAGATTATCGTTTCAACGCAAAGAACAATAACTTTAAGATCGCGTGAAGATATATATAATTATTATGAGAACTAGCTCGGTGGCGTAGTGGATAAGCGCCGCGGCCCGCGATCGTTGTCGTTAAGCAACTTTCGCAAGGGTCGGCTACGGGATGGGTGACCAAAAAATTATTATCTCGAACTACTCTGTGCTTCGAAAGGCACGTTAAGCCGTTGGTCCCGGCTGCATTTGCAGTCGTTTATACCCTCCAATCCGCATTGGGCCAGCGTGGAGGGTCATGGCATATCCTCCTTAACCATCCATAAGGAAGGCCTGAGCCCCTGCAGTGGGGACGTAAAAGGGCTAATGATGATGATGAGATCTACACAAATACTTTAGACACTTTTTTATTTTCATCCAGAATGTACTTTGTAAGAAGTATTCAATTATCTTGTTGTTTTGTTGACTAGGACTAACCTTTCCAAACTTTTTTTCACAGCCGCAAATAATAGCATCCAATGGCTACCCGATTGAGAAGCATCGAGTTAAGACAGAAGACGGCTATATACTACAGATGCATAGGATACCAGCCGGGAAGAGATCGGCCAGGAGATCTAATACTTACGGCGGGAAGGGCAAGAGAGCTGTCCTGATCGTACACGGACTATTAGGAAGCAGCGGGGATTTCGTCATTATGGGTCCAAGGAATAGTTTGTGTGAGCGATCTGTTATTTTGACATATCGATTAGAATTGTACTTGTAATAATTATTAGACTTGACTGGACATGTTGCTGCGTAACTAGATTATTCCAGCATCTTTGTACTGCTATAGTTGCTAACACTAAACTTTTTTTTTACATTTCAGCATACATATTAGCAGACGCGGGGTACGATGTGTGGCTTGGAAATTTGAGGGGAAACATGTACACTACACATCAGAATCTCACACGAAATGATCCTGCATTTTGGGATTATAGGTAAATTTTATTTACGAATAGCATTCAAATGTAATCTCTTTAAAGCATAGATACTTAAATGATAATACATACAAACATTGAAATCGATCTTTTAAAGACTGAATACCATATACAACAACTATTGTAATGAAAGAAAATAAAGATGATAATATGTGAATTATGATGAATGTAATATCCTGATTGGATCATAGCTGGTTAGTTTGTCAAATATCAGAATTATAAAAAGTAGCAATACATAATATATTAAATGTCAAATTGTAGTTTCCACGAACACGGAAAGTATGACGCGCCAGCGATGATTGACAAGGTGCTCAACGTGACGGGACTTTCCAAGATCTTTTACATCGGCTACTCTATGGGCACCACTACTTTCTTCACCATGATGTCCCAGAAGCCTGAGTATAATGACAAGCTGATCGCTTTTGTGGCACTCGCTCCGGCCGTGTATATAGACAACATGAAAGAAATATCAGTGTTCTTCCTCAAGTCCATGGATATCGCCGTAAGTATTTCTGTTATTTATTAAAATTTATACTTATGCTCAAGAATGAAGTCGACATATTTTCTTATTGGTAACGTAGCTTACATAAATATTATTGTCTGCATGTTACATATTTAAAGTTATCTTCGAGATTATTGTTTAGTGTACCTTAACATATTTAAATTACTATACGAAGAAATCAGGACTTAATAAAACAAATAACACGGGGTCATAAAACAGACCCTAAAGAGATTATCGCGATACAAGATGCGATACTAGCCGTTCTTTTTTTTTTTTGAAACTCGACCTTTAATAATTTATAAACTTTATAGACTTACGAACATAAATATGTACATAGTACATTAAAATAATATAATAGACATGAATTTAATTTGAGAAAAAAGACTAACAAAAAAAGATGAATTACGTTAGGATGATATGCCTAAGAGAAATGTGAATGTAGAGATGACAACGATACGTTAGAAGTGTAGATATTGTACCGATCCTTAACAAAATTAGGGCTAGGATATGACGCAAGTGAATCATAATATTTTATATAATTACCGTACCTATATTAATAACAAGTTTCACGCAGACGACGCTTCGTCAAAGAGGCATGTTGGCGGTTGGATTAAAGCAAGACATCATGGACTTAGTAGCTGAAAACTTTTGCACAGCCAAAAATCCAGACCAAGATGTCTGCATGCGGTTTATATATGCTATAGTTGGGGAAGATTATGAACAACATAATTGGGTATGTAATATAAATTATAATTAATGCCTCATTTACTAAGTCTATTAATGAATTATGTTCTAACCGATTTAACTCTTTTTTTTTTCAGGATATGACACCGATAATCATAGCAAGAGCACAACCAGCGTCTTGGAGACAACTGGAACATTACGGGAAAATTGCCATGACAAGTATGTAGTTCTTAACTTGTCAGCAATAAGACGTAATTTATTTAATATTAATATAACTGATTTCCTTGACCAAAGACAGCTGTTTTAGAATTTCTTTATGTATTAAGAACACAAAAGATCAGTAATTACAATATGTTTTAGGTGTATTCACTGAGTGGGATGATGGTATGGAAGGAGCTGTGAAACCTTATAAACTGTCAAATGTCAGAGTACCCGTTTCCATATTATATGGAGAGAATGACTTGCTTGTGGAAAAATCGGTAAGTTTTACCCTACAGAAAATACTTTAAAATATAAAACTAACATTTAGTATACTAATAAGAAAAGATTTTTTTTTTAATATTTGTTGACAAAAATAGTAAAGCCTGATTATATAATTACCAATATAATATGAAAATATAGGAGTGAGCAAGGTTTCATATGGTTGCTATTGAGAGAGAGTGTATGTTAATTAAGTGTGCAGTCAGACAAGTTTTTACTTTAACTCAATTATTATCTCGAGCTTTTAACTCAATTATTATCTCGAGCTCTCAAGCTCATGCTTTGCAAGATACTTCAAGCCAAAATAATTTCATCTGGAATCATCATAACCCATCAATCTGCATTAGACCGCAGCGGTCACCGTGGGGAAATACGACCGCGACCCTCCAGTGAAACAGAAACATCACCAGAAGCAACACCAACAACAAAAACAACAAGAATACATTAGAAATAAAACCACACTGAACATTTGCACCTACAACGTACGGTCTCTGGCATCAACAGAGAGGTACCTAGAACTAAACAACGCGCTAGCACACATTAATCATGACATAATAGGATTAAGCGAAGTCAGAAGGATGGGTTGCAACATCGAGGAAAATGAAAACTATATCTTCTGCTACATCGGGCAAACAAAGGGCCTGTATGGAGTGGGATTCCTAATTAAAAGGAAGCTAAAAAATCAAATAAGAAACTTCATAGGAATCTCAGAAAGAGTAGCGCTTCTGCAACTTAAGTTTGAAGAGTTAGATCTATCAATAATACAAGCATACGCGCCCACTGAAAAATCAAATAAAATAGAAGTCCAGAAATTTTACGACGACATAAAAGAAGCACACAACATAGCTGACAACAAAGTAATCGTAATGGGCGACTTCAACTCAAAAGTAGGACATCCAAAGAAGGAAGAAAAGATTATCATGGGCAACTACGGCTATGGAGAACGCAACGAACGAGGAGAAGAATTAATTGACTACGCACTAGAATACAACCTATCTATAATGAATACTTTCTTCAAAAAAAGGCCAAACAGAAAATGGACGTGGATATCACCAGATCAGAAAACAAGGAATGAAATAGACTTTATAATGACCAATAATCCTAAAATGATTACAAATTACGAAGTAATGAGCAAGGTGATGTTCCCTTCTGACCATAGATTACTGAGAGCAACCTTCGTCTTGAATCACCCTATAAAAAGCAGAAAAAACTTCACTTCACTGCCGAGAACTATCAAGTCCGAAGAAGAGGCACAAAACTACTTCAGATGCTTGACAAGGAAATTAGAAAGTATATCAGAAAAATCAAATGTTCAGGAATATTACAAAAAAATAGAGGAATCAATACAAATCAGCATAAAACAAAGAACCGAGTCGCACCACAAAAAAACTAACAAAATCTTCAGTGAAAATACAATACGATTAATCAAAGAACGTACCGAACTAATGTCTACAAAGAAAAAAGACCCTGGACAGAAAAAGAAGCTTAGCAACCTGTTTAAAGAAACAAGGAACTCTATTAAAAGGGACTACAGCAAACATAGACATGAAATAATAACAAGAAATTTAAGAAAATACAGAAGCACCAAAAGAGCCATAAAGGAACTAAGTCTAAGCAAATCATGGATACAAAAACTAGAAACCAACAAAGAAGAAACAAAGTCAAGAAAAGACGTAATAGACCACGCAACTAAATTTTATAAGGAATTATATAGTAAAAATGAAAACAATATAGTAGAAGCAACAGACGAGACATTCAACACAAGCTCTATAGTGAAGCCAATTGAAGAAAGAGAAGTATTTGAACATATAAGACTGCTTAAAGCCGAAAAAAGCCCTGGCCCAGACGGTTTGTCAAATGAAACCCTTAAACTAGGTGCGCCAATTCTACTTCACCACCTAACTCACTTATTCAATATGATACTAGACTCAGAAACTGTACCAGAACAATGGTGTACATCAGACATCATACTGCTTTATAAAAAAGGCAATCCTATGGACATCGGAAACTACAGACCAATTAGTCTACTGGCGAGTATCTACAAACTCTTTTCTTCAATACTATTAAATAGAATAGCTAAAACAATAGATGAATCACAACCGAAGGAGCAGGCAGGATTCAGGGCAGGTTTCAGCACAACCGACCACATTCAAACATTGGACCAAATCATGGAAAAATATAAAGAATTCAGCAGAAACCTATATGTCGCCTTCATCGACTACAGCAAGGCATTTGACAGCATCAGCCACAGCGCAATATGGAACGCCCTATCACAGCTAAATGTCGAACAAAAATACATCAACATCTTAAAAAACATATACGTAAAAAGTACGAGTCGAATAAAACTTGAAACAAAAGGCGACGAAATAAAAATCGAGAGAGGGGTCCGACAAGGCGATCCCCTATCACCCAAAATCTTTATTGCTGTCCTAGAATGCATATTCCGTAATCTTAACTGGGAAAAAAAGGGCATAAGCCTAGAAGGCTGTAAGCTCAATCATTTGCGTTTTGCGGATGACATAGTCCTAATGGCCGAAACTGCCAAAGAACTTGAGGAGCTTATACAACAATTAAACAATGAAAGTACAAAGGTTGGCCTACATATGAACGCCTCAAAAACAAAAATCATGACCAACAGCCACCAAGTACCAATTAAGTTAGAAGGAAAAAATATAGACTATGTCAACCAATACATATACTTGGGGAAGCAAATGTCATTTTCAAAGTCGAACAATATGGAAGAGGTAGAGAGAAGAATAGGCATAACATGGAGAAGATTCTGGTCACTGAAAGAAATCCTGAAAGGAAACTATAACATAAACCTAAAAAAGATAGTTCTTGATACATGCATTCTGCCCAGCTTGCTCTATGGCTGCCAAACGTGGACCCTCACAGACAAAATAAAAAGGAAAATAAGAACCACCCAAAGAGCCATGGAAAGAAGCATTCTTAAAATAAAAAAAGTACACAAAATAAGAAGCGAAACCATAAGAGAGCGGACTGGAGTTCGGGATGCACTTACCATGGCCCTTAAACTAAAATGGAAATGGGCTGGATATGTGGCACGCTACAAAGATAAAAGATGGACACTAATAGCAACCAGGTGGAGAGGTCCCACAGGGAAAAGAAATGTAGGAAGACCGTTTAAGAGATGGAAGGATGACATAGTGGAAACAGCAGGGAAAGACTGGCTGCTCAAGGCAAAGGACAGAGGAAAATGGGACAAGCTGGAGGAGGCCTTCACCCTAAGAGGGGTCCAACTTAAAGATTGACTTGACTAACACTACTAACAACTAGTCTATAGATATACTACTAACAATCTTACTAACGACATTTAGATTGTAAAGAAAATAAGATATATAGATTATGGCCTATTTTCTCTATGTAATTTAAACCAGAGGAAAGCCTGTTCATAAGCAAAGGGGGATATTTATAATTTGATAATGATAAAAAAGATTAATGATAACTTATTTATATATTTGATCAATTTTGCATTTACAATGCTATAGAATATATACATATTTTTCATTCTTAATCAAAATAAAAAAATCCCCTTTGTTCTTGGCACTCTGAGATGGGACTTGATCCCATGACAATTCAGGCGACTGCTCTAACTACTGAACTACCCAAGACCTAATAGGAATGATGAATTTTTATAATAACCTACCTAATTTAATCTTTCAGGGAATACTCAGATTAGCAAAGAGCCTCAACGAAACAGGTGTTCTCCATTCCATTAAACCAGGCTGTAATTGGCCTAAATTTAACCATCTGGACTTTGTTTTCGCCAAAGATCTCGGTAAACTAGTGAACAGACCATTGGTGCGTCATTTAGATGAATTGTACAATAAATATTACCAACAATGAATCATGCTTTTCAATCTAGAATATATTTATATTTCAATAAATGTGCCAACCTTATCATTATTTTATTGACAGCCCTGCGATTCTGTAACAATCCAGACCCGAATTCGAATTCACTCATGTGTCCGAATTCTCGTCATTTAGTATAGAAATCATATTGATTCCATTTTTTGTATAAAAAAACTAAACAAAATTAATTGATTAAACGTGTCATAGATATTTTAATCCTATATCATTTCAAAACTCACTTCACTTATTTCATGAAACATTATTACCAATTCAAGTTTGAGCGGATGCCGCTTTTTGAAGTGAATTCAGACACCCGAGTGGATTCGAAATCGGGTTCGAAGTTTTATAGAATCGCAGGGCAGTACTCAATTAGTCTATAACCCACATTCACTAAGAAATGAATACAATACCATTGATAGGTATAGGTATTCATCCAGTCTACGATACCTACTACACTCACACCCTATATATTAACGAGATAAATTGTTTCTGGTCTGCTCTGATTTAACATACAATAAGACATTCTCTGATGATATATTGACTATACACTCATCTATTAATACATAAAAAAGATGCTTTCCGCTGTCTGTATGAAGAGATCTTTTAAACTACACTACTACTTTTAATGAGGTTTTCATCCAATATACAGATTGATTCAAGACAAAGATTTATATCTATAATCATAATACAGGATTGTGCGGGTGAAGCCTCTGGCAGAAAACTAGGGCTGTATATTATTAATCAAATCATCAACTAATGAAAATCAGTTTCCATAGCTGGACATGTGGTAATTCTGCAGATACAATCTTATACAGGGAATGTTTATGAACCTCTGAACATCAGATTGTGGAAAATTTGTTTCATTGCATATTCATTTGTCTTTTAAATTACAAAAATAGATAGAGAGGCTAGTGTGATTTACAAGGGCCATATAAGCATAAGCAGTAATATATCATAGAGAAATAATATAGTATAAAATAATTTACATTTTTATGCTTTACTCAAATCACACTATTTTAGAACTGTGTTTAGAATGCACATAAGGATTAGCATAATGCATCTGGCTGTTATTCATTTTGTTCAGAGCTTGATGCAATAAATAAGAATTGCCTTCAGTTTACCTTACAAACTGTAGTTTTTACTGCCGCAGGCAATACTTTGACTCCAGTCCCAGGTTGAGAAGCTGCCATTCTATGTTTTTGAAAGTCCCATTTACTCCATCTGAAATAAATAAAAAAATGTATTTATCTAAACAAAACATATAATATTAGGCCAATAAACACATTACATTTGAAGGGACAAATCTACTACCGTTAAAATGTAAACTGGAAACATGTTTTGCTTTTGTGTTTTACAAAAAATAACAAGCTTAACTAAATTTCTGAATAACAAAATACAGTATTTAGTACAAGTTATTTTAATGTCTATTAACAACAAATGTGACTTGAAGATTAACTATTAATTAATTACATGATGATACCATAGCATAATAAATATATTGTTGATTACAATTTGAGGAATTGATAACATTCCCAGTCACAGACGTAGACACCGCTCTCGATAATCTCGGTACAGTAAGAAGATGATACAAATCATCGTAGAGCTAAATTGTTTCCCTCCATGTGAAATATTTAGAATTAATAATATTAATTAAATTAAGAAACATAAATATTGGCATCTCCTGAAGCAAATGAAACTGATAATCTGCAATAGTTTAGAATGAAAATAAAATAAATTAAGCAATAGCATATTTAAAAATAAATTACCTATTAGATTAATATAATCTTACTATATTTTTAAAACTTTACGTATCCATAAAAATGATTATTTTACTTTTTTCGAAATTGACTAGTAAGAAGATACTACGTATCAGACGGGAAACTTCTAAGAACCAATTATGGCACGGTATTTTAGAGTTTGACACATTTTTACTTTTTAATATTTCCTTAGACCTCTATCAATGGTTATGATTGTCTAGCGCGGGATATTTAAAAACTCAATACCGCGAAATTCAAATTTTCCCAATTGGCAGAATAAACATTCGCCCGTACAAACAAAATTTCTATTAATTTTTTTTTTGTACCTAGTTATGATATTAATCATTATGTAATCCAAGTGTAATCTATTTAAATATAAGTCTATTATATTAGCAATAAATAATAATAATACTGTTTCAGGATTTTTTTTAAATTTCATATGAAATTAAATGAAATGAAAATGTCTTTATCAAAAAAAAAATGGAAAAAAGTCCAAAAAAATTTTTTTTACCCTACTTCTTGTACAGGACTTCTTTTAGATGACAAGAAAAATAAAGCGAAAGAAACTTACCAGCCTTTATCATAAGTATTACATTTATTATATCATCCCATTACCAAAATAGTACGTATTATATATAACAATAATAAATATAGTTTTCATAGTCAAGGAAGGAATTAATTTGAGACAAGGAATAAAAAATCGTAAATTATTTTCCAAAGAAACTTTATTTCCAATTCATACATAATAATAAATTTAATTCCGTAAACTTTAAAAACATTATGTAATTGCAGCAAACTGCTGTAAATTATTGTTTTATTTATGCAACATTTTATTTTTAAGTTTTTTTGTATATTTTTCTAAAGCTTTCCTTTGCATATCAGGTAATTGTTTTTCGTTTAAGCGTAACAAATCGACCCCTCTTAATATTTTATTAATAACAGAACACCAATTAAACAAACACAATTTAATTGTTACATCAAGAAAATAATCACAGATAGCTCCATAGTGCTTTTCACATGTTAGGAAATTGAAATTATGTCTACCAATTCTTTTTTCTATTTCTCTGGAAATGAAATTGACATTTGGTTGTAATTCCAAATATTCATTGGCTTGATTAACGATTACGCTAAACAAATTAACAGCCTGCTCCGAGGGATAGGTAAGTTTCATTTTCTTTTTAAAATCTTTAAATTCCCTATGCGATATCCAGGTGTGAACAGAAGACTCATTATTTTGGGTGAGATTATTTTTGCACTCTGAGCAATTAAATTTGTTGAGGCATTTCCGCACTACCCATCCCGCAGTGTAGGCACGAGAGTGAACATTTAGTCTTTCCCTACGAGCTTCTGTGATGAGATTTTCTTTTTCTCCAGGAGACATTATTGTGGCAGTTTGACAGGAAGACGTTATCATTTCTAAATTGTCTTCCTGGTTATGGTGAAATAAATTTTTTAACTTTATTATTTGGTCTCCTGAAGAATCTTCACAATTGTAAGTGTCAGAATGAAAATGGATAAACCTTGTAATTAAGAGGGATCGAAATATATTTTTAAATAACTTACAATTTGGGTCGTTATTTCTAAAGCTGTATGCCCGTACCTGGCCAAAAAAGTTTTCCAGTGGGTCAGTATTGAAATATCGGGGACGCATTAATTTGCATCCCCTACTTTGAAAGAAGTGCCATAACCTTATCAAACTTTTTAAAGTTGTAATAAAATTTTTTTGGGATGGCACCACGCATTCCCTGGCATTATTGTCAATGAATTTTAAATCTTCCAGCTTTTTAATAGCATCTTTCCAAAATGAAATATGTTTCGAGTTCTTAGATGCAGCTTGCCTTAGAGGTTTGCCTTTATTTTTTATCGTGATTGACGATCCATTACAGGAATCAAAAAGGTCATCAAAGAATGACACCATTTTGGCAGTGTTTAGTAAAGTTTCACTGACTAGCTTTCCATCCACATAGTGTGCTGTAAAAAAAGAAAACTGTAAAATAGTGTTACCTTGCCAATGAAATTTCAATTAAACCACAAGAATTTACTTACAAAAGTTTGCTGTGTATCTTAAAGCACTTGCTACGGTTTTACTGAGCACACGAGTACAATTCTTTACCTAAAAAGTAAAGATTTTTATAATCATTATTTAATCTTTAAATTATATGATATTTCTACTCTATTAATTTACTTACTTTCATTTTCTTTATTTTTTGGGGTATGACATGTTCGTCATTTAATTTATGCAGCATACGCATTTCTGCATGTTTGCAATCTGTATTGTAAACATCAACTATGTCATCCCACTTCGATATTTTCCCATTATATTTAATATTTTTATTTAAGAAATTATTTCTTATCCCTTTGATAAGATGGGGTGGATCATATAAAATACTAATTTTTTGGTTTTCTATTATAATAGTATCATCTGAAATAAAATCATACAGCTATTAAAAAAAACTACATAGTACTGACTATTGTAATAAATATCATCTTGGTCTAACCAAGAAAAGAAACATTTTAACTATTAATATAGATGCTTATGTACTTATGTTTTAAACAGTTTTTGTTTTGTATCAATAGGCTCAGAGAGCAATTTAAAATAATGCTACCTAGGTGATGCGTAATCATATCAAGGTTACTTATGCTATAATTTACGCAGGTGAGTTCTTGGAAAACAGTTAGTTTAAGATAATTACAAAAGAAAAATTTTAAATCATACCATAAGTTTCATCCATCTGAATTTGATGTCTCTTTGTTTCTTCTTTTAACTTCTTTATAGCAGACTGAAATGAAGTTCCTTGATCACATATTAGTGCCACAGGTAACAATCCTGTTTTTGTTACCTCTGTTACAACAGTTTTTATTATATTTTTTAAAACAGTGCCAGAAGTAGCTCCCTCACAAAAATAAAAACATACTGGTTGTTGCCATTTGTGTAAGGCTCCACGAACCATAAAAACTAACGCATGATCAGCATAATTATTTGCCTTTTCATTTAGCTCAACAAATCCACATATACTGTCACTGTGCTTGTCATAAGCTAATCCCGGTTCAAGAGCAACTTCATCAAAGAGGACAGAGCAGTATTTCTTTGTTTCAGGCCACTTTGCAATCTAGAAATGTTATACATTTTGAAATCACAAAATTAAAATGATGGGTAACTAAAAATGGATTAATAAGCTATAAATGACTAAATAAAAAACATAACAACCTAACCTAATAAATGTAAAAGCTTAAACCACATACCTCTGATTTTATGGTCTGAAATATTCGAGGATTGATTCCTGAATCCATTTTAAGTGTGGTGATCATTTTATTGATGATCCTCACTGAAGGAAGAATAAAAATTCTTCTCAAAAACCTATAACTTTTTGGACTTTGCTTCATTATAGCAAGTGCAATCATCTTTTCCTCATCTGTAAAACGCCGACCTTTTGTTTTTTTTGTACTTTGATTAATTTGCATCCATAATATCTTTTTTGCTACTGGATTCAGTTTTGAAGTCAGTTTTTCAAAGTTTTCTTTTTTTGAGAATTTAATAGCTTTTTTAGCTCTTTTAGCAAAATTGAGTTGTTTTTTGGCTTTTTTATACTCCATTAATATTTGATGACATCTAGGTGTTACAAAATTTTTGGTGGAATAAGACCTCTTAAACTTTTGTCTCTTCATTGGCGTCATCAGAACATTTGATCCTACAACAAAATAAAAACCACAAATTTAATGGAAATATGTAATATTAAAATCTAATTAAACTAATAATTAACAATGTGACTAAAAATAACCTTACCAGATTTGGTTATAGTTTCCACTGCACACTGAGTAGATGTTGAAGGCTTATTGCATTCTGAAAATATAATTAACAAAAATAAACAAAAAAGAAGTCCAGCACATCTAAAAACCATTTTTTTATAAAATTATATGCTAATAAAATTGCAAGAATAATCCAAAAGATACAAAAACCAAAATTACCTATCAAATGGGGGAGCAGTACTTCTTCTTCAATATTCGAAATGGATGCAGTGGGTGCAGTATCACAATCTGTAATCAAACAATCATGTTGCCATTAATGAAAAAAGTTGACTGCATGTCTGCTCTTAATACTTTGGGAGATTTGGTGCTGTGTTTGTGACACTGCTGCTGGTTAGTCAAAAACGAACCCTACAAATTCAACATCACAACGAGAGTATGGTAGCAAAAAACATATAGTTGGAACTGTTATATCAGGACTATATATTGAAAGTTGTTATATTTTATGTAACTAATTTAATGCCCTATGTATTTTAACAAAGTTAAAAATATATTTTTTAATAAATTGAATGCTTTGAAATCTTTTTCAAGTTTTCAAAGCATACAATTTATTTTTGTAAATATTTATAAGTGAAATTGGCTCATTCAAAACATATAACAGAAACCAGAATTTTCACTTGTAAGAAACATCCTAATTGTTAAATGATCAACAATATTTGATTTAATTGTTGTTTCATCAAAATATCAAATATTTAAAAAAATATATACATCATAGACCATTCACGCAGACATATTATTATTATATAAAATGCAATTATACTTCCATTTGTATGATATAATTAAATCCATCCCATAAAATGGCATATTTGTAATACTTACCAGTATTTCTCATAAATTGGAACTGTTGTATCTCTAACAAAGGTCGACCTCTGGAGTAAGAATGATCAATATGTGGCTTCCTCAATTTCTGTGCATAATCATGATCACATAGCAGTATGTTTTCTAGAACAGATTTTGGGTATTTTAGTAAAATAAATCGCTAAGTATATTATGATATGATATAACCAATTTATTCGTAATTTTTGTAATGAAAATAGGTAATTATATAGTTTACCATTGTTTTCATAAGCAGTTGAAGGTATGCCAGTATCCATCTCCTCTTGAGTAAACAAGGTAGGATAAGCAAAGCTTTTAAGGCGTGAGCTAGCAGTCACAAACCTACGTTCAAAGTGCTTATGACAAACAAACATCGAAAGCAATTCTTTTATGTTAAGTTTCTTCAGTTTTTCACTGTTTATACATTGCACCCACTTTCTTCTACTATCAGTTTTTGGAAACTTATGCAGTTTGACACCACTGCGTTTGCTTCCACAATTAGGAACACAACACGTATTTTTCATAATGAAAAACACTCGAATATCACAGTTTTAAAATGCGAGAGGATAAGCACGGAGAAACAAAACCTCGACGTAACTTCACTCAATCAACATCAAAACTGTAATGGCGAAATATCTGTGGTAATGGCGCGACAATCACAGGAGAAAGCGGGTGTAGGATGTGCGGGAAAGGGGGGAAGAAATGTCAAAATCTAAACTACCGTTGTTTGTCTATGGTAACAAATTGGGTCTATTTTTCTTCTATAGAGATTACCTGACTTTGGCATTTTTTATTTATTGAATACATTAACTGGCAAAGGGAACGGATTTACCCTTAATACGTGGTAACCATAGATTATATAACGTGTATGGTCTATGTTTCAATCACAGAAAACAAAAAAGAGATTTATCACGGATGCCTATTAGATAGATATATACATTGAATATTAACTATGATTTATTTGATTTTGATTGATTGTAACAACGGGAATCGGAAATATATATGTACACCATTCAATAACACACTTAAAGTTTTGATAAATTATTGTAGACATTTGGGAGACGTATCGATGATTTTATTAAGGTTTTGCTCTCGTAGAGTTTTTGCAATATAAAGAATTCCGTATGAAGTTTTTGAACAATATAGTAGAGTAAATTGGAATTTCATTACAGGAGTTGGTTTATTAGTAAAAACCGCCTCATCTAAGTTCTTCAAGCAGGTAGAACTTAGTTTTTAGACTGTAAACATTGATTGACATTGTTACTGTGAGGAAGTATTGAATAAAAAAAAGAAAGCACTAAAAAGCACCTCCACTAGATAACGACTCTAGTGGTGGTGCTTTTTAGTGTGTCAAAAGTAAATTTTTGCAGGAAACTAATGGACCAAAGATAGTCATTTTCATTATTTTTAACTAACATATTAGATATCAAATTTAGATATCAATTCAAATACGAAAAAGTATAAATAGAATATAAGTTGTTTATTGAGTTTTGTAAATTAATTTACTTTTATACATGAAAGAAAACCGGAAGGGTTGTCATGGAGAAATCAAAAAAGTACCGTAGCGACATCTAGTTTGATTTCGGTAAGTATTTTTTGTTTTAAATACTTCCTCATTTAGCGGATGCAAGTCATAGAGAATAGAAACGTGGCAATGTAGCAACTTTTGGGTTATACAAATATAATGAAATCGGAAATTGACATCCAAAATATTATGTTGTCTCTTTTCAACTACTGAGATTTTCCTTTAGTAAACAAAGGTAGTACTAGTTTGACAGTACCAAATTTTTACATGAAGGCATGACATATTGTGTTCGTACCACCCTTGTACCACCTGTCCACCATTTGTAAACTAGCAGGCACATATGAATACGTACCTTTTCATTGATGATTAATAGGTATGGTTAGTTATTTGAATATAACCTTTAGGAACCATAAGGTGGCATGTGTTGGTTCCTACTTGATGATGGAGACAACTGGCAAGGGAGACTAAAGGATAAGTGTCTCCCTCCGAGCTAGGTGTTGTTAGCCCGGGGACCGCGGTCCTACCATTGTAGGTTGGACGTTCTATTTATGTTAATTGGTAATGAAACTTATTCTGTGTGATGTACGTTTCTTTGTTCTAAATGTCTTGTAATTATTAATTTATGATTTTTGTATTGGTACAACGCCATCTCGTTACTTGCTGTTGAAACTTATTGCAGTTCGTCTTGCTATCGATGGCTGTGACAATGCTAGTCTTCTCGCTATCGATTGTTGTAGCGATGTTAGTGCGATGAGTTAGATGTCGCTATGTATCAGTCGCCACACACCTAAAGTTTACCGCAAGGTTGAGGGTTCAGAAAAACATTACGGCGCGTTACGTAATACTTAAACGGCAACGCTTAAAATTAATATATTACATAACTAACTGAGTAATAACTGGGTGACCAACGGTAACATAGGAATTCAGAACTTCGATCAACGATATAAAAAGATTTCCGATCAGAGTCTCAAAGATGGCCGAAGACATAACGACTCTCTTCAAATATAATTATCGAAATTAAAATGTATCATATTTACGGTTTTATATGTGATTTTACAATGTCTATAATGAATAACAAAAGTATTTTCAATATGGCAGCCGGTATGGCAGTTATTCAAAATAGAAAGCCAAATATTCGATGTTCTAAGACAGCACATACATGGAGTAGTATACTATTACATTTTTTACCAAAAATTTTAATAATAATTGCAAACCATCTTGGTGTACTGGTTCGTGTCCGCGTGCATGAACATATAGGTTTGTGTCGGTCTGGGTGTTTTATAAGTATTTTGAGTATCTATTTCCAACGTAACTATTAATTGATTGGTGATTTAATGTTAATAGTTTTTAATAGAGATGAAGGTTGGAATATACCATCGACTTCGGATACAATAATTAGTCAAATTAAATCTCGCAAAACCTAAAGTAACAGTTAGATCTTTCTGTAAACATTAAAATTATAGATTAATCACTTTTTTATAATTGTACTGTTATTTAAATTGAAAACTTACTACCTCCCTAAATTATCATCGTATATAATTACAGGTATATTTTACTAAGAAAAACAACATTGCCAATGAGATTACATACTTACCCAATTTCGGAGCGCAGTTTTCGCCTAAAGTATTAGCACAGAATATATTCGATGCTATAATGTTTCTTGGGTGTCGCAGTGTATTGAAGTTTCATGAGTTTCACAGACGTATTGTTTATTATGTAATTAATGATATAAAACAAGTAATCACATCAAACTTAAAAAAGTCGGTCTTTTGACCTAGACTGACAATACAAATTTCTATTAAAAAAGACTTGGCTATGGCCTTTGAATGAGGAAGTATTAAAAAAAAATTAGTTCCCGAAATCAAACTAGATGTCACTACAGCACGTTCTGATTTCTGTTAGAGCTGGCCATGAAGGTTTTACGCTTCATAGAGTAGCACCGCTACTGAATAAACTAACTGAATTTATGATAATGTTTTATTAAACCTCACAAATTGGTAGCAGAGCGTAGTTGATTTGCGAAAACGAGAAAATGGCATCAAGTACAACTTATCGCAACATAGAACCATTATCAAAATCAAACTATGATACACGGTGTTTGCAAGCCCAAGCAGTGCTAATCAAAAACGACTATTGGGAAATCGTAAGTGGTGAGAAAAGATTATCACCAAATGCAGATGCGGCAGCGATGGCGGCATTCAACAAAGAGGACCTTAAGGCAAGAGCTGAAATCCTACTTTTATTGTTACCTTCTGAACTAAAACAGATCAAAGCCTGCACGACATCAAATGCAGTATAGGAAAAATTAAAAGCGACGTACCAAAGCACAGGACCGGCACGAAAAGCTACATTACTCAAACAGTTAGTTTTAAAGCGAATGACGACGGATCAAGACATTCATGATCACATAAATAATGAGAGAAAAAATAGATCTTTGTTGGACAAAGCCTGAAGCTTACTAATCGAGGCCAACGCTCCTAAAAAGTTATGGGCAGAAGCAATAGCAACTGCAAACTATGTCATAAACCACAGTCCATAAAAAGTACTAAAAGGCCACATTCCATTTACAAAATGGTTAGGACGCACACCGTACGAACAACATCTTCATGTTTTTGAAAGAAAAGCATTTGTGCTGAAAAAGAACAGAAAGGAAAATTGAGTCAGAATGCTAAAGAAAGCGTGTTTATGGGATATTCAATGACTTCAAAGGCGTACAGAATTTACATACCTGAAGAAAATAGTGTAATAGTAAGCAGAGATATCAAGATTATAGATAAAATGTATTTTAATGAAGGTGGTCAAAATTATGATAATCTTATTGAAACAAAAGGACACTCACAAAGTCCTGCGAAAGAAAACAAAAGGGTACTACCATTAGAAGTTGAAATAACTATATCTAATACAGAGAATGAAAACAATATAGAAAATGAATTAGATCCTGTAATAGATGAAACTGGGCCCTGCGATGGAGCAGAGATCATAGAAATACCAACGAATGGGAGGCCACAAAGAGAGAGACGCCGACCCGTATAGACTAGAGATTTTGAATTGGATGAAATCGGAAGAAACTCATTTAGTGTCAGAAATATCGTACATATCAGATGAAAATGAGAGAGATGAATATTGGCATGATGCTATTAAAGCCGAAATAAGGGCTCATGTCAAGAATGGAACCTGGAAGATAGAAAAGAAAACTAAAGATTCTAAAGAAGTAGACTACAAAATGGTTCTTAGAAATAAAGTGGGACCAGATAACAGTATTACAAGGAGAGCCAGACTTGTAGCACGGGGCTTCACGCAACGACCAGGCGTTGATTACAACGAAATTTATGCGCCTGTTGCTAAGCTAAGTTATAGCATAATTGGAATAGCTATAGAGGAAGGGTTACAGTTGAGCCAAATGGACGTGACTACCGCGTACCTAAACGGCGAACTAGAAGAAAGAATTGAAATGAAATACCCTGACTGCTTGGAAGACTATTTGACTGAAATAATGATCGATGAAAGTAAGGAAGAAGATCTGACTTTGTATAATAAAACTGTAAATATCTTAAGAGATATAAAGAATAATCCTGAACAGAAAGTTTGTCGTCTTTTAAAAGCCTTATACGGACTCAAACAGGCAGGGAGGCAATGGTACAAAAAGCTCGACACAGAATTGAAGAATATTGACTTCAAAACTTCAGAGGCGCTAAAGTACTTATTGTAATATATGTCGACGATTTACTCTATGCCTATTCGTGTCCTAAATTGTTTCAAGAAGTAAAAGGGCTTCTAAATAGGAAATTTGAATTAAAAGACTTGGGAACTCCAAAACGGCTCATTGGTATAGCCGTAAATATTACAGAGAACAATATAAAATTAAATCAAGAAAAATTCATTGAAGAGATCGTGAAAAAATACAAAATAGAAGACTGTAAGCCGGTTTCCATGCCTATCGAGCCAGGTCTTCCATTAGACAAAGGAAAAACAGACGTTAGACCAAACTTGACATACAAAAACTTGGTGTCTGGCAGTGGCAACACGCCCTGATATTATGTTTGCAATCAGCTACCTATCACAGTTTAATGACTATTTTAGCGAAGAGCACTTCAAAAGCGTGAAAAGAGTTCTGCGCTGTCTAAAAGGCACAAAGAGCGTCGGCCTAGTTTTTAGAAAAACTGGACAGAAGTTATATGATATGGCAGATGCAGACTGGGGCGCATGCAAGCTTGATAGAAAATCATTTTCGGGCTATTGTTTTAAATATGCTGGCACGGCCGTGAGCTGGAAGGCTAAAAAGCAAAAGAGTGTAGCTTTATCAACGGCCGAAGCAGAATATATTGCACTTACAGAAGCTGCCAAAGAATCTATACACCTGAAAAATCTCTATAATGATTTCGGTGCCAAATATGATCGCATTGTCATATTAAACGACAATCAAGCAGCTCTTAAATTCAGCCAAAATGAAATGGTGACCTCCAGATCAAATTCACTTCATCAAAAATTGCATACAAGAGGGAGCAATCGAAGTTAAGTATTTGAGAACGGAGGATATGGAGGCAGATCTACTGACAAAAGCTCTAGCTGGTCCTCGGCTTTCAAAACTACGAAGAAGTCTAGGACTGTTTTGATGACCACGACATCAGCGGTGAAGAGGAGTGTTAGAGCTGGCCATGAAGGTTTTATGCTTTATAGAGAAGCACCGCTACTATCATGGTTGCTTAGTAACTTTGTTAATGACAGCTATGTCTAAAAATTGTATCAGTTATCGTATTACACAAAAGTAACTGAATTAATGATAATGTTTTATTAAACCTCACAATTCCTCCGGTTTTCTTTTATGTTTAAAAGTAAATTAGTTTTCAAAACTCAATAAACAACTCATATTCTATTTGCACTTTCTTGTATTTGTATTGATATCTAAGTTTCGAACGTTCAGTTTTTTAATATCTTAGTCAAAAGGAACGGAAATGACTGTCTTTGGTCCATTCGTTTCCTGCAAAAATCAACTTTTGCTAGAGTCGCCATCTAGTAGGGGTGCTTGCGTTTTTTCAAATACTTCCTCAATTGATTAATTAAGAACATGATTACAAACGACAAGGTCGTATGGGCTAAGCGCCCTTTGCCTTTCCCTTCCCTGTAGGTATGGGTAAAAAGAACAAAAAAGGTCTATGGTTTGGTGCCATTGGGACTGAATAAGTATCATTGGGAGGCATTACCTATGTCGTTGTAATGTTGATCGAAGATTTAGTATCAAATGCGGTTAGTTTTGTGGTTTGTATGCATGCATACTTTACTCTTTGACAGGTGCAGTGGTATCATCTCCTTCTGGTCTGTGGTGCAGTGTCATCTAGCTACATATCGTTGATCTGTGAGTGTCATTTTGACAATTTAGGGATGGTGGTGAATGTGCTCGTTCCGGCACATTTCTTTACGCCATTAATATTTTATTATTAATCATATTGGGTAATATTTGGTGGAATTTTATAGTGATTCGGGTAATTGTCTATTCGTGACATTTTCTTTGTACGTCAGCAGCCATGGATTTACATCGGCCGGTCGATCCTAACAAGGTAAATCTGTTCATATTTGTAAGGTTTCGTTCAGAGAAGAAAATAGGAAAAGTCTTTAATTATTTAATTTCATTTGTCCTTAGACATACGAGGAGTTGACTTCAGAAGAAAAACTGAGGTAAGTTTGACTTTGGTTTGCCCGTAAATAAGATTTTGATAGTAAGTATAACATGTATTTGGTTTATCAATTGGCAACTATTTACTAGAATTTGAATGTCGTTTGGTCAATTATAATGTTAGATTTAAAAGAGAAGCATGGAATGTGATTATATCGTATATTGTTTATTTCAAATGCCAATGCTTATGATAGTTTTTTTCAAATTACATTTTTATCAAAAACCTACTTGGAATTAGATAAGATTTGATAAATGGTGTTTGATCGTGGCTTAATATTCTTGTTGAGTGCTGCAAAATTTGTTGAGAAAATGGTACTGTAAAGAGAAAAAGTACTGTAAAGTTACTGTACTGCATATATAAAAATTATATGAATAGAATCTTCATATACCAACTTCTTTAATAAGCTAATTTGATTTTATGTTTATGAATAAGCCCCTTAAATAAATGCTAATGCTCTGAAATCATGTATACATAACACCCACAGGACTTCAAAGAAAATAGAAAGTATAGATAGCACAAATGGCAAGAGATAAATTATTAATTAATTATTGAAATATTTATGAATAATCCTGAAAATATTATTATATTTATTTATTTAATAACTCTTAATTGGTTAGTTCTAAGTGCATGAATTTTTGGAGATATGTAAATATTAAGCTAAATGGAAAATATTGAGATATATGGAAAATAGTTGCACAAATAAATACGCCTGTGCATACATCTACCATAATAAGAAGGATTAAATATAGTAACCAAATGTGAGTTGTGGATTGTTATTTACATGCCCCCCTTGAGATTAAAACTCTTATGTCTTCAGCTTTACTATCTAGGTAGGTTTTAGGCCTGAAAGGTTTGTATGTTTCATATTTGTTTATATACTTATTTTTTATGTACCTGTTAAATTTTCCTTATTACATTTATAATGCAAAATTTATGATATATATTACTAAATTAACAAATTTTTCATAAGATAAATAGCAATAAACATTGCGAATGCTTACATTTATGCTACAATAAAATTATCCTATTAATAACTTGCATGTGCTAAGATTTCTGTGCAAACTGTACTTATTGAAAATATGACACAAAAGCGAGTTTATTACATATAATATCTTTTTTTTGTCAATGGCGAATTTAAATATAATGGGATTTCTGAAAACATTTCTAAAAATAAAGGCCCTGTTACTCCTTATATTTTTATAACACCATGAGAACAGTACTAAATTATTATATGTATGAGGCATTTTAAATCAGTGTAAAAGGCTAAATTTCGAAGGTCGCAAAAATCTATCAATTAGATGATGTGCCAATACCCACATGCATGATACTTGCTGAGTATGAGTGTAATGGACACCAAATTTACATCCCTTCAGTATTGAATTAAGATAGTATTAAGTATAAATTATTAAGATGAATTAAGATAGTACATAGATATAATAGGGAGAATGGTGCGTTACCCACTACTGTGGCCCAGTGTAGATTGGTGGATATTATTGACTGTAGATAGCAGCCACAGCAGCATAGATCGCATGCAGCCGAAATCAACAGCCTAATGTGCCTTCTGAGGCACGGAGGCATTCGAGATAATAAACTTTTGGTCATCCAACCTGTGACCGACCATTGCAAAAATTTCTTAACAACCATATCGTAGCCTCATTAGCCATGCGCATTAGCCACTTCATCATCGCTCCTCAGTATTCATATATTCTGTTATAAAACTTAATTCATAAAATAACAGCAAGAACTAGAAAGGAAAATTTTTGATATTTATATAAAACGTTGCATTTATGTTTTATTTACCAGGTTTATAATCATGCAATCAGTCTACTCTATGAGCAGACGTGTTCATGATATTGTCAAAAGTGTTAAATATTTTGTCAATATTTAAAATTTTACTTATTTGCAGATATGATCATCAAAAGCTGTATGAGATGCACAAAGGTCATGAGTCGATGCACACAACAATGGTTCTTATACTCATAGGAACTTTAGTGGTTGCCCAAATAGTTGTTGTGGAATGGAAGAAACGACACTATCGTTCATATTCGGTGAGATTTTGTTGTTAATAAAGCATTTATTATATATATTTCTTGCTTATTCTTAAGGATCTATATAGCAATACAGACAAGTATTTCCCAGAATTTTAGGCCTCTTAATTACTAAATAAACAAAAATATTAGACAATATCACATACATTGCTCAAATTCTAAGATGAATAAAGCCCCCGTATTATGGAGTTTATGAAACTACAATGATACCACAAAGCCAAAGTCGAAACAATATAAAGAAAGTTAATATTCTAAATTTTCAAGAGCGGGAATCGTACCTGAAACCTTGGAGCTATGAAGGTAACAAAAAAAATATACTGTGTTCCTAGGGCTGACGAAAAACGTTAAAAAAACAGGTTATGCATTGCTATCCATACACAATATAATTTTCACATTGTACAATACAAGGCAAATAACTTTCAGATATCAAATGTATATTTTAAATATGAAGCGATTTTTTCGCGCCTTTTTCCATATAAGTCACCCGCTTATGATGTAGCTTCCCGTAGGTGAAATTAGTATTTCCGAAGATTTACCAGAAATAAACAAATAAAGTCTAACTTAAAAGTCCAACTATGTTTTTACAACATTGGCATGTATTTGATAATTTATTTCCTAATATTTTGTTGACAGTTCTTTACAATGGTAGCCATGTGGTCTATACCGGTATTGATGAGTCTCAAGAACTCCTGGTGGAGATTCATCACGGTGTGGACGATATTCACACTGCTCACAGCTCTAGTCATAAGGAAATCAACAAGAAGGCCTATGTCAGTCACAACACCAAGGTATGTTACATGTTAAAACAAATATTTATTATACAAAAAGAAAACCCAGGCTGGCCTGACATAGTCGAATTTTCCTGTAGTTGTGTTTTTTCATTATTCATCAATCTGCAATCAGCCCAGTAGTTATAATCATATTTTTTGATCATTTTTTGTTAGCAGTTTGGGTTATTTGGATCTTGTGATGTGTCATCTGATTTGATGTGTGTACTTAAGTTAAAACAGTTGTGTACAGCAAGGTTATTCACTTTCTTTTTAGTCGAAAGGCGGATGTTATGTTATCTAATAGCATTACAGCAGGCAAGCTTTTATGATGTAGCATTTGTTTATAGGCCATACAAGATCTTACTATATCTTCCTTGACAGTTTTAATCTTCAAGTATTCATATACTTCAGTGTTGTGAACCATATTGCACTGCTTTCTTTAAGGATTTATTTTGAAAGCATGAATTGTAGATACCCAGAGTTCTATATCATATGTCCATATAGGCTTTATTCTGTAGTTATAAGTAATAATTTAATCTACTTTCAGATTGGTGTACAAATGGTTTTACCTAATATACAAGTTGAGTTGCGTATTCGGCGTCTTTGGTTACATAGTCATGATGCTCACGTTCTTAGGTTTGAACCTGGCATTTGGACATAAACCGCAGCCGTGGATGGACGTCGCGTTAATGTGTTTATTTTACGGGTTGTATTTTGGTGTATTGGGTCGCGACGTGGCGGAATACTGCGCTGATAAGATGGCCGCTTCTATAGGGGTAAGACTTTGAAATAATTATTTTGATATATCACATCTAAAGTTATTATCTATTAACTTTACTATATTATTATTTCCGGTTTCTAGTTTTTCTCATTTTTTATAACTATATACTATTTCGAAAACTAAAACAATTTCCATGGCTAATTTACAGTATTATACTAAAGAGGGTATGCCTACGAGACAATTAGAGAACAACGTGTGTGCGGTATGCGGTAACCAATTACTGGTCGCAGTTAATGAAGAGGGCGTTATAGGTATGTTCGAAAACGTTATAATATGAAATAATATAATAATCAAATGATAATGGTACGTTTTTATACCCCTCGCTCTACCCGCCTCTGTCTCGCTATCCTCCTCTCCATCAACTCTGGCCTCGCTCACAAATAGTCGCTTCTTTTTAAACTTTTCTCTCTTCTATATCTTTCTATTGCTTTTGTATAATACATTACTTCTTTCCGTCTTTCCGGGGATGATTAATTAGGTAATAGTTTTTCGTCTACCTCTTGATCTCTCTCTATAATAAGATCCCTCCGCTCTCTCCGTGTACCTTGTTAACACCTTTTTCTTTCAACACCTATCCCTTTTTAGGGTTCCGTACCCAAAGGGTAAAACGAGAACCCTATCAGGCTGTATCTCTGTTGCCGCTGTTACAACAAATATAAAACAGAATAAAATAAATATTTATGAGAGCCTAATACAATAAACGTGGTTTTTTGCTCGTTTTCGGTACTGAACCCTTCTTCTGCGAGCCGCACTCGCACTTGGGCGGTTTTTCTGTGTTAATTATTTGCATTTTTACTATTTGCAGAGAACACATATAAACTGACATGCGGTCACGTGTTCCACGAGTTCTGTATACGAGGGTGGTGCATAGTTGGTAAGAAGCAGACCTGTCCCTACTGTAAGGACAAGGTTGATCTCAAGAGGATGTTCACTAATCCGTATCCTTTGATAAATTCATTTATTTCTTTTATGTCTATTTTTGTCTATTTTCTTGACATAAGTCTTTTTAGGAGCTCGACTGTATATATAAGTTTTTCTTAGGAGAATCTCGGTTAGCGAGTCAGTGTGCGATATGTTTGTTAAGCAAACTTTTGCAAGTGCAAGTAGGATAGGTGACCAAAAAATTATTATCTCGAGCTTCTCCGTGCTTCGGAAGGCACGTTAAGCTGTTGGACCCAGCTGCCTTTGCAGTTGTTAACTTGGCTCATGAGCAGGGTTCGGATGGTTACGGTTATTAACCGAAATGTAAATTGTATAAAACCCAAACGACAAATAGGTTACCAATTCACTTCGGTAATCGATACATTTTAGTATTTTAAAAATCGGTTAACAGAAGTATTTCTGTTACAGACTCAAATGTGTTAAACCTGAATAAACTGTTACAAAATATAATGGTTAATTTTAGCCGAATTGTTTCGGTTTTTAACCGGTTCTCGATTCGACTGACTTTTTTCTGTTTGTTATCTTTTTACTTTTTACTGGGTGGACCGATTATGATGATTCTTAGTGAAAGTGTTCAGGTCTGGCAATGGCATCTATGAGAAAATTATATAAGCCTTAAATTTACATTAAGTATGCGTGATGTTTATTACTTCTAATTTTCAGCATAGTATTTGTCAGACTTAGGAGAACGTTTTAGGTATATTAACAGACTAAACAAATGGAGGTTCGCACTTTAACATGGTTTTGACGCGGTTTTCAGAAAAGTATTTTTAGTGTTACCTATTACATAAAAGTATCAATATCATTAAAAAGTATGTAATAAAAAAATTAAAAAATTTACTGCAAACTTAAAAAAAATGTGAAAAAATAATACTTATCTCAAAAGCGACTTATTAAAGAAAATGCTATTGAAGTCGGACGCCTATAAATTAATTAATAACTTACAGAAAATCTCCGCCCGACTTTTGAGACTTCTTCTTTAGCATATCATTAAAATATCTTCAAATAACATGTGTGATTGAAACAAAATACGCAAAAGATAGTCGTAATCGATTAAATTTTTGAAAGATCACATATTTGATAAAAAAAAAATACTTAATAATGTGAAAAAAAAGTAATAACCGTTATCCGTAGATATATTTCGGTTATTTACCCTAACCGAGACGAATTACCGCAAAAAACCCGGTTTAACCGTTTCATACAGGTTAACAGTTTCAATGAATAACACTTTGAATAAGTAACTGTATTTTTGTATTTGGCTGTACCTCTTGAAACGTATATAAAGTTTATGTACAAGGATGAATAAATTCTACATGTATTTCTTTTAACCGCTATAACAGTTGGGATCGGCCCCAAATGCTTTTCGGTCAACTGCTGGACTGGATCAGGTGGTTGGTAGCGTGGCAGCCCCTAGTATTATTCTTAGCTCAAGGCATCAACTGGATCTTCGGTCTCGAGTGAATGTACGTTCAGACTTTAACTCGAACATCTGCCAGGTCATTGATGGTACAAAATGCTTATGAAATGACCTTTATTATTTGTGTATAACATACAGAGTTTGTAGTGATTATAGTGCTGCATTTGGAATGCGAGGGAAAGAGACGTAACAATGTTTCTTCACTTTACTTTTTAAGGTGATGTTATGTGGATGTTGTCGGCATATTTATTTTAACGTAGGCAATTTTATATTGTGTTGATTAAAACACATCGCTTATTAATTTTACTATCATAAAGGTGTTTTAGCGTCTTTGGTTCTGAGTCACTGAGAATCATTTGAACTATAGCGTATCTTTTTAAATTATTTTATTGAAAAAAAAAATGTAGTTGAGCTAATTAAATTCTAGGTTTGTTTTTGATTTTGAGCTTGCTCCATACGTGGAAGAAAAAAATACTAAGACCTTGAGCGGCAGTTAAATATTGTCCTGACTTTTATGTGGTTGTTCTTTCTCTGCCCGAAAAGGACACTAAAGCAGACACACAAAAATGCGGGTAGTTTGATAAACACAAAATTGTGCAATATAACATACCAAGGTATTGAGAGCTGTCAACTAAGGACATATTACGAAAAAAACGTATTATTTCTTTTTGATGAAAATTATCAATTTTTTTTTAATTAAGCAACCTTCAGGAGAATTGAAAAATAATTTTTAACTTTCTTTAAGATTTTTTCGTTTCCTTATATTAAAATATTTAATTAGGGTTTTTTATTGTTGTATTTTAATACATAGGGACAATATATTAATAATAGAAAATGGTTAGTGCCCTATTATATCGAGTTATAAGCAAAATGAAGGCGTTGCTTAAACACGAACGTATAATACTGCTGAGCCGCGTCCTCGCGGTGATGTTTGGTAGCGTGACGTCACACTGAGATACCACGTGAAGCGGAAACGTTCTAGCGAGCGCAACTTCAAAGTCCCATTACAATTTTATATTTTATAAATATTAGGAGTGTTTTTCACAAATTTATTTATTTTTTGCCTTTGCCTTATTAAAAAAAAATAATTTTAAATAGAAAAAAATAGTAAACTCCTTCATTAATAAAGTTTTAAAAAGTAAAAAAAAAAATATTTTATGTTAAAATTTTCAATCAAAATACAAAGATAATTTTTTATAATGGAATGTCAATAAGCTCCAGCACTAGTTGAAATTTTATACTGGAAATATTTTATATAAAGAATTCATACAATTTTTTATAACTATTGTAAAGATTTACATCAAAATACAACATAAATAGCTCATCGATATACACGCGACTGGAAGTCTAGTTACCATAGTAATTTTGTACTCTACCTGCAATATATAAAGGTTTATAGTAAAGTTGAGAATTTTAATAGTTTTGTATAACCTGACTGCTGTTGACTGTACCTCTACACAAAACGCGGCAACTAATCACATTTATTCAAATTAGCGAGTCTGACCCCCTGCCGAGTTTGATAGAGATGTAAATCTAGTTCGTCGTATTTTACAACTTAACGATATTAAAATAAGACTGATTATAATTTTTAATCATCCGTTCTGTTATTGTCGGGGTTGGTGGGTCTGATCTACGCTCACGAATATTTAAGACGTGTTATATTAGTTGGGTATTACGTTACATCTCATGAATAAAGTGCAGTGGCGGACTAAGGGGGGCGGTGCGCCCCATGTCTCCGTTCCAGGGGAGACCCCAAATGGCTGTAGCTATCCACCAAAATCTTAATAATAAGATTAAGTTAAAATGTATGCGCGGAGGGAGCCGCCCCGGGCCGCGGATGAGGTTAGTCCGCCACTGATATTGTGGAATATTGTTATGAATACTTGGCACTAGATGACAGCACCAACAATATAGTGGCACTAGATGACAGCACCTGTCATTCCGTAACAATATTTAGTAAATCGTGAATAATCCCAAAAACGTTCTGGGGCTTAAATTTTTTAGAAATTTTAATTTCTTCTTCGGATTATCAGAAATTACGACATATGAAACTGAATACTCGTACGTATTGGTTGCGCCCGAGTAGAATATTGAACTCAGTGATTGCTTAAAAATATTTTGTGGTATATAAGAATGTTACTTTCAGTCAATATTAAAATTAATACTACGAAATTAATGATACGCTAGTTTGTTTATTGTTACCCTATACACTACATGCGTCAATAGAGGGAGACAGGTGGGGTACCGGAATCGCGATCTCTAATCGTGCGTCGTTTCTATTAATTCATGAATAAGAAAAAATAGTGTTATGTTTTTATTGCAGCATTTTTAGTTTTAGAATAAACTATACTAAAGTAACTTTATTCACCAGAGGTTTTTTAAATTTACTTGGATAGACATATTGAAAAATGTTTAATACTATGGCGACCCAAAACAGTTTGGCGCGAAGCTTACCAAACGTCAAAGTCAAAATGACTTATCTGATGCATGTAATGTAATCGAAAAATATGATTATATTTTTATTTTCTAACAATATTGACAGTATTTTAATGTTGACTATTTATTGTGGTGTGGTGCCTGGATTCCTGTATAATAAAAGAGTTTTGTATGGTTATATAAGAAATTTATTTAAATTTCATTTTTTAGTCACTAAACCTATGTTATATATGTTCATGTGATTTTTAAATAGTTATTGACAAACAATAACGATGTTTATTTTAACTTAACGATGTATATTATAACTTATTAAGTACATTTAAGTTTTAATTTACCATAACGGATAACGTGGACACGGTTCTCAATATTGCAAAGTGTAAAAACTATAATTTATATACTTAAAACAACTAAAATAGACTGAAAAGAAAAAGGGATTCACTTATTAAAAAAAAAATGCATCTGCGAACCCTTAACTTTTCTCTTTACTTGTACTTCATCTTAAATGTTAATCTTAAACTGATTACCGATGGTTATTGCTTGACCGTCTGTTTATTAAGGCGACACAATTTGCACATCATTGATGCAATAATTTCTTATTTCGACCACAGATAGATACAGATATACTTATATACAATACATACATATTTTAGGTTTGGGTTTGTATAATAGATACATATATATTTTTTCATTTTAAAACAATAGTCTAACAAATATTTGTTAAAAAAATTTGCTGTAATAGATATTGAAGACGCCATTATAATATAAGAAAACACACTTGTAATTAGCCCGCAACTCTCTCTGTCATACATAAAGTATTTACGCTCTGCAAAAGTCTCGATTTGGCAGCCGGTTAGCCAAGGGTTAAGAATTTGAGACCTGTTTCAGGCAATTGGGATTTCTTAAATATTTTTATACAAGTTAAATATCATAAAAACATTGTAAACGCAGAATTTATGAAGTATAATAATTACAATTATTTATATGGCTCATTTGTATTTTTAATGCGATATTTTATTGCGTGAAGCGTGTAGTGTTGCACGTGTAAAAATTATTTAATTGTAATAATATAAATAAGCATATTATTAAGTGGTAAGCTTGAATCACTGAACATTGTCATATAAAGTGTCTTACAGTTAAAAAGAATGGGAAGATTGCGGTACTGACTCGTGTACACACAGTTGCACGACAAGCTACCATAATATGTCACATATACGTAATTGGTTTTGTATGTTACCCTCAATGTAATAAGTTTTAAAATAGAGTGGAGAAATTTGACATTTTATATAACCTGACGTGCTGTTGAATGTACAGTAAGACTGAGCGCGCACTAATGATCTTCTGTCACTGTGACTTGTTTCTGTCATAATGCTCATTGCGTATGTGTACCGCGATCTCTCTCTAATAGACGGAGAGCTCGTGACAAAAATGTGAAAGATCTTTATAATACTACTACTTATAATAATACTACATACTAAAATACTACATACAAAAAAAAATAGTTTTATTAATGGTATACACAACTCAGTAGTGTAGTGCGGAATTTAGGTTAGGAGAGCTGGAACACCTAGTGGCGGCGGCGCAAAACAAAGTTCTAGCGTTAGACGATTGTATTTCTTCCACTAAATGAAAACTGAGGTTTTTTTGCAGCTTTAATTTGCATTACGATTTTACGTACTCTACATTGTCCCGCTGCTACCAGATGTTCTTGACCTCCGCACTGGGTACTGAGTAATGTATACCCTTAGTACTTCAACATACTGAAATATCAAACTCTTGCACATTTTTGTCACGTTTCTTAGACCATAATTAAAACATAGTTTGGGGCCTGCCTTCCTGCTTTAACTCCCCATGGTCTATACATTTTTATATGGTAAGCTTTAATAATCTATCTCTATCATCGATAAAAGAAAAAACATTCAGGAAAAGCAGTTGTCAGTGTTCAATATTATAATTAACCTTTTAAGTACATTATTCCTAGCAATCAAGAGTTATATTGCAGTGTAATATATAAGTGACTAATTGTTAGTTATTTTGTACATAATAAATCTGTTTAAATATTTTGTCATTTGGAGTTTTCTTCATTTATTATCTACTAGCTTTTACCCATGGCTTCGTTTGTATAATTAACTCTTAATGACCAACCTTCGTATAATCTTTGATCTCCACTCACCAATTTTAACTCTTCAAAGTCTTTTTTTGCGAGTGAAAGCGTAGCAGAAAGTTATTTTCGCATTTAAAATGTTGGAAGGTATTACTAATAGTTACTAACAAATTATATATGGTGTGCGGATTTGAAACGGGCAGAGTTCGAAATATAGAGAAATCCGCTTTAGTTCTTAATTCCATCGGCAAGACACGTTGCAATAATGTTCATGATATTTGTAATAACGGTTACCATGCTTTTGATTTATTTACCTAGTCTAGCCATAAATTTTGTTACTGGCTGTTTACATACATTTAAAAAAAATATTCATTTGAATATCGATCATTAGCTTTTACGATAAAAAAATAGACTTCTTTTCCGCCATTATTGTTTGTTTTTTGTTTAGAAATTATTTGTTTTGAAAATTGAGTGGGACACTAAAGAGAATAGGATTGCAATAATTGCGCTGCAAAAAGTAGGTAAGGAGCCAGCCGACAATTTTGATACATTGAAAAAGCTAGGGACAAGTCGAATGTTTGTGTATCGTACCATCCAAAGGTACAATAAAATCATGTCTGTTGATGACCGTGAGAGATCCGGCCGACCGCGGCCTATTCCAACAAATCAGGCAATTCCATAAGGAAGCAGAAAATCCTTTCCAGAGAAATGAGAATCCATCGAGGATACTTTCTCGGATTATCAAACAAGATTTAGGTCTAGGGGCTTACCGGAGATACACAGGACATACCTTAAATCAGGCATTAAAATAAAAGAGAGTCGCCATCATCCAGCATTCGTCATGGTTTGGTGGGGGGTCTCCTACCAAGAGGTTACAAACTCCACTGTTGCGAAAAAGGAGTGAAAACTTCAATCAAAGTGTATCAAAATACATGTTAGAAGCGGTAGTTAAACTCCTCAACAACACCTTATTCAAAAACGAAGTGTGGATATTCCAACAGGATTCAGACCCGGGTCACAAGACGCGTACTACCGCACTACCCAAATTTGGCTTGAGGAAAATGTTCCAGACTTCATAGAGGCTGATGATTGGCCTTCGGCTAGTCCGGATTTAAACCCTTTGGACTATCAATTGTTGTTTGTGCTAGAGGATATGGCCTGCTCTAAGCTTCACCCAAATATTGAGTCGCTCAAGAAATCTTTAGAGGCAGCAGTGACCAAGTTTTCAATGGAAACCGTTCGTAAATCCACCGTTCAAAGCATGCGTTAAAGCTAAGGGTGGACGCTACGCGACTGCATGGTTGCGAGTCCGTTCGCGGAATATTATAGCAAAGCTAGCGAGCACTGGCACACCTTGGGTGCCGGCTGAAAATCGACGCTGTAGTCTGCTGCAGCACTATGTCGAGCCGGGACCTTTTGGGCACTGCACCGACTATGATACAATATTGTGAATTTAGGTGAATTTAAAGATTTTCATATTATTATTATTATATCTTTTTTAATTAGTTTTATGTCTTAGTTATTATTATGTCTTTTTTAATTTCTCAATTGGTGTATGTGTTCAATAAATATTCATTCATTCTTTGAATAACTAGTTTAGTACGTTAACATATCTTTTTCGCTCTACATAATCACATATAAAACTTTAAAATAAAATTATTTTTATTTCAGTAATTTGGCACAATTCGACAAATTCTATGATGCCATGGATCACCTACTTAATTTAATATGCAGTGTGTTGCTTAATAATGTATCATGTATCCATAGATAAAACATCCGGTTCATGGACCACCTGTCATGATCGACAGAGCCTTTGTATGTGAATGCAAAGGGGAGTTGATAATAAGGATTCATTGTATTGGTCGCGTTAAAGGACCTATCATTTTCTATCGTAAGTCGTAAGTTGGTTAGAACCTATATTTGGTAGAGCAGTAGTTCTGAACTTTTCAGTTATTCATTAAGGACTTGATGTAGGTAAATAAAGTGTTTAGTTTTAAACACGAGCTAGAGTGAGAAAGATGGCGTGTTGCTTAAAGTACGAACCATACCGAGCGATCTAAGATCATCCGACGCGCTCTGGATCGCGCGCTCTATAAATCAAAGTCGCTTTCTGTTGTCTGTCCCTATGTGCGCTTAGATCTTTAAAACTACGCAACGAATTTTCGTGCGTTTATTTTATAATAGATAAGCTGTTTCAAAAGGATGGTTTTTATTTATAATACAAGCCCACGCGGGCGAAGACCCTTTTTTTCTTTTTCTTTTTTTTTTGACCCTGAGAAATGCGTTACGCATACCCGCTTCACCCTGCGCGGGCTCCACAGGTGATGTGGGACTCCTCCTGTGGCCCCACCCCCGAAGGGGCTAGACAAGAAACAGAAGTTTACCCACTAAAACTCAGCGATGTCCCTCTCATGGAAGGCGATGCGCGGGATCGGCCCTGAGGCCATACACCGCGCGGTTCGCCCCCATTTTGGCCCGCCCTAAAAAGGGGGGCAGGTCCCCCTCGGGTTGGGGGTACGCCTCAGAGACATTCGATACGCACCCCGGGCGAAGACCCTGTCGGAAAGCTAGTTCTTTCCGCCAGCGGCTTCATCTGCATGGTTTACACAATGTTGACAGCACATTTATCCCCAGGGAAGCGTTTTATTCAATAAATAAGTAGCTTATATGTTATTTGTTATTTCATAGTGGAAGAGTAACAAACGTAGATCATTCTTCTCATAAATTTTCGCTGATATAATATTAATAGGTAGTAAGACTCTTTTGTATGAGGCGGTAACCTATGGTATAGAACGCGATTATTCTATTTTTCAATTGCAGTCAAAAACTAAAATTTTTCCACTTATCTATTATGACATAAAAATTTGTCACCGATTGCCGTAACAATAATGTAAGACAAAACTAAAATAAAATCAAACCTCAAAAATTCTACGTGTATATTACTCATCGACAGTTTATAAAATTTTATGAGTACCCTGTAAATATGCTTTCGTCTCCTTTAAGATATTGTGGTATCATGGTCACAAGAAATTATGGTGGTCTTCCAATCAATAAAAATAATGTGGTACAAGCGGTAACTGGTTTTGGTGAGTTTTGACCCCCATTTAAATGATCATACTTTTGAGATTGCGTTTTTGTATTATCGATTATATTATGGAAATATTATTACACGATGCTTAACAATTTAATTGAACTTAGATCGTAATAATAGTAGGGGTAGAATCATTATTTTTAGTATTGTTTACTTGTCATATAATTTTGATCAGGACGAAGAAACTATGCAAAAGATGACAAAGATTGCTGCAAAGATGTCGCACAAACTGAAGGCAAACGAGTGGAGAGCTGGCCTAAGGACGACCCTCCGCCTCCCGCGTGGCGTTGTGAATGTCCCCGTGATCCTCAGCCTCCCAACTATGACCCCTACAGGATCAAGGTCCCGGATATTGTAGTCCCACCTCTACCTCCAAGCAATGCCAAGGTAACATTGAGATAGGCAGTTATTTACATTTTTTGTTGTTATTTAATTTTCCTCAATAATTTCTAATAATACAAATAAATGTGCCAGTACTTTTAATGACTTAAAAATTAAGATAATAATAGTTGTACGGCCAACAATATCTTTATTCAATACCTTGCGACATGCGCTAAAGTGCGTTTGACGAAATCAGAGCTCCACGTCGTGAATTAAATATCTAATGAAATCCAGTTTGTGCTTTCTTCATCAGTGGGATGGAGTGGCCCTCACGTCGAATCCCCATGGAGGACAGGACCATACCCAAGGCCCCGGCTCTTACGGCTTTGACCCACATTCGGGCATGCAGCAGCAAGAAGCAGCGAAACAGGAGGAAGGGAAAGAAGAGGGTTTCTTGGGTATACTCAAAAGTTTGTTTGGTAAAGGTAGAAAGACTGAAGGGAAGGGTAGCGGCGACACCATGATGGTAGACGAAAGGAACCTCATTTTGCTGTGTATGCACGCACACTGATCGGTGAGTCTTCGAAGACCTTTAAGAAGAGCAGAATCTAAAAAAAATAGGAGAGAACTGATTCGTCCAACGCACTACATCGTATTTATATCACTGCTTGAATTGGTAATTTTTTGACAGGACTACCAGTACTGTGACGCAGAGGAACACTGTGCTTACCCAGAATATCAGCAATATAGTGTACCTCAACCTGTTACTGACCTAATCTACAACTCCCCTTTAATGTGTCGTGATCATTGGATGCCTCAGCCGGAGAAAAAAGAGCATATAAAAGAATCGTCCAAACTTGGTTATCATGGTAGAATTAAACTCAAGTATGCTTTCCACGAACCATGGAAGCCTTTAGATCGAATGTCTTTGTTGGAACAGGCTGAGAGAGAAGAGATGGGGCAAGGTGATGAGGACTTGACAAAGTCTACTGACAAACAGTTGTCCAAATGAATGTCTGAAGTAATAGTGTGGGCTCTGATTTTTTTACATCAATTAATATTAATGTCGCATGGTTTTGAATAAAATTAATTGGAATGTGATCTGTTCTTTATTTATTTACAAGATTTACATTTAAAGTAAATTTTATTGATGAAAATTACTATATTGTTAAAATTACTATTATTTGAAATACACATGAAATTGAGTTCTTCCTTGAGAAGAACTTATTTTCTATAAAATATAGAAAATTGAACCCTAGAGCTCAAAACAAAGGGGTTTTAGATGTAGGAATTTAAGAAAGAGTAGGTGCATGCTTAGACGTTCACCTTCCAGCCGATGCTCGATTGCGCAAAGACGAAGGGTCCATGTTCAGTGCAGCCAGTACCGAAGGATCCTCCATGTCCCCCGCCTCCTCGGCCCCCGTTCCCTTGGATATACGTGTGGGTGATCACCTCGTTCTTTGCCACTATGGGAGTGGTAAGTTTCTATAATCAAGTGCGTTTGTTACCTTGCCTTGTTACCATAAATAACGCGATTAAGTTCCTAGTATCTATGTAAAATAGGTATATTGGGAGTGGAAGAACGGCTATTCCAGATAAAGGAATCTATGCACTGTACTCACATACGGTACTCTATAGTTTTGCTGGACTTATTCCAGCAAAATTCGACGTGTGCACCCCAAAACTTGAAAGCTCACCTTCGAATCTATTCGAAGCGAGCCGTTAAGCTAGACTCAAATGTTTGACGTATCCGCGGGTCAAGTGTAAGATTGCCGAGGCAATTAAGACTCGCAGTGTAATAATGCCCATCATCGAAATATTTATGCTAAAAAACTTATATTTCTGTTTAACCTTTTACATGCGTAGAACAAGAATATAGGTACGTATTTAAGCACGAAATGTTGAAGGTGACCTTATTATCATGAGGGCTTTAATTGCCGCAGGTACCTTAGACAATCTAGTGTTGCACGAAAAAAAACTAAAATGCAATCATTGTCTGCTTAGTTGAACAGGCATAATGTCGCTCGAACGGTATGTTGAAGGCTTGATTCAACATACCTTTCGAGCGAAATTATGCCTGTTCAACTAAGATAAATGCTGAATGTGTTGATGACAGCTCTTCCTGTTATTATTACTGGAAGAATTTGCTAGATCGAGTGAATGTATCTGAGTACAGAGCATTAGAGTGATTACATACCTGAAATCCCTTTTCCACAATTAAGTAATGGTGCCCTACATGGTTGCTGTGACCCCAAAAACGATATTAATGTAATTGCGAAATGCTAAAATGATTTTATAAAACCATATTATCGTTTATCATCAAATAATTTATGATGCATCTGGGGTAGGTATCGGCATTTTCCTCCGATGTGCAGATAATTTTGTTTTAATTCAAAATTAATTAGATACATGTGACAGATGGCTGCGTAGGGTGCAAAACTGATTTCAGCTACATGAATTATAAACCGAATATTATTTACAGCTTTATCGTTTGTTCTTATGGAAAGAAGAGATGGAGAGACTTAGTGAAAGTACACCTATATGTAAGTATATCTAATATCACATGTTAAATTTCAAATTTCTTCTGTCAAATTTCTGTAAGAAAATTACTGATAACATATAAATAAATGTGAAATAAACTTTTAAACCTCCGTTTACATAACAATAGAAATTTCACAAAAATGACGTCATTGCGCAGTGAATTTATTTTAGTTGGAACTTCCATACACAGTACTGCATGATATCGCAAATACATAGTTAGTAATAAAGTTTTGTGATGCTCCACGGAGAAGTTTGTCAACTACAAAGAATGCGGACGCGACGCTTATCCTACTATTTCTTGTTAATGTTGATTGATTAATTCGAAAATGTTTGGTACAAGTAATGTAAGTCTACTTAAGAATACCGATGTTTCAAGTTTAAAAGAGATCGGTTTTTATAATTTAATCCCATTTACGTTAAAGATCATAGATTTTAGACTTTTCAAAACTTCAGTGTCATATTAAAATATGAAAAGCAAGTGATATGAATACTTTGGTAGGCTCCTGTTTACGCAGTCTTGGCAAAATAAATTTAATGTGTGCGTTACACATCAAAGCGGCAACTCTTTCGAGTGTATATATTTAATTATTTGACATGCTCTTTGAATAAATAATAGCATTATCTCCATTAAGAGTTATAAATGAGTGGCTTTCAGACACAAAAAACTAAGTATTTTCCTTGACATATATTGGGTAGAGTACTTTTAGTCCTCAGATTCAAATGAACTCATGATTTGAATTGGTTTGCTTGAATAATTTTTGTTGAAACGAATATTTGAATATGACAATTTTTCATCTTTTTTTGTTACGTTAATATTTCAATAATTTCAGTATTACCGAAAGATCCCCTCATCCGATTTAGTAACTCCTAATCCTACTACCGCCTCATCCCTTTTTCTGATTTTGCTTAAGTAAATACTGTGTATCGGTCCTGAAACCTCAAAAATCGCCGAAAGATACAGGTTATGATATTAAGTTACATTATATACATTAATATTGTTATGAAATATCTACCCCATTTCAGTTTTTATAGTGTGAAGAAGTATAAATAATAGAAAATTTTCTATTTAAATTTGTATAAAACAAAAAAATTTCGCAATTGGAAATTTTCTCCGTAATTTTCCTGGGTTTTTCCCCAATTTTGGTTATTTTCCGGATAAAATTCCAAGTCTACACGTGCGAAACATGCTGCTTTGGAAAACATGCTGTTAACTTTAATGATAATGAGCGGGCGGAGCAAATATATTTTGCAGGTACTAATTGGCGTTTTCATTAATTATTTATTTATTGATTTCCTGATTATTTTCAGGGCGACCTCGTAATAGGTTGAAACGGCCGTATCACGATAAAGACTTACCTGCTTGCGTCCAATACTTGATAGTAGGCACAGGCACCGCTGGCTGGGCGGCTTATAGATCCATCATGGAACATGACAAGACTGCCAAGGTATGTTATACTTATTTACAGTCTTATTCCATTAGGATCAGCTCGCGTAGCATGACGAACTCGAGAATCTTTTTATCTCACTCTCGCCCGAGAAAGTGACATTTGGGTGAAGACAAAGCGTTTTTCAAGTTTGTCATGGTGCACGTGCTGAAGTGCGGTTTTTTACCAGGCTAAACATAGGATACGGCATTTTAGCGATGTTGAGCCGGTATTTAGTTCTATGTCGCCGCTTTGACATGCCTTTTAGTGGACATAATTTGTAATAAATAACTGAGATGGTAACAACTCTATCAAATCTATATTAAATAAGTCTTTATCAATCGTTCGTCGTTGTAGAAAGTACATTTCAAAGTAGAAAAATGAATCTATTTATCGCTATATCAACATGTCCTGTCCTATAGTTGGAGTCATGGCTTATCATTATTTTCTATTTAGTAATTTAAATACTTTACACTTAGAAAACGACAATTATAGCCATTAAATGATTCACATTAAGTTCCTGAAATAATAAAAAAGGTTCAGGACATTTTTAACCGACTTGAAAATCAAAAAGGGTTCGACGGGTATGGATTATTTTCTATTAGAATCCGGTGTAGAATTTATATATGTTATTAATATTGACCGCACCATTTCTTAATAGAAGTTTAACATTGAACCGTTTTTGAAATGAGTATTATTTTGTCAAGATTTTGAAGTCCGATGTTTTCTTTAAGGTATTTTTTGTAACAAAAGAGGATTGTTTTCCGTACGAGCGGCCCGAAATGTCGAAACACATGTGGTGGAACGCCGAGCCTCCCGATATGAAGACTTTGAATTATCTAGAAGCAGGCCGGAGGAAAACGTACGTACTATAATTACTTATTTTTACTCTAGGATTAAGATGATGAGAGAAATAAATGTACTTTAATAAACAGTATAAAATCTGGCAACCTTAATGAGATCTATTCGTGTCGGAGATTCCTTCTTTTTGCATAATATTTAAACAGTAATATACTTTGGCATAATAAATAATAATTTAACATAATCGATAATTTTTGGCATGCAATCAAACGTTTTTATCAATCATTATTTTAGCATTATTATCTTTATAGTTATTTAATCTATTACATTATAACTGAACCAAAATATAAAACTAGCGTCTACCTATGTCGTATCTTTGGAAATATATAGATATGAAATGTATGCCAAAACTGACTAACGACTTTCAAACAAACTGAACTTTAAATTATGAAGCATATAAAATGCAGGCCTAATGATACTTGATTTCAAAATTGTTCTTTGAATGTAATTTACTTATTAGTTTATATTACTTATTTTCTGAGAAATGAAGTTTATGCTATTCTCTCTTCATAATAGCGTTACGTCTAAAATTTTCTATTATGAAGGGTGTCGCTATCTACCTTTAGAAATTGATGGGTGATAGGCACTATAAGATCTTACGCCCATTGCAAAGTAAAGTAAGGTAAGGTAGACAAATTATCGTCAATCTATTAATGTTTTCGTTGCTGGGGAACCCGCCTTTTCCATAGATCGAAACATATATAATAGGGAGAATAGGGAGGGATTAGTGGTGCAAGTACAGCCAACGATTGCTCGGCACGGAGGATATCAAGTTAACAAATTTTCGGTCACCCATTCTTTGTGAGTCCTCTGCGGAAGTTGCTTTACTTTCGCAACAAATTAGGATAATGTTGTCATGTAGTGCTACTTTACATGCTACTTTAATGCTCGTAGAATGTACGTCGCGGACTGCAGCTCATTCATAGATCCTGTAAAGTTTTACCGGAAGAAAGTAGGGCCTGCTGTTTCTATAGCGTCGGGATGGTGCGTGCTGCGAGTGGACGCTGAGAATCACGTAGCGTACGTTAAGACAATGTGCGGTGAACAGCCCATATACTATGAGAGATGCTTATTGGCCCCAGGTCAGTATAAGAACACAGATGAAATGCTATTCAGGCATATTCCTTTTAATTTTCGAAATCTTATTTTAAACAAATTCTAAATTGATTATTGCACCCTACAATTGTCTGTTGATTTCAAAGTTATGTCTAATTGACGATATCCGTAGCCGAGTGGAGGTACCATGGTGTCGCCATTTCTGAGGCCTCGGGATGAATTCCCAGTTGGGTCAATATAGAAAATGGACTTTTCTGCATTGCTTCGACTGTGGGTGTTGTGATACTCTATAGTCGGAGGTTTTAGCTACACATGGTGATACCGATGGATTCATCTATTCCGATGTTTTAAACTGAAAAATAAAATGATTTTACTGGAAGTCTGGGCCCGTATGATAAATACAAGGTTCCCAAACTTTTTTTCTCGAAGACCACTTTTATAACTTTAAAAAAATCGGTAGAATTCTTAACTTAGTTGATATGGTGCGTATCATTTTTCCCATAGGGTCCACACCCAAGAACCTGAGCGTTTTCAAGACAGCTCCAAAGGCGGTCCGCGAGCGTGTAACTACGTTGAGGACCATCAGGTTGAGATAAGCATTCGCAATAAATAATTAATCGATATTTGCCAATTGAGATTGCCCCTATTCGCGTCTTGTCTTTATGATGCGAAAAAACATAGCCGTGCCTGTTCTTTTTTTGATGTTTTCAATATGTTAAATTAATTACATTATTATTATTATATATGATCAATTTTGGATTTCCAACGCTATAGTGAAAAATATTCTTAATGAAAAATGCCTAAAAATCCACTTTATCCTTGGCATACTCAGATGGGACTTGAACCCATGACCTTCGCAATCCAGGTGACTACTCTAACTACTGAGCTTCCCAGGATGTCTCTTTTTTGATTTGTTAAAATTGCACCTTAAGCTTAAAACCAGAGCTTTCCTTCCACCCCGCTCTAAAAAGGCCAAGGTTAGTGTGGAAGGCCTACCTGGTAAAACCCATTGCGGTTCACCTCAAACGTATAGGAAGAACCTAGTATCCTGCTCAAGAAGGACCCGGTTTCTTCCGCCGCGCTGGGACTCCTCTCGGGGGAGCTATCCAAGACTGAAGAATTTCTCAAGCATTTGTTACTTTTTCGCTAATAAAGAACGCATTTTAATCAATGTTCTGTCTGACAATCCACCCAAATGGCCGAAAGAATTTTTTTTTACAAATGTTTTAACTTTCAATAAAGATGAAAAAACAAATATCAAATCAATATTATCACAAAAAGTAACACGCTATTGAAATTATGTTGTTTTATTATTATTATCGGGCTCACTTTTAATTTTAATCCAGCCCGGGAGCATGAAAGAGATCTACGAGTGGAACGAGCTTGCTCAGAAAGAGCCTATACACTTTCGCCTCGAATAGATTTGGGTTGCCTGTTCTCGGGAATATATACGCTTGCAGGGTATTCCACTGTTTGCAGTACGTAGGATAAATGATGTAAAGAAGCTCTTTGTGCGGCGTTTTGGGATATTCACCAATTGAGGATGGTATCCCGCCGTGTGTCTAAATTGCCGATAGTAAAATAGGGCGGGATGACCTTATATTAAATATTAAGAGCACTCTCCGTAATAGTACAGCCTTTAAAAAACTGATAAGAAACAGAATTAAATTAATTACTACTATCAGGGACTTGGAGATTGCATACAGAAAGGTGAAGGCATCTAAACGTGTCGTCATCATTGGTGGGGGAGTCTTGGGCTGCGAACTGGCATGGCATCTTGGTCGAATGAGTAAGATAACTTAATACTCTATAAGGATTATAAAAGAGGAGGTATTATAAAAGAAAAAAAAAGACAGCTTTATCAGGCTCGCGGTTATTTGCGTATTTCTGTTATAGTTTTATTTTGCTTCGAATTATTGGGTCAATTGGAACTTGTTTTTTTACGACATCGTTGTTTACAACAACTTTATCCGAACTTCCGAATATATCACAATACGTTTATTTAGTTAATTTTGTTAGTTCGCAACTAGCTATTATGTTGACACGGCCGTGAGCCATTCGCGTACCGCCGTAGCTATATCCTCCTCACCTCGCGGTGGTATAGGGAACGGAAGAGTGATGGTTGCAGTAGCCGTCAGTAACACTCTTAATGAAATGTTTATGTCTGTTAACATCAAAAGACGGTTTACATTACATGAATAATTAAATATCGATGCACTTGTAAGAAATAAATTGAATGACTGAAAGTCAATATTATATCGGATTATTCAAACTGAAAATTCTGTATTCGATCTTAAGCCTCAAAATGTTGAGGCATAAGAAAGGCCTACATCACTGCAGTGGGAAGGTAAAAAGGCTTATGATTAATTAATGATGATAATAACAGATGACACGTTACATTATGATTAACAGACAAGGTGGTGCCACGGAAAGAAGACGAGGAGCCGATAGAATTCGTGCACATGTACAAAGACAAGGGCATACTGTCCAGCGTTATACCGGAGTATTTGGGTGAATGGGCCGCTGAGAAAATCAAGTGCGAGGGGGTCACGCTCTTGCCTAAGAGTAAGTTTTTACAGACACTTTGGTCGAATCTATAATGAGTTTTATATCAATAACCATAGGGTTCAAATGTCACGAATGAATGGTATATTCTTTATAGTACTAACATTCATACACCATACATTTTAATTAGTTTACGAAGATGATTTAAATGCTACAATCTTTACAACCAGTGCCCATATGGCTTAGACGCGATCTTTTCTTGGCAACTGTTACTCATTTGTCACTAAAAATATTAAAGAAAAGTTTTAAAAAAGCTCAGAGCACACAAATTCAAAATAAGTTTTTTCAATTTGTTGACTACCTTTGTAGTTATTTTTTAAGATTAATTTTGAACTCGTGAGTTAACATTTTTTTTATTATTATTCATATTTGTCCATTATTATCAATTTTATGTCTTATTCATACACCGTTACAGCTCAAGTGTACGATGCATTCATATCTCCTGACGGACGCCTAGAATTGACATTGTCCAACGGCACTTCACTCGTCACCGATTATGTAAGTATTCACTTATATTGCGTCACATTTAAGGCCAGGTTTTCTAATATAATACACCACTCTCACTCCCATATTATTCAATATTATTCATGTAAAATTAGTTCCAAAAAGGCTGAGGTAAAATTCTGTCTCAAAACATTTTTGGCTTGACGAATGAGCGCATTATCACTGTGATGCTTACATTTATGTTTATTATTACTTTTTAATATGAGCAATGCATTTATCGCATGTATGTAATATGAGTGTTAAGTTTATTCAGGTGAGGATCAAAGTTATTGGACTTTATTTCTTCGGTATATCGTTTCGTTCATGGGATTCATTCTACTTAAAATAATATAAAAATTCTTTTGTTTAGGTACTCGTGGCAATTGGTAATGAGCCACGTGTCGAAATGGCTCAATTATCTTTCCTTGAAACCGATGACGTCAATGGGGGATTCAAGGTCAACACAGAGCTAAAGGCTAGGACACATTTATATGTGGTGAGAAGGACAATTTATTCATGCTATTTTTAAACTAAATATTAAATTCAAAAACTAATTATTTATAAAACAAAATTATTGTTTTACTGTTCAGATGTATTCAGATGGATAGAAAAAAATAAACAACGCCCTGTAAGGGAAGGGTTTTTGGACCAACGGTGGGCTAATTGTCTAATTTTATATTCTATCCCTATACCTGTCAAGGGCTTTGTGACAACCATTTCGTTTCTAATATCTCATTAGCTTTCAAATATGCGTCTAAAACTTGCCTTAATTAACGTTAAATTAACGACATATTTCATTCAATACTTTGTTTCAAAAAAATCGCGATCGCACATGTCAAATGAATCTTACAAATATCAAATTGCAAGGTACCACGGTAGATTTTAAAATTAAACAAATTATAAAAAGAATTACACAATTTATTTTTCATGCTACTACATGCTACTACATACTACTACTACATGCGACAAACATAATTTACACACATAACCTTAAAACATTAACTTATATAACATTACAAAAACAGTATAAACTTCTAACTCTTAATCCGTGTCTTAGGTGTTAGTGATCCATTACAAAAAGTTTAAATCTATAGGTAGTGTAGTGTAGGTGTTTATAATTTTCAATTATTATATTTAATTAGCTGACCCGACAGACATTGTCCTATCTTAATTATGAATATTGATATCCAACAGTTTTTTTAACATCCTTTTGCCGATACTTGCAGCGCGCATTCTGTCAATTCTATGTCAAACGTCATAAGGTTACATTAAAAAATTTATATTGTCTAAAGTACTAAGGTTAGATTAGAAATAATTTAAATGGAGGTTATTAATTCTATATTTTCAAATTTTCCACACAATCTTCTTATTTTTTTCTTTCATATAAACCTTCTTATAAGGAACAAACACAACAAAAAAAAGATTAAGCGAAATCGGTCCAGATGTTCACGTGTGATGATGTGACCCAAGGAAATAGAGATTAATAATAAATTATTCTAAAATTTAAACTAAGTTCATTATAGAGTAGCTCGGTGGCGTAGTGGATAAGCGCCGTGGCCCGCGATCTTAGTCGTTAAGCAACTTTCGCTAGGGTCGGTCACGGGATGGGTTACCAAAAAATTGTTATCTCGAGTTACTCCGTGCTTCGGAAGGCACGTTAAGCCGTTGGTTCTGGCTGCATTTGCAGTCGTTAATACCCTCCAACCCGCATTGGGCCAGCGTGGAGGGTCATAGCCCATTCCTTAACCATCCATAAGGAAGGCCTGAGCCTCTGCAGTGGGGACGTAAAAGGGCTGGTGATGATGATGATGATGATGAATAAATAATTATTATAAATATTCTATTGTAAGGCGGGCGACGCGGCAAGTTTCTACTCGCAGTGGAAGGATGCGAGACGTCGCTTCGAACATTATGACATGGCCGAGGAGCAGGGATACGTGGCCGGGTCCAATATGACCGGTTACTGGACACCCAGCAATATGGAGCCACACTACTGGCTCAGGTTGGGCGATAGTCTAGAGATGCAAGTGAGTAAATCATCACCATTTCGTTTTTGATAGCGCAAGGGAAATGCTTCTTAAGCCTTGAACCAAGGCTCTTCAACCACCCGGCTCTGAAAAGTACATCTTACTTGGATAGTCTACCTGGTAAAACATCCGAGCTCTTTCTATCTCGCGGATAGAAAGAGCTCGGTATCATAGAATAATATAGTAGCGAAGCTAAGAACAAGCGGTTGAAACATATGCACACAGAGAATTCTCAGGGGGTCTCGAGGTGAGCTCAGTTGCGCTTATCACGGCAAGACTGCTAGACGTACGGAGAGTGAGCGATCTCAATAAAAATTACACGAAAAAAATTGTGTAGTATACGGATGTTTAAAGTCGACGTAACGCAGTTGTTTTAGTAAAGAAATCATTAATTGTAAAATATCGGAATTAATAAAAAAAAAAAAGAAACAGATGAGATCCCTTTTAACGCCCCTTGCCCCTGTTTCTTAATAGTTTATTTAAAAAATTATTTATAAGAATGAGGTTTTTTTTATATAATAGATTTTATAATAAAGCGTTCATATTACAAGGTAATAACAATAAATATATTTTAAAAATAATATGATATTGTTATATTACTAACTAGTTTTATTAAGAAGGCAACTCTAACGCTCCAATGCAGAGTAGGTATTTATTTCCAGAATTCGCTCAAGTTTCGCCACTGTATTATTCTGTGCCGGTATCCTGTATGGAGATTATGCCCAGCCCATTAGTGTGTCCACTGTTGGGGCAAAGACCTTCTCTATGTGAAACAGATACATTTCTATAGTCGCAATAGAAATGTATCTGTTCCACTCCAAATTACAAATTACACGCGACAGCAATATAGTTTATACCTTAATACTGTATAAATAAAGTGGAATTTGAATAAACAAATATTAGACAACATTACATACAGATCATTCAGATTCCAAGATGAGTAGCTGATGCCCCCGTATTACGGACTATCTGAAACAACGAAGGTACCCTAATACCTAAACCAGAGACAATATAGAAAAGTATATTTTCTACATTGAACCGATTGGGAATCCAACCTGGGTCCTCAGAGACGGTGAGCTCTCGACGCGTATTTATATGTTCCCTTATAAATACGCATCGAGAGCAAAGACGCACTCGTCTGATTTAATACATTTATAAATTACAAAAAAAAAACGACTCTTAAGTTAAGATGAAATATAGTAGTCGTAAAATCAATTGTATAAAAAACCTTTTTACAGTCGTCTTTGCGATATTTTTGGTATCGAGCCAGTTATTGAAATTTATGTCTTCATTTTTAGCAATCAATCAATTATAATGTTTAGTTTTATAAAACGAATGATTTATATTTGGCAAATATTAGCATAGCCTCAGAATAAATGTGATTTTAAAAGTGGTAATTTCGCCTGAAACCAATCTCGGCCGCGGAGGTTTCTTTCTCCTTCATTCGTAATGTTTGGTTATGATCAGGTGGTGGGCGAAGTGGGTGGTTGTATGCCCACTGTTGGACTATTCAAGCCGTGCGCTAGCGAGTCAGCGTCCCGTACACAGCCCGTCGGTCCGGACGGCGACAGGCCGTGCTATAAAAAGTCAGTAACATTAATCTTACCTTTTTCTTTTTACAAGTTTTTATTTAACTTGCCTTGTTAGTATGGTTGTTCTTTTGATCCACTTCCTGATGTCAGATAGGTTCGAAATTTTGCATAGATATATAAGTCAGATGACAATGTAATATTTATTTATTTATATATGAATGGTTACAATTGATAGATAAACTTTAAGTATTTACACTAAACTATAGTCTAAGATGTGTACACACTACTTACTAAATACTAGAGTCTGATTATCGCATGAGGCGAAGCCGAACGGGATAATAGGTTGACTCGAGTGTTATTTTTTACACCGAGTAAAAATAGAAACTGCGAAAAGAAGAAAACAAACTAAAGCAGATGTTTTAGATTAAAAAGCACAGTGTGTAAGCGTAGCAGCAGTTGCAATATTAGTAGAGATTAGCAACAAAGAAATGCATAAAGTAAAGCTTCTTTTGTTTATTCGTATTAGATTCCGAGTCAGGTAAATATTATATTAAAAGTATTACAAGTATCAAGATATCTTTATCCCTTCTCCCAAATGTTGCCTTCTACAAATCTTAATTTCCCGATTTGCCATCAGGTTCTGGTACAGCTATGTCATTCTGAATATTATTTCAGATTTCAAAAAGGTTATATATTTGAACTCTTTGATATTGAGATGAAAGCGATTTTTAACAGATTGAAATAGAAAAATTTGTTAAGTTTTTATTGATATTTTCAGCATTTAACATATCTTATTCATACCAAACATGTCGCTAGGTTAACACAAAGTGCCTTTACGGAACTTCATAATGCTTTTATTTAATCGATTTGGATCGATCGAATCGGGGTTTTAAGCCCGGTCAACATAAAACTCAGATATCTTTACTTGCTTTAAACCTTAATGTATTGTAGGTTTAGTTCTAAATCGGAGGAAATGACATATGGTACGAGTAATCTTACGTTTAGGACATTTTAATTAAATCTATTTGTTTTTACATTTATAGTTTGAGTGAGTTGATGTTACTTAATGAGTAAAATTTAGGAGCGAACAATACCTGAACCGGTATAAGAGAGGCATGCTGTTCTACTTGCGGGACGAGACCGTTGTCGGCATGGTCTTTTGGAACTTCCCGCCAATAGATGACCGAAAGGAAGTTGCCACCGAGGTGAATAAATAACAATATAAACATAACCAGTTGCAATTGAGTTTGGCGTTCAATTATCATTAGTTTTTTGCTTTTGTTTTAATTTAATTTGTTATATTCGGAATACGACGTGATTTTGCTATAAATTTTGTATGATCGAAAAGAGCTTTGAATATTTTGCTTAATTTAAGTTTATTTTATGAATGAAAGTAATTATTTTTTTATGTGTTCATAAAGTTGCTGCGTGCGAAGCCTTCTTACAAGGACATTAATCTGCTCGCCGAACTCCTCGGATTCCCTGATTTACAATGCGTCTACATAGCCGAAGAAGAACTGAAGGATCCAGGGCCATGCATCCAAAGGTATTCAACTAAAACAAAACATGTTTCTGGAGCAAGTAAAAAAACATAGTTCTTATGAAGAGATCACGGAAAGGAAACCAAGAGCAGATGACCTAATAAAAAAAATCCAAATCAGTTCCGGCGTCTTTGATTAATTAGGAATACATAAATAACAAAACATATGCATTAATATTTCGACGAATTAGCCCTGTTTGCTGCAGACAGAGACACACACGCACGTGCACGCACATACACATAAATACACGCACACGCGCGCAGACACGCACACGCATAAATTTGAATTCGGGTTCGCATGTTTACAGAATCGCGGGACTGCTACGGTTTTTACGCCAATTCGGCGCAATCGAGTACTTGAAGTTCCTTTAAATCTTAAGCGACTTCCCTTTTCCACATATCTTAGACGACCCACCGGACAACGCCTAGTTGGTTCCGAGGCATCGGTTTTCACGTTTATATAAATTTTGAAAATAGTTCTTTATTATCTATTAATTAATTATTGATTATAGCTTTCCACCAGCGGCTTCGTCCACGTTGTCTCTAGGGAACTGATTATATGGATGTCGATTCATATCATGATATGATTAAAATTACAAATTGAATAATCATGGTTACAATAGTAACGTTTTAATTCCCCATACAAACTTCCACTCCCATTTCATCAGTTTATTTCCTATTTTTCGGGATAAAATATAGCCTATGTTCACCACATATGATGTAGCTTCCCATAAGTGAAAGGATTTTTAAAATCGGTCCACTAGTTTTTTGCAACGAATATCGTTGCAAAAAACACACAAACAGACAATCACTCTTCATCCTGTCTATACTAATATTATCTTTATAAAATTTAAGTGTATGGTTTTTAAATTTGTATATTTGATATATGTGCTCTCTTAAAAGCTAATAAAAAGCTGATAAAATAGGCATTAGTGACCTAATTTCAATTTCTCGTATTTATAAACGTATTTGTTTCAGATGGAGAGAGTTTTGATTTTGGCGAGCACGAAAATTATGGCGTCTAACACTGACAGTGGAAAACGAGTAGAAATTATGACTTTATAAAAGATAATTATCTTTTAAATTACAATTTACCTCTGAATATTTAAGTGCAAAATTTAAGTTGTACGTAGTACGGTGGGGTATAAAAGGTTGATAATGCTCACTTTATTAAATAAATTCACTTATAAAAAATATTTAAAAAAAATTGTTAAAAATGATCGACTATGTTTTCTTAAATGGTTCATATTTCGAAAATCATTACATTTACAACTAACAGAACTTTGGGTTATACAAAACTGTTAAATTCTACGATTAATGCATCAACGTTAATAAAAATTAACAGAAAAGAAATTTCGATAAAACGATGTGGTCTGTTTAATTCTAGTTCCCAATATACGAGGAAAATTATAATCAATAAATGTAAATATGTAGTGTTAATTTATCACTTACAGTTAATAAAAAAAAGGATAAAAATCAGTTGTTTTTGATTTATTTATCATAAATATAATTTCCTTACAACAAGAAAAAATACATAACGTAATTTGTGTTTTGTTAGAAATAACGCGTTATAAAATAAAAGTTACCTGATTTCGGGGTAAATAATAACGTTTAACGATGGTAATATTTGGCTGAGGTTTTGTGTTCCGAGCAATTACTTAAATTTAATTTTTTAATTACTGAAAATGTAAGTTTTCTTCAATACTTATGTGTGAAATGTGATTCCACCCTGCTTTTTATTTTTTGAGGATTGGTTTTTTACAACCTTTTAATACACAATTCGGCAGTTAGTAAGAAATTTTTGATTTTTTTTTTAATGAAACGTTCCGCACACTGTCTTTAGTTAGACTGATAAGGAAGGCGTAGTTTCGTTATTTATGTGTGCATGAAACTGTGTAAGTCACCATATTAAAGTATTTAAATAACGGGAAGATTTAAATAAAGTTTTTTGCTGATAAAATTTTATAAAATTCTGTAGTGGAATACCACTCCACTACAGAGTTTTATAAAATGTCTCGCTTAAAAATGATAAATAAATCCCACCAAAAATATATTCATGTAAAGTGTTGCCAAGCCGAGACCTTATAATTCGCACTGTCAAAAGTTTTTCCGATCTAGTAGAGCCAAGATTCTAGGTCTACACGCCCTAAGTCGTAGCACGGCCATTCTGCTACCATCAAATGTATATAAAGTGAAAATTTTATTTACCATTCATTGTTTTTCTGTTATGAATATGGTATATATTCTCGTAGAAACGAAACGGACAAGCCGCATGTTTTAAATAAAGTGTAGTGTATGTGAAGTAAGGGCTTGTAGAGTTACGGCATGTAGTTAGAATTTTGGCTCTACGATATCTGATAACTTTTTGACAGGGCGAGTCATATGATCTCGGCTTAGCAACACTTTACATGATAAAGTTTTTGGTGGCATTTTACTTCTTTTTGCAAGTTGCTTATCACAAATTTTATTTCTTGCACACTAGAGGTGCCTTCTCAATAAATCATCGTAATTTTAATCTGACAGCAACTCGGGTCTACATCTTACATTTCTTTCATCATCTTACATCCCATTGCCATACAATATTTCATTTTGTAAGTATTTTTCATCACGTTTTATATTTTTATTGGCATTTATCAAAATAAATATATATATATATATATATATGTATATATGAAGATATGAAGGCCAGTTTTTGTATCTCGACATCGGCTTTATTCCCAAAACGTAATAATCTATTAACATTCGTCATTCATTCTTTCATCGTGATTTCGTGGTATTTTATTGACATATCAGAATATTTCCTTTGCATATTCTCGGCTAGGATTTACTTGAATTACTGTGAACGGAGCTGAGTGGAAGAATATAATCATTACGACTCTTTTTTTATTTTAAGTGTCCCCATAACTTAAAAATGCCCTTCCTTGTTAACCATCCATAAAGAAGATGGCTTACATAAAAGGACTGATGATGATGCTTGAAAGGGGGTTTGTACTATAGGTGATAGCAATAAACTTAAGTAGATTTAACCCATCATTTCGTTACCCAAACATAGTATATAAATACTTGTTCTTTTTTTTTAAATTTGCAAATTAATTCTTATCATAAGTCATTATAAAGGTATTGAATAAAATCTTACTCAAGTGAGTCCAATGTGACATTAACTGTTTCAACTTTATCTGCAGCATTCAGCGCTGGAATAGTGATACTGTGTTGATTTATCATTGCGTCCAAGCAAAACCACGTCTCATAGAGCGATATCAGTGACACTATGAGTAGACATACCTTTAAATACTTACATAATAATATGTTCAGTTACTTGCTATAAAACGAACCAAGCATGAACTTTTTAAGATTTATATCCATTAAGACTTAAATGAAGGAAGTCAATTTGTGGGAAAAGGAATTATTTATATCTATACTATTAAAGAGGAAAGATTCTATCGTTTGTTTGCATTAAATACGTTCCGAAAGCTCTGGACTGATTTTAAAAATACTTTCAGTTAACGAAATCTGCATCATACGAGGGTAAATTAGGCTATAATTGATACCGGCGAAGTCGCGAATAAAACACCTCTATTAGGCCAATATTTTTCCTGGAAATTGAATAATGACAGTGTGTTCATTCATTTACCTTAATCAGTTCCTGTGCACCTTACTTTATTTTACTTACCCCCTTAATGTTTACCATCCTATTTTATACTATTTTTTTTTATATTTTACTTTTTGAAGAAGAATAACAGTAGTACTTACTTACTCTTCTCCACTAAGCTTATTTTAGTTTAAATTTTTAATGAACAATATTTTGTTTATAACGGCACGATGAAAGAACGAGACATATGGCCTCCGTTGTGAATATCTTTCTCGGCTCGAATTAGCTTCTGCACAAAGAGTAATTAAAAGTATATTTTAATTAATAGTGATAAGGTTCATTTTTGTATTTACAATTTTCGAAGTTATAAGTCCTGTTATAAACACCAAGTCTATGGTGATTCTACGGAAACTTGATTTTTCGGTTTGACACATCCGTCATTATTATTCTTCGAAATTAATAAAAACGATTAATTTTTTTTTAAACTGCCGACTGTCTGTCTGCTACGAAATGAGATCCTGTAGAGATTTTAAATTAAAAAATATTAATCGAGATTCATTATTTTTTAAAAACAATAATGAAGAATGTATCAAACCGGAAATTCATGTTTTCTTATATAAAAATATCCTAAATAATGAGCAAGATAGTTGATAGTTAGGTTTGATACTAGCTATTTCACGTGACTTCTAACGCGTAAATAATAGCCTATGTCAAAAAATCATTGCTCCTCTTTGTATAGATTGTAGATATAATACCTATGATAAAAGTCCTATATATCTATATAGTTTAATCATGGTTTATATAATCTGTATCATGAATTTGTATTTTGAAAAAAGAATAATATTATTAAATGATTTGAGATATCCAAGCGTTGACTATAAAAACATAATTTATTGTATTGTATTCAATCAACTCAATTTAGTTTTATGGATAGTAGTTCTAAAATAAGAATTTAGTTATGTATAGTAAAAAGAAGAAAATAAGGCAGCATGATGTTATTTATGATAATACAACTAGAGATACAATACCTAAAAGAGGATACTACTCGGAATTGGTATCTGATATGACGAAGGATGACCCGCTCAAAGATATTTGTGCAAAGAAAAGAATGAAATTGTTGTTACAAGTAAGTACGCTAATTCAATCAATAGACATTTACTTTTTTGTTAACTACAGGTCTAATAAAAGATATTTGTTGCTGGAAATTTTATAAACTCATTTAAGTGGACCTACGAATTTTATTATAGTTTATAATAAAGTAATGGCTGCATGGGGTGTAGATTCCTTTGTGTCCCAGGTAAAGATTGGCGGGAAAGAGTTTACTTTTGTAATTATTTTTATTTTTCTAATGATTCTGTTAGACGTAATAAACAAATGTGATTTAGTAATGTACCTAAATTATCTTTTTTTTAATTATAGCTGTGAGCAATCTCTGAAATTCATGTTTTAATTAAAGAAAAAATGGGTAATGTAATAATATGCACATATTAAAAGCAATTAAAGGTATATCAGCCTATTGGTGTGTCAGGGCCAGGCCTTGTCATTGGTTAAAAACGCATCGAAAAAGGGAAATAGGCAGATCAGTGGGTGTTTACGACAGATGCAACTGGGACGAATGGCAATACAAACTTGTGCACGCGTATTTAAAATACGTGCTATAAAATTATGAAATATTTATTCCAATAATAATTATAACTATTCTGCTACAAATTTTGTTCATTTTATCGTAGGAGAAATTCACAGTTAACTTAAATCTATTTTAGAAGATTTTCGGTTTAATATTAGATTTTCGTTTCCACTTTATCAATGATATTAAAAAATGTTCTTAGCGGCTGCCTCGAAATAAGATATTATTTATTTTATTTAATTTTTTTTAGACCAGTAACTAAATTCAGAAGCTCGAAAACATCGGTCCTTTTATGAAAATGATTCTCTGCAATTTTAGGTTTAATTACTAATTAAGTTATGCCCAATTTACAAAACGCGAGGTCGCCATGATCTATGCCAATAGTTAATATATTTTTTTGGCATTTTTACGCAAAAATCACAGTAAAAGTGTTATAGGACTGTTAATGTGTTAATGAAGCATGCAGGAGCTCGAGACAATATATTTTCGGTCACTCATACTATGACTGACCTATGTGAAAGTTGCTTAACTTTTGCATGCCCTTCGAGCTTTCTAGTATGTACGAAATTATGGATCATATATTTTTTTTTCAGGCAAAAACTGATCGATTTGCTCCCACGCTTATTTCCCTTCCTAAACCTCAGAGGGCTAAAATACTATTGCCGCCCGGACGCTGGACTACCTATAGAGAAGATGAAAGCATCGTAAAATTATTTTTTACATTAATATTGGTGACTTGTAGAGTTTAAGTAACGTAATTATTATTATATTTGATCAACCCTGCATTCATGATGCTATACTAAAAATTGTGGACAGGGTGGGTTTTTGAACATTTTTCATTAAGAATATTTGACGTGATTATGTTTATTTTTTGGTGGTGTGAAATATCTTTAAATAGATAGGCGTATAGGATAGGAAATTAGTGGCAGGTTTTATTTGTGATTTGGATGGAAATGAATCGAGTTTTTTAGGGAGAATGGACATGATCAACCACGCGGGTACAGTGCTGATTGGAGGGTATTAACGACTGCATATGCTGCCTGCATCAACGGCGTGCCTGCCGAAGTACGGAGGAGTTCGAGATAATTTTTGGTTACCCATCTTATGATCGGCCAGTGTGAAAGTTGCTTACCTTTATGCGGACCGAGAGCACTAACTACGGCGTCACTGAGCTTCTCCTTTTTTTAGTCGAGCATTATTATATAAAAGAGTATGTATACATTGTGTTGCTAATTAACTACCTTTATCTTTATGTCGGAATTCATCTGATTTCTTTCGGGGTAGGAAGAAACACAAAAAAACCTAAAAACCATGGTTTTTACACAAACACAATATGTAAACAGTTACCAAATATATATTACATAACGTTATAAGTATTCAAAACACTTGCATTATGGGAATCTGAAACAAAGAAGTCACCATATCACCGAGACAAAACACAATCTAGTGTACACTGACGCCCGACTCTGAATCGAATTCGGAACCTGAGAGACGGCGACATTTTGTAAGCGGCGTGCGAACCACTGCCAGGAGGTCGTCTCACTTCCTTGATGTTCAATTCTTTTTGTTGTTGCCAAATGTTTTTAGTTTACCATTTCTTGTATTATGAATAATGTGGATTGTAGAGAGCACATAGAAATAAAAAAAGGAAATTTATATTACCTCGTGTGTTTATAAGTTTTGAGACAAAATAAAAGTTGCGTAAACTTTTTAATAATTAACTTATATTTCTAAAATTTTCAGTAACTATTAAATAGATAAAAATCAACAATAAAATATATATTTCATTTAAAATTACTGCTCTAGTTTTCAATACAGGCCCTTAGACGATCTGGCCAGTCATTAATGGCGCCACGAATCTTTTCTAGCCGAGGAGCTTTGTTTCTTAAACAAGTGTTCGCTTCAGTGACTCCAAGTTTGGGTGGGACTTTCGGCAGGCCCTGAGCTCTAATTCAGTCCATAAAGAATAATCGAGCGTGTTGAGGTCGGGGTTGGAGGAGGGCCACTTGTCCGCCGCGATGACGGCTGGCACATTGCTTTTTGCCTTATGGGATGGCGCCAAGTCTTGCTGAAAAACCCAATCCTTATACTTGTCCGCCGCGATGACGGCTGGCACATTGCTTTTTGCCTTATGAAATGGCGCCAAGTCTTGCTGAAAAACCCAATCCTTATACTTGTCCGCCGCGATGACGGCTGGCATATTGCTTTTTGCCTTATGGAATGGCGCCAAGTCTTGCTGAAAAACCCAATCCTTATACTTGTCCGCCGCGATGACGGCTGGCACATTGCTTTTTGCCTTATGGAATGGCGCCAAGTCTTGCTGAAAATTTTTTTCAGTAAAAAGTTTTTTCAAAACTTATTAACACACGAGGTAAACCTATTATACTTACCTAATTATATTATTATTAATGTGGAAATAACCCTATCTGTTTTTTACTTCGAAACTATTGAACAGATTTTAATGATGTGTATAGGTAGAGTGTAACCTTTTATCACGAAAAGACAGGTAAAAGAGGGAATGAAAGTTTGTAGGGAAAGCTCTTATTATATAACATTTGATGATTTTTAAATTTATATTTGGTTTTTAATGAAAAATGATTTATTAAGAATGAGAAGTATTAAGAATATTTACCAATAACATTTGATTGGTTAAAATGCCAAAAAGATAACTTGATCATTGGACAGCCCATATTGAGCCTTATATTAAGTCAATATTAAGCCAATAAGTCATAATACAATTGGTTTAAAACCAACAGCAATTTCCATTTGAGACGTTTGTGCCGAAGCTGCAGTTCCTTAGTATAGTACTACCCAAAGAGTTACCCAGACTTGTTAAGATAGAGCGATTGCGGAGGAAATTTCTGGCAGCGAATATTAAGGTGAGTATAATGAAAGCGTCAAACGAATCATGAAAGCATACAATATCAAAATGTATGTCAACGGTTCATATTCGTAATAGTTCTTAGTAATAAATAACTATGTGACTATAATTTATATTGAATGCTTTGTCATCTTTATCATCATCGGTCCATGTTTGTCCACTACCGGACATAGGCCTCTCCAAGCGCACGCCATCGATCTCGATCTTTGCCTACTCGTAATCAGTTTCTTTCGTAATCAACTTCAAAAAGGAGATCTGTATCCACCGGATACAGATCTCCTTTTTGAAGTTGTCTTTACCCAACTGTACTATTTTACCAAGCTAAACATATTATTGAACAACTTCTAGGACACTACCTTGTACTATAATCGGTCTCAGAAGATAAAACATACTACTTGTAGTGTATTTTTTAGAAAATTGTTTTCCAGAAAATGCTTAGAGAGTTGGGAATACAACCGTATTGGTTACTGCCTCCATCAGAATTCAAACTCACTGAACAAGAGCTTTATGGTTTATACAGTCCGTTTCATAAAATGGATTTGGAGATATTCGATAACACAGATTTCGACTGCAGGTGATTTTTTCAATTATATTTCATCATCGTCATCATCATCAACAGCCGTGCATCGCCCATTGCTGCAACCTTTATAAGATCTTCGGTTGACCCGGTGGCAGGGCCTTCCCACCGAGCGTCGTCCGGTACGCGGTCACGTCATTCTAGAACCTTTCAATGAACCTCAATTATAATAGGTTGGGGAAAGTAAAGGTGGGTAATAGGTTTTGCTGAGTGGCGAAAGATGTGTGAGGTCTAGCGTTATCACGATGAAAAATCACATCCTTTCAAATAATTAGTTCTGGTCGCTTTCTTTTAATTTCTTGCTTTAATATCATCGGTTGTTCGCAGTTGAATTCAGAATCGATGGTCTTGCCAGGCGGTAATAGCTCATAATGAATACATGCCCTTACAATCCCACCATAAACACAGCACCACCTTGTTGCGAGTAAACCCAGATTTCGCCGCAGTCTGTGAAGCCTGACCGACCTTTGACCATTACCTTTTTCGCAGTTTCTTGTCGTACGCGATCCATTTTTTATGACTATTTGTCAACTTCTTCAAAAATTATTCGATTCCATTACGCCGTAATAAAGAATCACAAATGAGTAAACGTTCATAAGGTTTCTTGCAGTAAGCTTGTGACGTACTCAAATATCCAATTTTTTTGTGTACCTAGCTCTTTTCAAATGCGTCAAAACTATTTTGTGGCCAATCCCCAGTTCTTCAGCTACGTCATAACTACTGGCATGCCGATCTTGCACCACTTTTTACAAAATGGCATTGATTTTATCCGTAACCATTGAATAACAGGGCGACCGGAGTGATGTGCATCTTTGACATCAAAATATCCGGATTGATAATGCTTAAACTAAATTTGTGCTACACTCACAGAAACTGCACTAGGTCCATAAACGTCACAATATTTTTTAGCGGCTTGCGTTGCATTTTTTTTGTAATAAAATTTTTAAATGTTTCGTGTTTCTTCATTAGACTCATTCATTTAGACAGTAAGAAAACCAAATGAAAATCACAGCTTTTCCTATTTGGATTCGAAGGTTTCTTCTATAAAATTTAAACTTGTTAATAATAACTAAATCAACGATATACAAATGTCACAAAGATTTTATTTGAAGTTTATGCATACTACAAGCGAAAAGACTTTCCCCAACCTAATATTTATCTTCTTCCTCAAATTTTATATGTTTACGCTTTTGCATTTTTATACTTGCTTGGTACTATTTGTACTACGTGAAATATACCGTAATAAGTATATACGAAGAAACATGTTAAAATTTTTACTCATCCATATGACATTACCCATTATTTTACGTTATAATTGTTAATAAAACCAAACGAATTTTAGAATTTATTTGTGGATCCTTATTCTGAATACAGGATTCCTGAAGAATGGCTGTCGTTGGGTATGATTGAAGGCGAACAGTATCCATGTCCGGGACTCGCTTTCCTACCTAAAGATGAGAGTAAAGCGAACAAAATGGCCGGTGATATTTTACAGATTCTGAATAATCTTTACGAGGTATACGAGGTTGATTTTAGTATTGCAATAATTAAAGTCCATCTACAATATCGTGATACTATGGCCTTGAGAATATGTTTAAACCTAGACAGTCGTAACGCAACAATGAAGTATTCATCTGTAGCGTTTCGCAGTTGTCTGTGGGAGAGAGATAGTTTCCACAGTAGTAAAAAGTCTATTTTACTCGCGAGATTCTCATTAACCTGCAGATATTAAGGCCGCCGTTACATTTGCTCGTTAAAGAAAGATGAATAAATATATTCCTAAAATATCATTTATTGAATATTTTAATTATGTAGCCTCTATTTTAATAGCCGTCTATTTTAGTAGCTTATATTTTAATAATGATCACACCTACAATATTTTTTCTAAGGTGTGGCGTTCTCCGAAGAAAATGTGATGCTATATAACATCACATTTCAAGAAAATGTGATGTTTCGTCATTAAGAAAATGTGATGATTATAACATCACATTTTCTTGGGAAAACTTGTCAATTTGTCAATAATAATAACTAATATTTCTATATATTCAAATAAGTTTCTAAATGAGTTTTTTTGTAAGATAGTAAAAAGCTTTTTAGGAAAGATTGGCACATGGTTCAAAACTTTTTTAAGAATACAGGGATTGTTTAGTTTGCTACAAATATTATTGTAATAGTGAATATAATTTTTAGTGGACAAATGTTGCTGCTTTTAGCTTTGATAAAGCAACAGAAACCTGGGAAGTAATGGCATTAGATGGGTCCAAGAGAAGATTTAAGTAAGTTGTGTTGTGTTTATCCGGATACACGCAGATAGACGCTAATAAAGTCAAAAGAGGCAATTACATAATTTCTTTGCGCCTTGCAAATGATTAACAGGTGACAATTTTGATGATTCAGCGCGTCCGTGTATCTCTTCTTTACTGAAAGTAGTATTCATTCTGAAATGTCCTGGTAAAGAAATTGATTGAATTCTACAACTCTTTTCTTTGGCCTTCTTCAGTGCGGTATACTCTGATGGTGTTGTATTTACCTTATTAATGCCTTCAATACTAGTGGGCCATAATCCACCACGCGAGCCCAGTCTGCATTGGTGGTTAACGACCGTTGATGTAGCCGGAATGACGTGTTTTTCGTAGTATGGTGGAGCTCGAGATCATAAAAGTTTGGTCATTCGTCCGATGACGCGTCTTTTAAAGTTGCTTAACCTTTTATGGATATTTTCAAAGTAAATATAGATAATAATAAAGTAAAGTAGATTTCACTTTTCTGTTTATTTCTTTACCTACATCACAAGTAAGCTCAGCTAATGATTGCAGCATTCCCCGGATACGATTAATGTTTAAGGCAGACGACCCTGAGACATTTGCTCAACGGGTCAAATTCGCCGTAGATCTTCGCCAGCAGGTGGAGAATGACCTGAGGTTTGCCTTTTGATACTTCACAACATGCTAGCACGAAGAGATGGAAGTTCAAGAACAAGATCATGAAAATTTTACTATTTCATTTAGTTAAATGATAATTTTTTGCTCAAAAAACATTTGCTTCTTAATCTTTCGAGTAAGAATGATGATATTTCTTATCAGATATCATCTAAACATAAGTATGTTTTGTTTTTAGGTTTTATTTGTACTTGGATTGTTTGCGTTTGGACGGTTTACCTATGATGCCCTTACATTATATGCCCGCTATTATCAAGATGGTGCGCGTTCATCATCAGGCAAAGGATATTGATGAGGCCCATTTAAATGCTCTAAAGCAAGAGGTAAAATCTTAATTATGATTGATTTTTTTGATTATAAATGAATTAAATGAGATCAATTGATAGATAAAAGAAGAATCAGTAAACTGTTCCATTAGTATATAGATATTAATTGATCTAAACCTTACATTTACTTTAAGATTATTTCATAATTTTAACTTCCCCTTTTAGGCAGAGCTTTCATACACAAAGATGGAAGGTAAAATGAAGATGATATACACAATTCGAAGATATAGAGATATGTACAACTTTATCGTAGAGCCTACCAAGGACTACGTAGCACCTGTGCCCGAATACGGTATAATAACATGAGGTTTTATATTTATATATAAATAGATTAGAAACAATAATAGAAACAGTAAAAATTCATTCAACATGAACCCTTTAATTAGGTTCATTAGTTAATATAAAAATACGGCGCATGTGCTCCATAAGTGTCACTGCAATTATGTGCAATTCCTTCAAATTCAAAAGCGAAAACGATGCCTACTTTTTTTATAATATGTTCGCCCTTATCAATCTGTTGTTTGATTAGTAAAGTCTGCACCGGCGAAGCAATTTTTTGTTATTCGACAGAAAAAGAGACATACATACACACAAAATGCCGCAAGTAAAAACTTCAAGCAATTTCCTGACTTAAACACTAACAGTGCTATTAATAAACAAGGCTTAGTGTCAGAGTAAATTTACGCTAAAATTGCAATTTTAGTGTCTATCCAAATTCATATTATACAGAGAAGAAGCTTACCTACTAAGTTCTAGGAGCAAATATTACTCCCGTAGAACCTCGTACTAGGTTAACCTTTGATGTCTCTGGTTAATAACATGATTTTTGACTAATACTTAGTGTAGTCTCAGCGTAAATTTACTCTATCGCTAAACCTTGTTTATCAATAACTGTATAGTATCAAATTTCTTTCGTTTATTTATAAGCGTGAAAAAATTTGGACAATTTTGTTGATGCAATTGTCATCTAAACCTATCGCTTCGTTTTTGTATGTATTTACGTATTAATGCTGAAAAGACTAGTAATTTTAGAAGACACTTCTGTCATATTTCTTGACCATAAGTTTATAAGGTGATTCTGCTTCAGGCAATTATCCTTGCGTGATGGAAGACTTTGATGGTCGCGTGAAGTACAATCAGTGGTTTTCCTTATATGTGCTCTCGGAAGCTGTATCCTGCATCCATTTAGTAGTCGACGAATGTTTAAAGGTGAAGAGGCTGTCGCCATTGCTGGACTATTAGCTCATCACATGGACGGAATTAAATATGGAAAATGATCTATAATCAACCATTCAGGTACAGTACAGATGGTTGGTATTAACGACTGCAGATTCAGCCATGGACAATCTACGTGTAATTTCTTGGTTATTTATAATCTTCTTCTTCGCGATGGTTATGAAAGCCTGTATCCCGATAGAGATTGCTTTGTTATAACGGTTATTCTCAAAATTATAGAGGAGAAAAATTGTAGCAACGTTTATATTTCCTAGGTGGAGTCAATGCTGTTCTTCACTGTTAACCACGGACGGAATGTCAGCCTGGCCGAGTTTGATGCAACACAGCAACATTCCACTTCGATGGTATATAAACAATTAGTACATCCACAGGGCTATGTGTTTTATAGTTTGCATTGAGGATGATGATGCTCAGTTTAGTTTTTCGTTCCATAAACGAATTAGGTCGTCGGCTCTCTTTTCGAACAAGAGAAAGTCTTTTAGCTTAAACCTGTACTTAGCAGTTTGGTTTAGTTTTAAATATTGCACTTAAGAAAATGTTTTTACTGTTAAATTTTAACAATAGATTTAGTTATTCGTAGTGTAATATTATGCCTATCGAACTAACAAAACAGAAAAAAATGTTGCCCCACAAACATTGATGTAGATATGTATTATAAATTAAAAATTAACGTTAACATATTAAGAACGTAGGGCTACTCACAAAAGCTTATCTTGCTTTATGTACAGATGCTAAAATACTTGAACATCACGTGGCTAAACAATACGGCACATGCTATAAGAATGTCATTTAGAGACGTCGGTAAAGGGTAAGCTGAATAATGAAGTTATTTTATAAATTAGTTTCTATCTTGTCTTTGTTTATTTTTTTAAATATTGCAGATGGTATAACATATATGAGAAGAAATGGGAGTTCTATGGCGTCAGTAAGCTTTGTAGGTTTATGCAATTAGTCAGGTTTCGGATGCAGGTAAGTTTAATTTTCTTTAATGGCAGATTATTAATAATTTCTCGTGCACGTTGATCTAATAATGGCATAATTTTACAAATCATACTTTTTGGTATAGTCATAATTTTCAGGTATTAACCTGAAAAGTTAGCACAGAATGTTTCAAATAATACCTTACGTAGGTAAATTTTTCTATTATTGTTTTCTTCTATTTATAATGCTATTTTCAATTAACCTAAAGATGTTAGACTACAGTAATTTCTGTACGTTTTGTTCAACCCCCAAATACTTAAACTGATAATAAATTGTGAATTTGTAATTCAACAAAGCCTACTAATACATCTGCTGCTCAGATTTTGGAAGAAATTTTAGAAATATTCTTTAGTAGGTTTCATGAGTCTAATACCTTTATTAATTTTAATTTAGTTATATACGTTTCCATTAAAGTTTGTTTTTAAAAATGTTTAACGCTTAGATATGCGGTATTATCTTGTTCCTGTCATTGTTGATTTCATGTCATCAATCCAACTGATTTTGTTTTCTTTTCATCCAGTACGCGCTCCGCTACTGTATCGAGCAGTCTATGGCTATGTTTGTGAATTTGTGCGAAACTCCTTGTCTGTGCACTTACTGGTGTGAAGATGATTATGAGTGGGATTCTTCCGATCTAATTAATTCACCTTTTCGTTCACCCACGCCGACGTTGTTCTATTTCCATCTAATGATATCTGCAGATGGACCATATTATACTACTAGTCCGGATCAGTTTGAGGTAAGATCACCAAGAATAACAGAAATACTAGCAAAGATATATGAAACTCGTTTTATTATTCTATTCCATTAAAAATATATAATGACTCGTAAATTGATTAAATTTTTCGATGTAAATCCATAATTATGTATTTTAAATTTAGTTCTTTGAATTCCTCGATTTTGATACCATCTACTGCATCTGTCTAATTATTTTGTTCATATCAGCATATTTCAGTGATATTTATTTCTGTAACAGATTGTTATCCAGAGGTTGTTCAGGGAGATGCTGTATCGTTGTCACTTTATCCCGCAAGTTCATCCGATGATTATGACTGGACTCGTTTTTGACAAGGAGTTATTTCTTACTTCGATCGGTTAGAATAATGTTACTGTGAAATGTTTTATATTTATTTATGTTATGTTGTTTTTAAGTAAACAAATGTTAGCAAAGTTATGGTAAAGCAGTAAAGCTCATGTTTTATATGTTAATAATAAATAATAAACTTGGCAGGTTTAATGGAACCGAATGTGGTAGAATACAGAGAAAGATTGCTCAAAGCTTATAGAAAGGCAATAATACCTCTATTGGCTTACATGCGCCAATACGAATGCTACAAAGAGATTTTCATGTTGGAAATTGAGGAATATGTCGAGTGAGAGTTTAATTTTTTTCTCATTAACGGTCAGTTGCACAAACGTCCAGTAGGTTAAATAACATCCTTAAGCTCTAATTAATGTCAATTATTTATCGGTAATGTCGCTTTAAACTAATGACATCTTTAATGGACGTTTGTGCAACTAGCTGAAAATCTATTATTGGTTTTCGAGTAGAAGTTTTTATTACATTTCAAAGTAATTTTTGGTCGTAATATATATCAAAACAAGATAAAATAATAATATAAATGATTTAAAAAAAAATCTACGTTAATATGGAAGATTTTTGTAGGAATTTTCGTTTAGAGAAGCATTCTGCGTCCGAGACCCGTGAAGAAGTACAGTTACATTATGATGCCAAACAGGAATTGATTTGGAGACTGCCTCAATATATAAATATCGGGCCCTTTGCCCTCAACGTGGATACTCTTAAGGTGTGTTGGTCAAATCTTAAAAGTATGGCACAAATTTTATGGAACCAATATTTACAATAATATTACGAAATTCGACAGCAACTGTTAGTAAACAAGCGTTCCGATATAATTCGATCTTTACTGACCATGTGGGCTGAAGAAGTGCGGTTAGTCGTAGACGATGTGATCCAGGCCTACAAAACGATCATGCGTAAACTCGGTGAGAAACCAAACACTATTGAGCACGTGTTTGAAATCAGAGAATGGATGGAATCCATTCCTTTCGCACTTAAGACTCAAGAGGATATTATGAAGAAGGTTCATACTGTGAGTATCTTTTCCTATATGTTGTAGGTGGCAATGGAATACAATTTTATATGTCCGCTGCCATTAAGGAATTTGTGAAAATATGAACAAATTAGAACTGGTAATGTGAAAAGAATGATAAATTTACAGACTTCTGGCGTAAATAATAAAAGCATGACTACTCTTGAAACTGTAATTATTTTATCAATTATAGTTTTAGGTGTAGTCGTCGTAGATTCAATCCCTAGTCTTTTTTTAACCAGTAATAGTGTTTTTAGGATTATGAAGTATTGGATGTTTTCTTCATGCCGCTGGAAAATGAAGACTTCAAAGCTCTCTGGGAATCAATTGGATGGCCACTCACTATAACGAAACAGGCTAGTTTTATGTTATAAATTAAAAGTTATTTTATTGTGAGGTTACATTAGTATTTTGATAATAACGGTTTTGATTTCAACGGTTACGTAGGTGGACGTAACAACAGAGTTCTTAGAAGAAGAACAGGAGAAGTTTTGGAAACTGCATCAAATTGATGAACAAACGCTATTTGATAAGATTGATATGTTTAGCGCGCAGTGCATGGCTCTCACACTACAGAATGACTTTAGCAAGGTAAAGGGATTAAAGCTACAACATGGTTCTTAGAAAAGAAAAGTGGACGACTTTTTGATATATAAATACATATTAAGTTTACATTATTGAAAAGTTGTAAGCGTGGTCATATTTCTGAGGTTGTTTATCTATTAGATTCATAAGTTCTTACGACATAGTAGGTGAAAAATGCATTATATTTTTAATTGATTTATTCGTAGCGAATACTTGAAATGTAACATCTAGATTTTCGATTAAAGGTTCACGAGATAGCGAATGACATAAAGAAGGCGTGGAAGGGCATGAAAGACTCGCAAGACTGGGGCCGCATTCTTAATCAGAGGCAGAAACTCTTCGGACAACCTGTTGTACCTTTTGTGGATCTCAATAGGCTGGTCAAAGAGTTTGAACCATACAGAAACCTTTGGGTTACTGCATCAGGTATTTTTATGGGATGAGTAATATACCACAAAAAATAAATCTTACGACGACTGTATATAATAGGCAGCCTTATCTTTTGCTGAAAATTTCTTCCGGACAAGTTTAAAACACTTCAATTTTGCGAATTGCTATCATTGTTTTAAGGTTGTCAGTCTTTTTTAATATTAGAATTTAATTTGGAAGTAGAAAAACTAGATTGAAATGGTTTCAATTCTTTTTGTTGGCCAGATTTCTTGAAAGCTCGCGAAGTGTGGTTTGATAATCCACTGATGTACGTGGATGCGGACACTATCGAGCCGCTCATCAATGAGTATTATAAGACCATCGTTAAGTGCGTGCGCACCTTTGCTGATATGCCTAAAGTACAGCAAGTGGCCATCACCATACGGGTACCAATATCATGAATTAATTCGTTTAGATTATAAGCCTTTTATTGAAAACTAAGCAATGCGACTATAGTCCAGTATAATATAAGAAATTTGATTCCAATTAATGCGTCTCTCATAAATGAAAAGTGGAAAAACAGGCATAATTCATTTCATTCGAAAAACCGAAGATTTATCTGTGTCTAGTATCTAATAATCTTCTAATTGTCCCATGTAGGACAATATCGACGAGTTCAGACCACTGATTCCTATTATTCAAGCTGTCAGAAACCCCGGAATGAAGGAACGTCACTGGAATGAATTCATGGAAAAAGCTGGTTAGTACATTCCTTATTTTTATTACTATTTATTGATTTTAATATTAGTGTGGATAAATCAATGACGAACGATTCACCGAGTATTGTTAACAGCCGTACCTTAGTTAGATTGTTTTCGAGTAAGGTCTTGTGGAAACTTTTTGTTCATATTTCTTTTTAAATAGAAAGATCAAAAACTAATAGGTAAAACGGTTCTCTACCTTTTCGCCGATATTTGTTTGACTGATTATCTAACTTACCAACTAACGTTTCGAAGAATTTTATTTCGCCGAATAATTATTTGCCAAGTTATTATAAAATCTTGTTTTATTCTCCCGCTTCACCATTCCCAACTGTACGTTGCGTGTGCTTTTTAGAATGACACTTTTTAAAATGCCAACTTTCAAGTGGCAAAATGTTTCAGTCAGTGTAATTTTAACTAAGTTGTTTATTGTTTATCAAACATCGTATTAGTTAAGTCGATTCTGGTAAGCTCACTGTCAACCTAGCACGCTTCTTCTCTCTTCCTTCGTTGTCACTTCTAATTCACCGTTAATAAGACCTAAACTAATCTAACTGTTGCTTTGCTTTTGACACTTTGTCGACCACTGCCGCGGTACGCTAGCTTCGCTCGCTTGGCTTATGCGTTGTATATCATACATTAACCTAGCCGAATCTATATATTTCTGTTGCTATACTTATTACAAAATTCTTGAACTCAAATCTACATACTCTGAGGAAAAAATGTCAAATTAACAATTTTTCAAAAGGGAACTGATATATTAACGAATCTTTATTACTCTTAAAGTTGTGTGACCTAGTGGAAGATTAGACAAATGATAAATATCCTAAATGTTTTTTGTCATAATAATAATCAGCTTTACTATAATTCTACCGAATGAAATGTTGTCGTATAATAAACTGCTAATCGTTAATTGTCAAAGTGAAATATAGGCAAAACTTTGGTTGGCAAGTGATAAACGTCTAAATGATTTTCGGCAAAAAGGCAGGATCCAAGGTAAAAACTTAAAAAACTAAATTTAATAATCAGGAATAACGGTCACAATGAACGAAAAGCAGACATTCCAAATGTGTCTGAAGCAAGGAATGGCAACGCACGGCGAGCTAATAGCCGAGATCGGAGAATTGGCCAGCAAGGAATACGTCATTGAACAGTCCTTAGACAAAATGTTGGCTGATTGGTCCAATAAAGTTATGGAAATGACACCTTATAAGAATACAGGTGAGGGCTATAATATTTTTTCACATAGTTGGTAGTAGTAAAGTTTATCTCTTGTACTATAAAATGATTCAATCCTTAGGTTGGGTTTATATGGTTAAGTAAGAGTCTTTACAGATTGAAAAAGAGGTCGTTCAGTCATTCGTAAAGTGATTCTCTTAAGTCTCATTTACGTGCCATCGATGTATTTAAATTCCAAAACAACCTAATCTCGAATCTTGAAATACATATTAAAGCTATAGTGATTCATATAAAATTCATAAAACACCGATGTGGATGCAGCTATAAATAATATTTTATTATGTAGGCACGTTCATAATGAAGATAGCCGATGAGACACTACAACTTCTAGACGAACATCTCTTAGCGACCCAACAGCTCGGCTTCAGTCCTTTCAAGGCAGCATTCGAGCTTCGCATCCAAGAATGGGATGACAAGTTGCGCCTGACTCAGAAAGTGGTTGACGAGTGGATCGAGTGTCAAAAGTAAATATTCAATCAATAACGCTGCTATTTGTCTTGGAATTAAGTTTGTTTTTAATGACGCTGCTAGCAGATTAGAGGAAGGTGGTCGCTGAAATTAAATTTCTTTACTCTTTGCGTGGTTTTTGTATGTGTGTGTGTGTGTGTGTGTGTGTGTGTGTGTGTGTGTGGAGTATTAATTTGCTTTTATATATTTATTCTAAATTTCGTTTCTTTAACTTTCTTCGGTGTGTTTGATGAGGATTTATGTACATTTCGTATCGAATCAAACGAATCCAAAACAAAAGTCTCTTGTACTATAAAAAGTTTCATGTACGACTTCCAATACTCTGGGCTGCATATGTACCTCCTGCTTCAACTTGGTCAAACAGATTTTTTATGAAAATTCGTAAATTTGAACTTAACCGTAAATTTTGAAACTACTATATTACCTTCATAAATTGCACAATTGATGAAATATGCTATAAACTGCAGCGCTATCTTGTATTTAGTTGGTTTTATAAGGCGAAATTGCTATTAGGTATTGAGTGCCTAACAGAATTATTTGATTGATCTCTTTTAATAGAGAATGGATGTATTTGGAACCAATTTTCACGTCAGAGGATATTTCACGACAACTGCCATTAGAGGCTAAGAAATATGGTACTATGGAGAGAATATGGAGGCGGATCATGTCTACTGCAGCTGCTTGTCCTAAGGTATGGTGCTCTCAAAGCAGTTAATTAATATTCCATAAAAACGTTCCCAGTTAAAATAATGATTTCACTATAATATTTTCAATGAAAGGTTAGCAGTGGCACAGTGGTAAACCACTTTCGCAAGAACCATTCATAGGATCTTCAATCTGATTTTTACTATCAAGAATTTCTTTGTGCTATGGAAAGCTCGTAAAGCCGTTCATTTCAGCTTCATTTACAGTCATTTATCGGTAACCGTCGGTTATGGTTCGGTATCTTTAAGAAAGGCCTTTAATGGCAATTACAGGTTGATGATGATGCTATATTTTTGATACTTCCAAAAGATTTTTTCTGCTAATAAAATGTGATCGAAAGATATGAAATATTCTTTTAACAGATAATGATAATCTGCCCGGACAGTCGTTTGCTTGATAGCTTGGTAGAAGCCAGACATCTTTTGGCGGTGGTAGCTCGTGGTCTTAACGAGTACATGGAGTTGAAGAGGTTGCGATTTCCACGCTTCTTTTTCCTCAGCGACGACGAATTGCTCGAAATCCTATCGCAGTCTAGAAACCCTAGAGCAGTCCAGCCTCATTTGCGCAAATGCTTCGAAAATATTGCTAAGGTATTCAATCGATTTTGGTTATAAAAAATTTCATGTTTTTTATATAAAATTTTATATCTTCACGCTGTATCCCTTGCAGAGTAGCTACTAAGTACGGTCCGGTACGGTACGAACGCTACTAAGTACGGTCTTTTCATACATCTTTCGCCTCATCAACTTTCATTGCTATATTTATATATCCTCGTCGGCTTTTATGGATTATGATACCAGCTTTCTAAAAATATAACAAAATTAGATAAAGTTGTCTTAGATTCTGTTATTATTGAACAATTTTATAAATCGATGAACAATTTAATCTCAACGAAGAAAATGGATCATATTTCATAGGTAGATAATATCAGAAATTCAGCGAGAATGCATGTAATAGTAATATTTGTCAAGGAAGCAAAAGACATGTAACCTTGCCTTGGCTGCAAACCACGCATAATGATTTCCGCTTGCAGGTAACGTTCCAGCCGGATTTGAAGATCACTCATATGCATTCGAGCGAGGGTGAAATAGTAGAATTGAAATACAAGTTCTATCCATCTTCGAACGTAGAACAATGGCTGTTACTACTAGAGGACACTATGAGGCATAGTAGTGAGTAGGTTAATATTTGATTGCAAAATAACTCCCACGTGGGGGTACTCCGATATTATTTGTAATACTGCTACTAAAATCTGAGCAATATATGTGATGTTTTCTAATTTTTATTTCAATAAACAACATTTTCATGATTGTTGTTTTTTAATTTCAGTTCGTTTAACACTGGTGGATGGTCTAGAGGAATTGTGGACTATGCCACGAGCCCAGTGGGTATTACGGTGGCCGGGTCAGGTGGTGATAGCAGGTTCGCAGACCGCATGGACAGCAGGCGTGGAGAGTTCTATACAAGAATATCGCATAGATCAATTCTACGAGGAAAATCTGCTACAGGCGAGTGTTTATTACAAGAACATTTAGAGTAAATCATGCATTTCCGCATTCCTCAATGAGAAGCTCTGTGATTAGGAAGTCGGAAATTGGTGCAGAGTTTAAGTAACTTTCGCAAATGCCGGTCATACGATAGATGACCAGAATTATTATCTCTAGCTTCTCGGGGTTAGGTCGAATGGCACTTTAAACCGTTGATCTAGGTAAATGCAGTAGTTATTACACAATCAATTCATAGGGTGTGCGGCCAAATAGTCATTATCTCGAGATCTCCACACTTTGAAAGTCATATGAAACCAGGAGGTTGGCACATTATTAGGTCAGCTTATCATCATCCATCAATTCGCACTGGTAATTTATGATAAGAGATAATAGGGATTGTTATTTTGCTATGATATATGCTGAATACAAATTCGATTACTGCTAAGCATACTGGTTCTATATAGTTGGACAGTCTCCGTGGTCTGGTGAAGGGCGAGCTGACCTTCTTCCAGCGTGAAGTGGTATGCGCTCTGATCGTGATAGAGGTACACGCGCGTGACGTCACCGGCACGCTCGTCGACGAGAATGTCAAAAACGTCACTGACTTTCAATGGATATGTCAGCTCAGGTGTGAATGTCCGTTGGACATTTTATACTAAAATAGGTAATGGAGGGTTTCTTTATTGTAATGCTGGGGCTGTTCAAGTATTACAAGCCACCTTTCCTCTTCCACTATCCTCTTACTTTTAAAAATTAAGAAATTTTATTCGTTCTTTCTATGAGAGAGTTGATTCAATTTAAATAATAGGTTGTTCAAATTGACTGCTATCTCAATATTTAGAGGACATACGGTTCTAGTGTAACAGTAAACTTGAAAGTTTGTTAAGTTAGGAGGCTTTATTGTTGTTTCTATCAATTAAGACAATTAATTACATTTCGAACTGACTGCGTATTCAACAGTATTTCAATATATCTCGGGCACTTGATTTAGAAAATTGTGTCTATATCATGTAGATGTTAACTGATTTATTGATACAAACGTGGTAGAATAATATTTTTTATTATTAAAAAAGTTTTTATTAAGCTTTCAATATTGATTTCAACTTTATATTGGTCGTGATAGTGATTCTGTAGATAAGTTAACCTCCTACTTGTAATATAGTTAACCTTGGTATTTGAAAATCAATACTATAACAATTAAACTAGAATTTCGCTAAGTCTTCATCACACGTTCTTGATTTTTTTATGCGTAGATACTATCAGGTCGTAAAGGATATGAATCCATTAGAAGAGGGCGAGTCACCCGAGATATATCAAGACGAGAATCGTTTGGACACTTCCGCTTACTACCGCCAGTTTAGTCAGAACCACTGCGATGTACGCGCCCTCAATTCTAGCTTTCAGTACCAGAACGAATACCTGGGTAACAGGTATGTATTTCAAGTTAGTTAGTTGCTACATTACGTTCTGCTTCGTAGTGTTCTTTAAACTAGACATTGATTTTGGGGATGGCCGGTTAAAACTAATCGCAGATGGCGTTGACTTCTGCCTTTTTAGCTTCTGCCTTTGTATAACCCAGGAAAATAAGCACAAAAAACAGACTTTCGATTGTAGATGTTTTCTTAGAGCCATAAGCACCTAATACTTTTTGAAACTAGAAAATTCATTCGAGATATAGGCATGAAATTAAGCCATATTCCTGATAAACTAAGAGATGGCGCTGAAGAAACTGTTTTATAGACTAAGAGTCGACTCCTGTTTTTTTTAACTTTTCGTGTTTTCATGCCTTTCATTAGTAACTTATTACCACGTTGCTTCTTTGCATTTTCTCATTTATTTTAGTAACGATAGATTCACTTTTTATTTCTAGACATTCAGATGAATATATACACTATTCTTTTGCACAAAATTTTGTAGTATAAAACATAAATTGTTGTAGAAATAGTTTGTTAGAAGTAAGTAAAGGAACCTTGGTTGAGTTCAGTCTGGTATCCAAGAAGAGCTTTGAGTCGTAATATATTAGAGAATTTTCGAAACAGAGACGGAAATTAAAATGACAGATCGATGTCTCGACGCGAAACTCTCTTAGTCCTTTAATTTCTTTGTGTTGTTTTCTTTTATGTATTTGACTTGTCAATTCTTTATTTTCATTTCCTTTAGCATATTAAGTAATCTATATTTTGTTACTATTAGAGAAATAAAAATCTAAAGCTTTCTTAAATATAACTATCTAAGTTGGCTCCGAGACAATTGTGTCCGAAAAAAGTCGACGCCTTACAAACAAGCCAGTTTAAAATAAATATTAAATAACATAGCCTGATACAAATACGAGAAAAACGGAAATAATTCGATATAAGCCTAGAATATTTTTAATCAAGTTTGTGAGCCAATTACAAGACTATATTTAATAATGCATCTCATTTTAGCTACGGAAGGTATAAAAAAACCATCAAGTCAAAAAACTTTTATTTCCTTCACGCAAAATTACTTACACGACTTTTTTTACAAATTTTGGTTTATTTTAATAGCGACAATGAAAATTACTGAAATCTAACTAAAACAATTTACAGGAAATAGTCATTTTCATTAATTTTTATTTTTTACTTTTATTTCAAAAGTATTTCTGAGTAGATTTTAATGATATTTATTAGAATATGTGTTTAACTCAAAAGTCTGCTGTATATATTTCGTATTATATTTTTGCTTCATAAATAATTATAAGGATATGCAATATTCCCATGGAAATTTTCATTCGATTCAAAACAAAATATACTTAACGCAATATAGTAATATCGATTGAAGTTGTATTTCATTGTTAATACTATTGATTTTTTTACAAATATTTTTTAAATATTTATTTTTCGAAATATAATATTAGGAAAATTTATGTATTTCATGGAAGTAATATAAGTAACAGCGCAAAGTACGTAGAAGTCACTTTATATGTATTTTGCTTATCATGCCATTGAGAATTTAAAGGATTTTTTTTACTAAAATCCGAAAGAAAATGTCATTGGATTAATTCATATATTAAAAAGGAAATATATGATACCCTCATAATAACAAAAACAGCTGTTATGTTTTAATGTTTGATCTCCATACTGAAAGTTGGTATTTGTATCAGGCTAAACAGTCATTAGTTAGTTGACACTTAGACTCTGCAAAAATAACTTTTGATTGTGATTCGCTTGTAGCGGTCGTCTTGTGATCACGCCACTGACGGATCGCTGTTATTTGACGTTGATGTGCGCTATGCATTTGAAGTTCGGTGGGGCTCCAGCTGGACCAGCCGGAACTGGCAAGACAGAGACCACAAAGGTAGTATAGAAATTACCATTAATTCTCATCATCATAAAGCTATAAAGATTACTTATTGAGTATTAAAATCTATGGGCTGACAGACAAATGATCCTCTTTTGTTCTGCCTTTCCCTTTTGACCACCTCCTTTTTCACCGACCTCAAAATCCAAAAGGTTATATGTTCGACAACAAGGTATGATTTTATTTTATGTATGTTCACCGATATTGCGCTAATTAATAGTGAGCTAATTTTCTGAATTCTTTTTTTATTCGGCAGCTTAATCGATGTTGTTCCATTAAAATTTTACCGAAATTGAATCAGTAGTATTCCTTTTATATCAAAACAAAATATGCTCTTCACCTAGATATTATATCTTATAAATATTTAGATTATAGGTTATATAAAACGCGTATTATGTAGCTCACCGTAGATGAAAGACTTATCAATCGGTCCTAAAGTTTCGGAGCCGGAAAAGTCTTTCTTCTATACTATAGGAATTATTGGAAAAATATACGTCGAGCAAATAAATAAATTCGTCAGTCCTGTTAGGTCCTGGGTAGGTCAGTGGTTATAGTCCCATCTCAGAGGGCCAGGGACAAAGTCGATTTTTCATTAAAAATCTTCTTTTCCAAGACTCACTATGTTGAATATTTTTATCTATATAGATCTGTATCTGTATTCTATACTAATATTATAAATAGGCTCTGAAATTACTGGAGCGATTTTTAAAATTCTTTCACCTACGGGGTTCTACATCACATGCGGTGAACAATAGGCTATATATAGGGATATAAATGGAACTGGAAGTTTGTATAGGGAATGAAAACGTTGCCATAGTAACGATTCTTTGCTATTCAATTTGTCATTGTAATTATATCGGTGTAATCGTGTCCAAATCGATATCTAAAATGTGGAAAAAATATGACTGTGCTTAAGCTGAGGATGTCACCGATTGATTTTTTTTCCTATGTCGTCATCGTCGATGTCTTAACGCATGTTATATATTTAAAAACTAATAAAAAATAAGAATCGACTTCAAGTTTAAAAAAAGTGATAAATAATATTTATATCAAAAGCGATTTATTCGAGAAATGGGCATCTGCAAAATTATTTATGCTGAGTAGCACGTTTTTACATCACAGTTATATATTTTAAAAAAATAAGCGTATTAAAGAGTAGTCTCCTGGATCGAGAAAGATTAAGGGTTCGAATCCCAACTCATTGTAACTGGGATTGGAGATTTTATGAGTATGTTTCTTATTTTATCAATAGTATTGATTGAATGCGGAATTGATAATATCAATTGCAGTTGCACCGTGCTTAAAAGTCGTTACGGTCGTGGCAAGACCGTAGAATTGACCAAATACATGATTAGTCCAGCCATTTCATAAAATTATTTACATTTCATGAAATGGAACTGCTGCCCACATCATGTTGTGGTTTGGCCAGCACGCGTAGCATGACAAGATCGAGAAATGCTTTGTTTACACTCAAATGTCACTTTCTCGGATCGAGAGTGAGATATCGTATGGGCGCACCCGAGAAAAGTGACATTTGGGTGTACACAAAACGTTCTCGATCTCCTCATGCTACGCGTGCAGATCAAAGAATAATCTGCGTCTGACGATATCTGCGTCTGACGATATCGTCAGACGCAGATATCAGTCGACGATAACCGTCCATATGGACGGTTCATCGTATGTCTGCTTCATGATTAGGCCAAGTATTAGTGATCATATCTTAATTAGTTTTCATTAAAGGTACTGATGTTGCATAGATTGGTATATTTTAATTTTTAGGTTATATAAAAGAACTGCTGTTTAAACTTTGTTAAATGAATAAATAAATAAATAAGAAAGTAGAGTGACCAAGCATCGGAAGTCAATGGACTACTATTGAATTTCTAAATGTCGCAGTAAGCCACATAAGCCTTAATATAGTTATATTCCTAGAGATATAATTATATAGTGACATATAATTATATGGTTATATGAAAGCGATTTATTACTATCTTACTAGGAATGATAAAATTACATATACTGGAGGATATTGAAGTTTTGAGATATGAACTGGACTAAACTTCCTATATATAGGTCATGTGATAGGATAGAAATTCGTGACGAAAAAAAAATAACTGAAAGGGTTTAGCCGGATACGTATGACGAGTCGGCCCCCAAATGGGAATCGATATTGAAACTTATGTTTTAATATAGACTTGATGTTCAAACACGATTTATGTACTTTTCGCGACCGACTTCCGCTTTGACCTTGAGATAGAGAGCAAAATATCCGTATGCTTGACTATTACTGAATGTGATATATCTCTGAAGCTAATTAAGATAAAGAAGTGAAACTAACGCGAGGTGTTAGGTTACATTACAGAGTATATCACATATATTTTTTTATAATTTTTAGAATAAAAAATTATATTAAAAAAATAAAAATAAAAAAAAACATGTTTTTTTTTCTGAGTTCTCTGTGACTTACAATCACGAAATTAATATATGTTATGCTCCTTTGTGTGCTCTATCACCCATAAAAATTGCGTGAAAAAAAAGTTGGTGCAACACTACGAAAAAAAATTATATGTGATTCGCGCCTTGTAGTGTGAGTGTATAAACAAACAAGTTCGAACTTGTTATCGAGCTGTTTACTGCATCGTTTGTTTAGCTAAAGTAGCAGTCATTTGTATTACACAAGAAGGCAGTTTGGGACTCATATTCTGTCATAGGTATTTTGTATCAGCATTTTGAAATTATTAACTATCGAACCAAATCATTATTAAGTAATAATGTCGAAAAAGTGTAAAAATTGTAACAAGTACCTGTGTAAGATTCCTGGTTATAAAAAAATTATAAAGAATGAAGAAGAAGCTAAAATGTTTAGTGACTGTTTGAATAAAATCGTAATAGTTAATGATATTTTTTGTGAGAAGTGTCGACTTATCCCATATATTAACAAAAAAGCTTCTACTTCTAAATGTGCAGCATTTAACTTGGCCGAAATAATGGACGATCAAAATAATCTCTCAGTACAATATGTGAAATCAGCACCTAATATCATCAAAGCAGAAGTGAAATCAAGACATATAAATAGAAATGTCTATCGAATTTACATTCACTATATTTCCGAAAGTAATGATTACAATAGTATTCTTCGTTATTGCTGTGATTGCCCCAATGGCAAACGTACAGTGGGATGCTGTTCTCATGTAGCAGCTATTATTTATTATCTATCATATGGATGATATTTGTCCAAAATCGTACGTCCTGCTGAGGTCCTAACTAAGTTATTTGCGACTCAAAGTGTTCCGATTGTAATTAATTACAACAGTGACGATGATTAATATTTTGTTTCTTGTATTTTGATAGACACGTAAAAGTAATAATAATAAGTATTGAACACTGGCTGTTTTTTTTTTCATTTCTTTTTTAACTATTATCCCATCTTTTAAGACTAGTTACTTATGTTTTAAAACAAGCTGATGTGAAATTTCGAAAAAAAAAACAATGATGTAATGTGAAAACCTTACAATACAGGGGTATACCATAAGACAGAAATCACATATAATTTTTTTTCGTTGTGTTGCACCAACTTTTTTTTCACGCAATTTTTATGGGTAATAGAGCACGCAAAGGAGCATAACATATATTAATTTCGTGATTGTAAGTCACAGAGAACTCAGAAAAAAAAACATGATTTTTTTATTTTTTATTTTTTTAATGTGATTTTTTATTCTAAAAATTATAAAAAAATATATGTGATATACTCTGTAATGTAACCTAACACCTCGCGTTAGTTTCACTTCTTTATCTTAATTAGCTTTAGAGATATATCACATTCAGTAATAGTCAAGCATACGGATATTTTGCTCTCTATCTCAAGGTCAAAGCGGAAGTTGGTCGCGAAAAGTACATAAATCGTGTTTGAACATCAAGTCGATATTAAAACATAAGTTTCAATATCGATTCCCATTTGGGGGCCGACTCGTCATACGTATCCGGCTAAACCCTTTTCTTAAATTTGCGGTTATATTTTCAAGACCACAGAATCACATAACTTTAATGTACAAAGAAGCTATTTCATCAAATTATTAGATTTAATTTTCAGACACCCTACGTTAATGATATAGTCAAATGTGGATTGCAATATCATTAAAAATTTAAACAATATGATCAAGTTTTAACTGGCCGTTTCATGAAAAACGACCATTTCATAAAATTACTATTTTCTACGATCTGGCCACGACATCAAAATTGGTTTTATGATAAACACAAAATATATAATAAAATTATTAATTTACCAATCCGATGATAACTATTAGATAACTCTATGTTGTTGTTAAAACACAGTGACATCGTGCGCTGTCAAAGTTCATTAATGTCTTTACCTCTTCGCGCAAAAACTACTGGACGGACTTTTGATGATATTTGGCGCATGGGTCTTAGCCTGGATTAATGTACAAGTTACTTTCCATCCCATTAAAAGTTATCCTGAGATAAAAGTACAGTCAAGGGTGTGCATTTTTGAGGACGTTTCCTCGAGACTAAGTATATAGATTTACTAGGTTTTCGCCATCGTCTTTATGAGATAAAAAGCAGTAAAAAGCAGTCTAAATGTTTATTCAGGTTTAGGATTACACCATTACCGGAGTAGTTTTTGAGTGAAAAACAAATAAATATAACTTCATTTGAAGGTTTTAGATTAAAAATATATATTTCAGTATTTTTTTTAGTGATGGTCGTTTTGTATCCCGTTTCGATTCCCGATGGGGTAGAAAATTAACTTTACTGTATTGATTCGAAGGTAAATTTGCCACGGGCAAATTTATGGTATAAATACGCCATTGCTTTAAATATTCTGAGATGATGTGTTGTGCAACCTTTGTCGCCTTAGGTACTATGCTCTTGGAATCTGAGCAATGTGTATGATGTTGTATAATATTTATTTATTTTTCACTACATCAGTGATCAAGAATATTTGGCGTCAAGTTAAACCAGATTATAAATATGTAAATGGTTGTAAGAATTTTAGGTGTCATTTAAAAGTTAGATCTTTACTCTGAGGCTACCTCTTGTTTTCTTTTTTATTTATTGGTGATCAAATAATTTTTCTTCGGTAGTAAGAATTTTCCTTACAGTAACTGGATATTTTGTTTCCTTGGTAAATATATTTAATTTATTGTCTCTTTGATATTTCATAAAGAGGTCATTTGTAAAGAATGGTGATATTAAGTATAGAATGATTTGGACTTGACCCCGCCCTTTCTTTCAAGAAAAGTATATGCTTGTATGATATAAATTCCATAAATGATTGAAGTCTTTTTGAATCCCTTTACTACAATATCTGAGTATATACCTCTAACATTTTTCATAACATTTATGTTGTTTCGAGGATACAGTTTTATCCTGCACGAGAATTAATTATTTTCAATTAGAACAGTTTTTATTTACAGTGTATTCATTATCATCTTTACATTATTAATTATTTAGTTAAACTCTTAAATTATAGTAGGATTTTTTAAAAATATTTTTTAAATGTGTTAGAACAAGTCAACTAGGTATGCTACCTAATTCTGTAAATATTGTCTCAACATCCTTTTATGGAACCATAAATACATATGAATATATTTTTTTCAAAATCTTTGATCATAATCTAAATCTAATTTATCTATACTAATATTATATTGATGAAAGATTTGATTCTTTGTATAGATTTGCTCTATAAACTACTGATCGATATTAAAAATACTTTCAGCTACTAGAAGCTTCATTACAAGCAGGTGACATAATTTACTTGGACGAAAAACAGCTCGGTAGTCCTAAATAAATAAACATTTTATGTCGGAAATAAGTATAGTTTATTTTGTGAATAGAGTTTCCGAAATGCTCACTTTGATTGTATATTTAGGATTTGGCGAAGGCTCTAGCTGTTCAATGTGTCGTGTTTAACTGCTCCGACCAGTTGGATTACATGGCTATGGGAAAATTCTTCAAGGGTTTAGCTGCGTAAGTATTTTATTGTTAATTAATTGACAGTAAGGGGCCGTCCATAAATTACGTCACACAAATTTCATGTTCTACTGTCACAGTTCGCCGACACCCCCCCCCCCCCCCCCTCCTTACGTGTGACGTAATTTGATGGCCCCTAATAAAGATTGATATTTTTTTTTATTTATTTAATAGGTAGCTATGTTTTAGAAGAAATTTAACCATCGAGCATATCTGTGCTGGATATATTACTACAGGATACAATAGATAAAAACATTTCACATCGATTATTTATAATGTGTCATTGGTACATTTTGATTTTTAGCGGTCTTTTAAAGTTTTATTTTGGTAAACGAGATATGTACGAATTGATTAGCAGGATCCACACTGATCAATCCAACTTGTTCTTTTTACGTAATAATCGCATATCGATGGAATGTCAACTATGTGCATTTTGTCTTTGTACTATTTACCTGAAGTCCAATATTGTTAGGGCAATATCTTCCTCACAAATCAATGATGACAGATATATTTATTATTTTGTGATCTAGTAATAAAAGGGTTTTATTTGAAGCACTATTGACTTTCCATAATCACGATATCTTAGCAGAATTTCATTACTGGACGTTGGATAGGCCGGTCCAAGCTTTAATTAGGAGCGCGCACTCGTAACGTGCGATTCAGTTTTTGTTGCTTGGTATATGCTTTTATTCTTATTTATATATTTTGCATAATTCATATTCAAATCGCTGGATCTAATGGAAGCGGATAATAACACCAGTAATATTAATGAATAAGCCTAGAAATCCTTATGAATATATTTTGAAATCCTAATAATAGCTTTGAATATCCCCCAGATCTGGAGCTTGGGCATGTTTCGATGAATTTAACAGGATTGACATTGAAGTGTTGTCTGTCGTCGCACAACAGGTATAATAATAATTACAGATGTAATAACTATAGTAGTTTAACTAAGTAAATTAATTGACGAGCAAGGAATAATCTTCATGATTTGTTCTGGAGCGCAGTTATGTTTGGACAAAAATCATATTGATGAAATGAAAACGATGGAACTTCCGTCTTAAATATCTTTGTAAAATTATATAATTAAACCTGTTTGTTTTCTCAAAAAGGTGGTGACGATACAAAAGGCGCAAGTAGCTCGCTTAGATAAGTTTATGTTTGAAGGTTGTGACCTACCTCTTAAAGCTTCCTGCTCCGTGTTCATTACTATGAATCCAGGATATGCAGGTATTTATTATCTCCCATAGTAAGAATTAGACGAGAACTTAATACTCGACATAATTGTTTCGATGAGAGATCATTGAGAGTTATTATAAGTGAAAATATTATTCTAATCCAATATTTGATTTAAATAGTTTAACTTCTCAGGTCGCACGGAGCTGCCAGATAACTTAAAAGCATTGTTTCGGCCGATTGCTATGATGGTACCGAATTATACACTTATTGCGGAGATTTCTTTATTTTCGTACGGCTTCTTTGAAGGCAAGATTTTGGCTGGAAAAATCACTACCACTTTTAGGCTAAGTTCAGAGCAGTTGTCATCACAGGTTTGTAATAATAGTGAAGAATTACAAAATAAAAGTATACGAAATAAGTAACGTGCTAAAGATATTATAATAGTAGATTTTGTTATTTAATTTGGCATTTTGTCGTTTGGCGAGAACATAACGGGATTAGAGAAATGAAACACATCATTATTATAAAAACTTTTTGATAGGATCATTATGATTTCGGCATGCGAGCAGTAAAAACTGTGATTCTTGTTGCTGGAAACTTGATAAGGCAGATGCCAGATGGTGATGAAAGACAAATAGTATTGAGAGCTCTTCGAGACGTCAACGTACCCAAATTCTTGGCAGACGATCTCATATTGTTTAATGGTCAGTATTGTAACCGCAGAAGTTGATTCTTCTTTATTTTGCTAAAATAGTCTAGTTATAGTTAGCATCTACGAAATGGTTAACTAAAGGAGCATTCTGATCACTAACAGAATTGGAACATCCAAAATAATAAGCTGTAAGAATTTCAACAACGGTAAAAGTTTAAATTGTGGTTAATTTTAATAGTCCTCAATAATTATTGCTGATATATTTGAATAACTCATTAATATTACAATTTTACTAGGAATAATATCTGATTTATTCCCTCGAGTGGAAATCCCTGTGGTTGACTACGGAATAATGGAACAGTCTATTAGGAATATGCTTGTAAAGAGGGGATATGACGATTTGTACAGTGAGTCATGTTATCTTTATATAGTTTTGTTTTGAATTGTAACTTTATAAACAATTAAAATCGTTGTTTTTTATCTTCAGCTTTTATATTTAAGATTATTCAACTGTACGAAACTACTGTTGTAAGACATGGCTTGATGTTAGTAGGGCCTGCAGGCTCTGGAAAAACTAAGGTTAATATTTACTTGTATGTAAGCTATATAACTTATAAAATTTAGATTAGTATTTAATCTTATGATTAGGAATTAGAATAATGAAGTTTGTCAATTAAAAGGACCTATCTTTTCGTTTTAGAATATTAAATGAATTTGGGTTGTTCCGTATTCATCCTACGACGTCTCATTCTATTTATGTTACTTTCTCAATTCATTTTCTAGTGTTATGAGATTCTGCGAGATGCGCTAACAGCGATTAAAGGAAAATTGGCACCCGATGGTTTTCCTTTCACACCGGTCCATACGTTTGTAGTAAACCCTAAGTCAATTACCATGGGTCAGCTTTATGGTGAATTCGATTTGCAAACGCATGAGTGGTGAGTGGTGAATAAGTTTCAAAATAATTACGTGAAATGAAGTTAAATTACGCAAAATTATAATTAGGTTTGAAATCAAGAAATAGTTTGCCTAACCCCTTTCAATTCGTAACTAAGTCGAGTATATTTGGAATATAATTGAATATGAAACCTTATAACACTTACAAATGAAGTGATTCTAATTTGGAATATCAAAGGAAAAGCCCTGCAAGATTTTGTATTGTATTTGTACATATATATAATTGATAAAAATGGATTATGTTATCAAATATGTAACAGGACGGATGGTATACTGTCAAGTTTGGTACGTGGTGGTATAGCTGTTGAAGATATGGATAAACGCTGGTACGTGTTCGATGGACCTGTTGATGCCGTGTGGATAGAGAACATGAACACTGTGCGTATGAGCTTAATTGTATTACATAATTATTGTTACTTACACATTAATATTAGCAGTAGCCAACTTACTTTTCAACCAAGGGCGTAGTCAGAATTCTATATAAGGTGGGGGCAGATAAATTCAACGCTATGGTTTTTAACCGACATGAAAATCGAAAAGGGAGAGATTCTATTCTCGACGGGAATAAAAAGATACATACTTTTTAGGTATGTTCACCAATATTCGGACATATGAATTTTATCGAAATCGGATTTTTAGTTTTGTTTTATCACAAAATAAGTGAAAGCATTTTGTCGAACACCAAAAATTTCTTAAATGACCAACTATATCATCAAAGAAACAAAAGATAGCTTATTTAGCATTAGTATGATTTTTAAGCGACTTCAAAATCGAAAAGGAGGATTTACCGTGTACGACATGTATGTGCATTTTTGTTTTGAATTGTGCTAAGGCCATTCATTCCACGCTGGGATAGGTATGGGATTAGATTATTGTAGCATAGACTCGGTCTGTAAGAAAGTATTACTCAATAAATGATAAAATAGAAACATCAATAATTTTATAAGCAAATCAAGTTTTCCAATGTCACGTTAATTTTGCTATGGAAATGACAGACTTCAGTATTCTTGTCGTCTTTTAATTTATGTTCCTGTCGATATCAATTGTTTATATAAAAAAAGATGAAAGTAATCTATCAAAAACAATGACATGTAGCTCCATAATGTTCAAAGCTCAAGTAGAAGTAAAGAGTTGGGGAAATCGGGGATTTAGATTATTTATTTAGTCTAGGCTGTTACAAGCACTTATGAAAGTCGAGAGCTAGGCCATATTTTAAATATTGAGTTATTTTTTATTATAACTCATTGAGAATAAAATTATTTCAATACGACACTGCTAAAAGAAGTTATTTTTCTATTAAATCCAGGTATTAGATGATAATAAGAAATTGTGCCTCTCGAGCGGTGAGATTATGAAGCTGACGGATAGGCAGCGGATGATATTTGAAGTGGCAGATTTAGCGGTAGCCTCGCCAGCAACTGTTTCTCGTTGCGGTATGGTGTACCTTGACACGAAAGTTGTTGGGCTACCACCTCTTGTGAACGCTTGGCTTAAGAGTAATATACCACCGGTACTTTTATATTTACAATTAAATTTTTGTTACTATAATTTATAGTTATTTTCGCCTTAGTCAGTCAGTCAGTGAGTTCTTTATGATTCCCAAATTAACTCGCCTCTTTTGGGTTATTATTAGCTTCTGTTTAAATCGTATTTGTCTTTTTGTAATGCTTTTATTAGGTTTATTCTGTATTTAAAGCTGAATTTTCTGAACCTGATTTTTCTGTAAATTACCCTATACCTACTTATATTTATTACTCACTCCTATTTCTATCTTTTATTTATTGCGATATTAAATGGTTCTTACTATATATTGATTTATGGAATGCTAGTGCATTCATAATACAATGAAATTATAAGCATATTCCTAAATATTGGAATAATAATAGTTGCTGTTGAATGGAGTTCGATTTGACTGTCTCTCTGTAACGTCTTGCCCATCTTTACATTTTGATAAATGTGTGTCCATGTCTGCTGAAAAATTTAATTTTACTGGTAAGATTATCTTATCTATTTCTAGATCGGCGAAATCCTCCGTAAAAGTTTACCCAACTTGATAAACACATATTTATACCCTGCACTAGAATTGTTGAGATCTAAGCTCACCGAGATTGTGATATCCATCGATTCTGCATTAGTACTTAAGTTTCTGGAGCTTCTAGACTATCGGTTGCGTCCTTTAACGGGAAAGGACGACAGGCCACCACCAGGGGGCGCTTTTATAGCCATGTTACGTAAGTTTATATTTGGACATTTTATAATCTTCTATATTATAGACTGCACAGGCAGAAGCCTAATAATAAAGTACTTAGTGCCTTCAGTCCACGATTTTGAAGTTCAAGCAAATTCTTAAATCGTTGGTTTCGTTGGCATCTGCATTCATTAACGCCTACCAATCTACACTGGATCCGAGTGAGTGAATTTCTATGTTACCCAATTGTCCATGGCATAGGCATGTTGCCCAGCAATGGCGGGTATGGGCTGGTAAATATGATAAACTGGAAACTGATGTGATGTCAAATCATATAACTCTTTTTTGGATGATTAATCTATACTAATATTATAAAGTTGAAGAGTTTGTTTGTTTGTTTGAACGCGCTAATCTCGGGAACTACTGGTTCGAATTGAAAAATTCTTTTTGTATTGAATAGACCATTTATCGATGAAGGCTTTGGGCTATATAACATCACGCTCCAACTATTAGGAGCGAAGAAATAATGGAAAACGCGGACGAAGTCGCTGGCGGCCACTAGTCCTTGAAAATTCAAATGGTTTTCATTTGAATATCTCATAATACTCTGGTCACATTTTTTTTGTAGTATTACTCAATTTCTCCGTAATATTTTTTATATTATTACTGTTGTTGATACTATGATTATGTCGTTAGCGAGACTGGCCCCATGTTGGGTGGTGTGGGCGGTTATTTGGTCAGTGGGCGCGACTTGCGATCACAATGGTCGTGCCATTTTCTCTGACTTCATGCGGTCCTTGACGGAGGGAAACAATTTCAAGCCACTCTTTCCTAAGGAAGGAAGAGTTTATGATTACACGTGAGATTAAAACTTTTTGCGATATACTGGAACTTTATTGAAAGTAGCATTCATTCATTAATCAAATTGATATTGACAGATTACATGATGGGGGTTTTACTGATCCTACCGATGATGGTGAGCCCGCTAATCCTTATTGGTATAATTGGATGGCTAATCTAGAGGAATACGAAGTGGATCCTGAGTGGCAGTTTGCTGGTAAGTAAAGATCGCTTGATTTAACTATGATGCATATTATGTTTGAAAGTGGAATGAAAATTATATTGATTATCGTATCCATAACAAGAATCAGTCTTTTTTTCTCATTATCTTGTTTGAGTACCTAATTGTATTCTATTCATATCAATTTTTTTAATTCCTAGCGTAACAATTTCTAGCTCTTAACAAAAAATATCATTTTCAATTTAAGTGTTCAAATTTTAACAAATTTCACTTTGGATAAATCCTTTGCATAGATATTGAAGTGCCGACTCTAGATAACGTTCGCAGCGCGGCATTGCTCGGTTACAAAGTAACTAATTATAATCACGTAATTTGTGTGGGACCAACTGGTACTGGGAAGACGGTCACGATTACATCGAAGTTATCACGCGGGCTTCACAAAAAGTTCATATGCGAATTCATTGTTTTCTCTGCGAGGACATCTGCTAATCAGACTCAGGTTTGTCTTCTTTGCTGTGATTGTTTCAACTGTTTGATGTTTTTTTATTTTTATTTTCTTATACTTTGGGTCGTTGTTTGCATCGGCATTTTTTTCATTTCTCTATCATTTTTCGTAATATAATTATGGCGGTACAAATCTAGATCTTAGCCTGTTCTTTAAGACTGAGGTTTAAGTCGTTATTTATTTTCATAGAATTATTAATAAATGTTAGGACGTGATTGACGGCAAGTTGGAGCGTCGCCGACGTGGTGTTTTTGGTCCACCTCCGACTAAGCGACAAGTGTTCTTCATAGACGATCTTAATATGCCAGCATTAGAAGTCTACGGTGCACAGCCGCCTATAGAGCTTCTTAGGCAGTTTATGGACTTCTCCGGTTAGTAGGGGGCCATTAAAAAAAATATCACGTATTGTATAAATGTTTACAAAATGCAGTTTCTTCTTTACTTTCAAGTGCTCATCAGATAGATTTTTGCTCTAACTGACGTACCTATACACTCCTACCTATTAATATGGGCTATAATGTAGTTGTAGGATTAGTGCGACTGTTGTTAGCTGAGGTAAAGCATATTAAAAGTAGATCAAAGCATGGAAAATCCTCTTTTTTGACAAACAAAAATATATAGAAAACTACAATAAAAATGCCACTTATAAAGTTATAAGCGAAGAATTTGAAAATATGTTTCTTGTTTAGGCTGGTACGACCGCACCAGTATTGGTGAATTTCGGATGTTGATTGATGTTGGCATAGTAGCGGCAATGGGACCGCCGGGCGGTGGCAGGAACCCTGTTACAATGCGACTGATGAGACACTTCCACTACATCTCTTTCACTGAAATGGAATATGCCAGCAAGGTGTCGTAGATTCTACTGTAGACATGGATAATTAGTAGCTCTTAAATATTTGTGAATACTGAAGTATAGAGGAAGAACTTTTGATGAGTGATAAGTAAATGGTATAAATCTTGCGATTACCATAGATTCAAAGATTCATAGATTCAAAGTCAAGAAAAATAACTTTAACAGTATTTAATCTTGTTTTGTTTTACTTCATGCTCAATAAGATTGACTAAAAATAATTTAGTAGGTATTTATAATTCAAGAGCTTTACCTTTGTTTTGGATTTCCATAAATAGTTCTTAAAAAATTAAGCACTGCTATGAAGATTCGATTTTGTAATATCCACGGCCATTGTTTTAATACGAGTACCTAACCTTCTGTAATGTAAAAAGTTCTCTTAAACTCCTTCTTATACTTTTAAAGTAAATTGTATATAGAATTTATTTTAATTTTGTGTTGTTCTATATACGCAGTATGTAATATTCAACACCATCCTATGCTCTTGGACGCGGTTCATCGAAAAGAGTGTCACTGTCCGTGAAGCACCCTTCTTGAAAGCGTCCATCGAAATTTTCACTTCGTTAGTTGAGGAATTGCTACCCACTCCGACCAAATCCCACTACACGTTTAATTTGAGAGACCTCAGCAAAGTGTTCCAGGGCATTCTCATGATGGACGCGAGCCATGTCAAAGTAAGATTTAAATATTTTTTGACAAGTAGTTTTGATGCTTATTTAAAAAAATACAATTATGTGATTTGAGGGGTGAAGTATCGATATTTTTTCAGGACGAAGATGACGTTATTAGACTTTGGTACCACGAACATCAGCGTGTTTATCAAGATCGTCTTGTTAATCACGAAGACCGCCAATGGTTTAAAAAGTATGTGGAATATAAATACTTCCGTCGTTAATCAGAACCGTTTCTTTTTCTTTAAGTTATATTTCTTACCTTTTTTATTAGCTCAGATTATAAAATTGAGACCATAGTTTTGTAATGAACGGCTGACGATTGAAACGAAAGCAAAGAAAAATGGTCTTGTGGCCTTCTTCTTAGTGTCGTTCGTCTTTTTACGTCACAGGGATACTTAAAAATCGCGTAACAAAGCGAGAGTCGTATAACCATATTATTGATTTGTCATTATACTGGGCAGAGTAATTAGTACTCTTAAAAATATTTGAGTTTCCTCTGTCTTTCATAAGGTTAAAATTATGGAGCCTCTTAATAAACAGATGGATTGATAGGTGGCATAGAATATCGTTAACCTTTTAGGCACACGAAAATAAATAATAAGATTGAACTGATCAATAGCACTCGATATATTTGATAAGTTTCGGAACTAAGGCAGTGACTGAAAATCTTATTCAGTTTGCTGAACAAAAAAATACGCACCGAGTTTGGTAAGAAGTCTGACGATGTTGTGGGCGGAAGGCTTATGTTATTCGGAGACTTTATGGATATCGGAGCTGATGAGAGGAAATATATCGAGATCACTAATCAAGAAGAGGTACGGTATTAATTAATACAAAAAAGATTTCAAATGTAATCAAGTTGATCATATTTTTATGATATGCCTATACTAACTAGTGTTTGGAGAAGGTAAAGTGTTCAACAGATAACTGTTTTACTGTTTTCAGTTGGACGAAGTGTTAGACCACTATTTAGTTGAATATAACTTGGCGACGACAGTACCACTCGATTTGGTTCTATTTGAAGATGCTATTGCACATTTATGTCGTCTAGCACGTATCATGAGGCAACCAATGGCTAATGCATTGTTGCTTGGAATGGGTGGCTCTGGTAAGCAAAAGCTAAAATTATTAAAAAATACATTAGATTGTTATAAATAGTAGAAAGGTTTTTCCAAATCATATTTATAATTTACTAACGGCTTTGTACGAATGTCAACGGGAAAAACAGCTTTCCAAATATCTACACAGAAAAACATATCGCACCATTATCTGTTGAGTGAAGGAACGTCTAATAAAAATGCACTTTACTCATATATAATATTAGTATTAAAATATACTCAACTATTGACATATTTTATTTCAAAGATCTTATTGAGGTTTTTATTATTTTGTAGTATGTTATTCGTAATATTTTGGTTAAAATCAGGCCGTCAGTCTTTGACAAGACTAGCTGCAAATATGGCCGAATTGATATGCATGCAGATTGAAATTACCAAAGCGTACGGGCAGGCCGAATGGCGTGACGATTTGAAACAGACGATGATAAAAGCAGGAGCTGACAACAGAGGCATTGTGTTCCTCTTCTCCGACGCACAAGTACGCGTTGTGATTTGTTTATATAACAGCTTTGACAGACTATTTTGTTTACATCCAGAATAAATAGTATTATGGCTTATGCCTACCGGCTACCTTTGCCTTTCTAAGGATTTTTAGATAACCTGTGTAACTAATAAATTTGTTTGTCTCTCTAAGAAGCCACACGATGATTTGTGGTAAAGACGATTTGAAACTAATTTAAACTAGATTAGTATCTTTGGCAATACGATTAAATAAACGCCCATGAACAGTCAAGGCAACAAATGATGCAAACACCACAAAGTATTATTTTGCTTCATACATTTGCTTCACGGAGCATCAGGGGTTTTATAGTCAAAATAAATATGTTACAAAAATTTGATAGCGAACTTTGTAAATCCGATTATAAAAACTGAATGTATTACAGTGGTAATTTGTCGTGTTAGAACATAGACGATGTGACGATAATACGTGTCTTCTCATTTAGATCAAAATGGAATCATTCTTGGAGGACTTAAACAACATTCTTAGCTCCGGTGACGTCCCAAACATCTATGAAGCTGAGGATCTGGATAAGATATACATGTCCGTCCGCCATGCGGTTATGGAAATGAATCTGCCCGCGACTAAGACGAATTTGTTTGCGTGTTATCAGCGACGAGTTAGGAGTAATCTGCATATAGTTGTCGTCATGAGTCCCGTAGGCGAGGTAGGTTTGCATCATTCATCTAGCCATAAGAAATTTTGTGTATTTCTGTAGTGATTCATTTGGTACCTTAGGTCTGTTTTACTGATTGGGCGTAAAGCGTTGCATCTAACTTAGAGATTTACTTTTTATAACCATTAGTATAGTCCAAGTGGTTATTATTATTCTTCATGCTAAAATCTTTGTTATTAGCTTTAAAGCAATGAATGAAAGCATTTTATCTTCTTTACAATTTAAATTGTTAGTTAGATACTGATTAAAAAAAAAAAACAAACAAAAAATCGTTATAATTGGATTTCTTAGTTGCGAGAAAATTTAGCACGTGTGTTTAGAAGATTTTCACTCGTATACTAGACTAACATTATGAACATTATATTTGATCAATTTTGCATTCATAAACTAGAAAATATTCATTACTAGCTGACCCGGTGAATTTCGTATCACTTACCTCTTAATAAAAACCATATTAATATTGAAAAAATATTGCGTAAACTGACCACTACACGACCACAAATATTGATCGTCAACTCAATGTTTGACAGCTAAGAACAGTTTGTATGGGAAAATCAAATTGTTGTTTTTAGTATTATACTCTCAATTTTGTCATATTTCCTCATCGTTTAAACGTTCCCAGGACTTCCACGAATATTTCAAGACTTAAATTTGTCAAATCGGTTCAGCCGTTCTCGAGTTTTAGCGAGACTAACAAACGGAAATTCATTTTTATTTATATAGATGAAAAAAAATTCTTTGGACAGAGTGGATTATTTAATAATTTTTCATGAAGAATATTTTCCAGTATAGCATTGTGAATGCGAAATTGTTCAAAAATATATTAACAAATTTTCGTCTTTATCGAAATTTCAAAATATTTAAAATAATATTTAATTTGGCTGTACCCAAACAGTTTGTTTGATGAAAGCGTTGATGAAAATATGCTCCGTAACAGCGAATAAGTAACAAATGCTTGAAAAATTCGTCAGTCCTATTAGGTCCTGGGTAGCTCAGTGGTTAGAGCAATTGCCCGTATCGCCAAAGGTCGTGGGTTAGAATTCCATCTCAGGGTACCAGGTACAAAGTGGATATTGTTCCAGTCTAAAGAAGTTACATTTAAAATGTCAATTGTTGATCTCCTTTTTAAAGAATATAATGGATTTTGATTATTTTTATAAAATACAGATATTTCGAGCGCGTCTACGGCAATTCCCATCGCTGGTTAACTGCTGTACTATAGATTGGTTCAGCGAGTGGCCTAAGTCAGCGCTTGAATCAGTAGCTAATCACTTCTTCACACATATGTCTGAACTGCAGACATCTGATAAAGTCATTGACGCTATGGTGGTGAGTTACTCATAATACTTGATCACTAATGGTAGTTAACACTATTTGAATACAATGAGGAAGTATTAAAAAAAAACGAAAGCACTAAAAAGGCACCTCCACTAGATGGCGACTGCTGTTGTCAACTATAAAATATTAGTTTTTGGTAAATCGAAGATAGCTATTAAATACTAAAAACTAAATTCTAATAAGCTGTTGTCAACTATAAAATAAAGAATACGATCTTCTAGTCGGTATGCTGTTTCGCTCACCAGTCCGTGGTGGACGCGAGTGCCTTGTTCCTCGCTCAGCTCAACAGATTGAACTATGTGACACCGATGTCGTATATGGAGATGCTGGGCGCTTACGCAGAGATGTTCCGGAAGAAACGCCTTGCCATACTTAGCGAATCTGATGCTCTTAAAACCGGTATGACTAACACCCGGTTTCTGAATTAAGAATTTAAAGTCGATCACGTCTCAAACCGTGCTAAAGCCATTTTAAATTTTTTAATGATCAGTTAATAGTAATTTGATAAAACTTGGACTTTTTGGCATATGAAACGTAAAAAAATTAAGTTATTGAGAATAATCATTAGAGATTTTGTACTCTTGTCAATTCAGAAACCGGCCGTTACACGGTGTATTTTTATTTTTAATCATTTCACACTTCCTAATTAGTCTCTACATCAATTTATTATGCTATATTATTTGTCCAACTTTGGGTAACTGAATTGAAACAAAAATTTGAGCATCAAAATTTACTCGGCCGTTCTAGTAATTTCTAAATAAATCAGTGATGGATGCACGCACCTAGTCTTGACACATGTGTATTTAGTGATAGGGGTTGTTTTTTCCTTATTGAAGTACAGAATCCTAATAATTATGGTTGAGGTCAACAAAATATAACCTAAAAAATTGTTGATGATAGGGTTAAACAAACTAAATCAGACCGAGGTTGAAGTGAAGCAGCTTCAAATTGAACTGGCGGAGTTAAAGCCATTGATGGAGAAGGCGGCTGCGGAGACCCGACAGGTCATCGACCAGATTGCCATAGATACGGTAAGAGGTTTATTACAAATCAAAACTTTAATATTTCGTCTATAGTATGCGCGGAAGTGCTAGTCACTACTTGAGGTATGTGTGCGGCAGAACGGGGGGTAAATGAACGTCAAGCTGACTCAGTCTGCCGTCGACCGTCGTGACGGTTACACGATTCAGTTGTTTGTGCGACTATGTTTGAATGTTATTTACAATGTTCACAGTTTTTTTCTGACACGAAAGGTTGACAAGGAAAGTATAGAACACAAATATGATATGAACATTTATAAATTAGTAGCCTTCTAGAGGAGTGTTAGCTCGCAGCTTAATGAGAATTGTAGCTGAAGAAAATTCGAATCTGCAAAATCAGATTCGAAATGCGGGGATTACCATGGATATGAATGTCACAAATTTTGATAACTGAGTAAATCACAAATTGAAAAATAAATTAGCTCCTAATTCAGTGGTCGTGATGGACCTCCTACCATTGCGTACAGGTAGAGGAAATACCAATTTTAAAGGTTTTAAATTTTAAAAGCTGCCGGTCATCTTGTTCTTCGCCTTCTACCGTATCATCCCGATCTCAACCCCATTGAGCTAGTGTGGGCCGATACAAAGCAAAATGTAGCTTCAAATTATATAAAATTCCAATCATCACAAGATTGTTGTCTGAATTCACTCCGCAAAAATGGCAAAAATGTGTCGACCACGTATAAAAAATTGAGAACCAATAATGGAACCACGACATGAGGTTTGACAATGTGATAGACGAGTTAATCATAAACCTAAGAAATGAGTCAGATTCTGAGCAGGATATGGAAATTGAAGATATGTCTGGTAATGAGATATCGATTAATTTTGAAGTATACGGTGATAATGATAATATTTTTTGTTTTTTTTTTATTGAGAAAAGGTAATTTGCTTATAAAACTGTACTGTAAATAATAAAATTTTAAAAACACTTCAAATATGAATTTATTTTTGTTTAACTAGGAAATAGAGAAATATTACATTATTAATATCGTAATTACATTGATTAAGATAGATTCTAACATGAGATTTATCTGACCTTAAATACCTCATGTGCGTCTTGTCAATCGTGCCCCCCCCCCGACAAGCACTTCCGCACACACTATAGCTAATTTTTGTCGAATATTTTATCGAATTAAATAATTATAATAATAATTGTACATAATTATTAGTATAATCCTTGAAGTTTATATATTGAAGTAAACTTTTGGCTCATACAGGCTATTGCAGAAGAGGCTCGTATAAAAGTTGAACGCGAACAAGCACTTGCTGAAAAAATGGCAAAGGAAACAACTGCTATGGCTGAAGATGCGCAAAGAGACTTGGGTATGTAGTATATACTTAATCGTGATAGGAACTGTTAGTAAGTTAGGTCTATGGTTGCCAAGATTAAGCAACTTTCTCAAACGCCGATTATAGGTAAGGTAACCAAAAATTACCTGCAGGCTTCAGAAAGCTTTAGAAATACATTTGTCACCAATCGCCACCGGATTGGAGTGATGTATTAGGACCCATTGCTTGTGCCCCGGGAGTGGTGCTTTGTCTTATAATATTTCATGGTTTATCTAGAAGGTCAGTCATAATTTATCATTTAAAAACATCTTTATTTTTAACAGACGAAGCACTGCCAGCTCTTCATGCCGCTGAAAAAGCGCTTCAAGAGTTGAATCGTAACGATATAGTAGAAGTGAAGGCCATGAAGAAACCACCTGCTGGAGTAGTGCTCGTCATTGAATCACTTTGTGTTGTATTTGACATTAAGCCAATTAAGGTAGACAATTAGCATTTCGATGTAATATAGAAGTATATTTGTAAATATATGGAGAAAATGATTTTCTTTATAAGTCATTATTTTTACAATAATGTTCATATTTTGAATGCAGATCATTTTGTAATGGTTTTGTTGGATATATATAGGAACCTGGCGCGTCATTTGGTGAGAAAATATTGAACTACTGGAAGCCGGGTTCGCAGATGTTAGCAGATCCCACCGCTTTCCTTGATTCTTTAATGAAGTACGATAAGGAATCTATCACTGAGGACATGATCAAGAAGCTCAAACGATTTATTGCGAATCCAGATTACGAACCGATGAAGATCCTCAAGGTAAACTGCCGAAGGTTTTCTGATGACGTATGTCATATGTTTAATGGTTTTTAAAATATTACATAGCGTAAATTAGATCAATCTTATTCATAAACATTTCCTCTAGCTAAGATACGTGGTTTCAGGCATCCTATATATTTTTAAAGTATCTAACCATAGAAGCATTTTATTAGATTGGTTATAATTAACGTTTTGTTATTTATAAACTAAATTAGTTATTGTATCTTTTTATTTCATAATAATATAATTACTAATGTAATAGAAGACACTGAATATTAGAGGTATAATAGATAAGGGTTTATGTTAATCGCTTCTAAGTTTATAGAGTGTATATATAATTGGTACCACATATGAATTTCTGGATACACATTTACGATATATCCGTATACAGCTTTTATTTACAAGTTTTATAAGACTTCAGTACCACAAGTAAGGCATATCTCTACGATATCTCAGATATTATTAGATACACTAAACACGTCATGTATGCCGACGACAAAAAAGTTTTCATTAAAATAAACTCTGAGTTGGACTGTCATAATTTACAATTGGATTTAGATCATTTAGCACAATATTACGCTTCTAATAGGATATCAATAAATATTAATAAATGTCAGTGTATCACCTTCACACGTAAAAGAAATCCTATCCTATATACGTATAGGTTTTTGGACACTCCAATTTGTAGAACTGACCTGGTTCAAGATTTAGGAGTGCTCTTGGATAGTAAAATGCTTCTAACCAATCACATTGACAATATAACTAGTAAAGCATATAAAAATTTAGGATTTGTTATGAGGTCATGTAAACCATTTAATGATAGTGACGTTATTAAGACCGTCTATTATGCATATGTGCGTAGTCTCTTGGAATATTCAAGCCAGGTTTGGTCACCACAATATGCCGTGTATCAAGAACGTATTGAGCGTATTCAAAAAAAATTTGTAAGCCACCTTAACTATCAACTGCGGCTACCTTCAAACTCTTATTTGGAAAACTGTAGGCAACATAAAATGCTAACTCTAAAGGAAAGACGCACATTATTAGACATGAGTCTCCTTTATGACATTGTTCGTGGTTATATAGACTGCGAGGAGTTGGTAACGAGTGTAGCATTGCGCACTCCGTCTCGTCGTACCCGTCATACTCCACTACTAGCGATACCTCGACGCGCCACTAATTACGCGGCCAATTCTCCGTTAACACGCATCGTTCATGTTTACAACTCTGAGTTTCAAGAAGTGGATCTATTTTTTTATTCCAAGTGTGCATACAAAGGACAAATAATACAAATCTTAAAGGAGCGCCGCTCTTGCGATTAAAATACTAAATTGAAAGAAATAATTATTTCTACACAACATACCTACTTTAAGTACATTTATTTTCATACAAACAAACAATAGTTCGAGTTTACAAGAATATAATTGATTTGCATAATATAATTGATTAAATCTTATATTTCAGTCTCATAACATTTTTGATTGTTGAACTATTGTAACAGGTGTGACATTTTTACAGTAAATTATGCTTCTTCAATGCCATATGCTCGTAACTGAGAGGTTTTCTTTTGTAATTGGCAGGAAGTTTCTGAGACATTGCTTTTCCTTTTTTGTCAATCTTATATTGAAAAGTCAAGTTTAATAAGAGAAATGCAATAGAAATACCACTTTTACTATTGTATGATCGGTATCTGTAAAAAACACGTGTAAATGTTTGATGATGTGAAACCTTTTATTGGCCTTAATGTTAAGCTTGTTATAACCTATACTATTATTTGTAACGATTATCTAATATTACGATTTTGCTGTCTGCTAGGTATCTAAAGCGTGCCAATCGCTATGTATGTGGGTGCACGCTATGTATAAGTTCTATCATGTGAATAAAGCAGTAGCACCGAAGAAGGAAGCTCTAAGCCGGGCTACTAAAGAACTAGCTGCTGTTGAAGGTAAATTATTTTGCCTCTGTCATTTTACTTAACATTTTCCTTACTTTTTAGTTTGATCTTTTGGTATCAATAAATCCGTGTGAGGAAGGTGTAATGATGTAGTGATTATTAAGGCGTTTCTGTAATGTCCGGCATAAAGACAATGATTGGTTGTTATAATTGGTTCACTCTATATTCTAGAAGAAGCGATAATTTCTTGGTCTCGGTTTTATCTGTACATATGGTTTTTTACAGTCATTTATCCTTCTATATTTTAATATGTCTTCCAAGAACAGACCTTCTGTTCTCTTAGTATTTCCGTTTAACAAATTAGACTGAACTTATATTATTTTTTATGTATTGAAAAAACCAATTACGTATGTAAAGCCTGATTTAATTGCTAAGTAAATAGAGATGACTATGAAAAGTCTTTAAAGAATAATAGTTAAATGCTACCAACAGCTATGTTGGCCAACGCAAAGGCGAAGATGCAAGCTTTATTGGAAGGCATAGCAAAATTGAACGCTTATCTTCAGGAGAAAGAAGAAGAGAAACGTAAGATGGAAGATGACATTAATCTTTGTCTCGCTCGCATGGACCGTGCTAACAGGTCATATAAAATCTTAATTTATGGAAAATATTGTTTAAAGCGAAAATCAATATCTATAGAATTCTTAATCTGTGAGTGACTTAGGTTTGTTTATTTTATATATTATAAAAAAATATGTTGAAATAAATTGGCAGACTGTTGAATGGCTTGTCGAGTGAACGTGTCCGTTGGATTAGCACAATTAAGAAATTAGATGTGGACATAGTCAGCTTGATCGGAGATATCCTAATCAGCGCTTGTAAGTTTTCTCAGAACCATTATCCTTTTGTATTATCAATTTATCACCCAGTGTTGTAAATACAATGTAGTCAAATTTTTGGATCGGAAGAAAATACCTATATAAAAACAATATAAGAAATATCCAAATACATGTGTTAAATTTTATATATTTTTAATTCACTCCTAACATTACAATTTTAGATAACGTAATATGGAGTAATCGCTTTGATATTAAGATTTTCTTCTTGGCTATAAACTTGTTTTTTTTTGTGGAGTTTTATATTTGTTCGATATTTCCTCTTTGCTTCTTTAATTCTTACTGTGCAGGTGCCGTGGGCTATATAACACCGTTCACAGACGAATTTAGAAGGGAATTGCTCTCGCAGTGGATGACCCATATGGAGGTAAAGTTTAAAATACTCACGTATGAATATTGCTCAAGTTTTAATAAGTTCACAATAGTAGAAAGGTTGATATAAACGTTGCAAATTAGCGAAAACAAACTTCGTGTGTGACTAAATTAAGGTGAGTCAGTTATTTTCGTAAAGAAAACGCACTGGTTCTTTAGAATTGGGTTAATTCACTAAGATTTCGATTGTTAATTCACATTAGTTAATTCACTAAGATTATTAAGGGCTTAAATAAATTCCAGTGATGTTTTATATTGAAGAAATAGTACGTGCCTCTTCCGAGTTGTCTATAATCTAATTCTGTCATTGGGAATTCTGTAATTCCATTGAGGATTGTATTAAAGTTTATTTTTATTATAATCGATATCAAGATTGATTCCTGATTAAACTTTCTGTGGAAAATTGATGATTGGTTTTTTTTTCCAAATTCTAAAGTAAATAGCTAACCTTCAATTCCTCAAACGATATTTAACATAATGACTTTTTTATTGGGGTGCTTGTGCAACTAGGTATTTTAAAACTAATCCAAATTTTGGGTTAATCGGACCAATTGTCAATTCAATCAATTTGGCTTTTAAATTTAATATTGTGGCATAATTTATTTTCCTCACAGGAAGTTGCGGTCCCTCATACCGAAGGTGCTACTCCTTTATCAATTCTTGGTGATGCTGTACTGATTAGGTATGTTAAAATTGAAATATAAACTTTTTTGTGTAGATGCTGAAATCAACTGGTGTCAACACACTCAAAACTAGGAAATTTACTTATTAAACTGAAAGTTACCATGGACTCGATTTAGATAGTATTTTACCTATTCCACATTGACTCCTATGCAAATTAAATTTTCACTCACTCGTGTGTTCTTGATTTTTAAACTTCTCTCACCAGCTCATACATACTGATCACAATATATAGATTTCTTGCTAACGAAATCGTAAGTATTTATAAGTTAATAAATGTTTCTACAGAAATTGGCAAATGTATGGTCTACCTCGAGATCCGCTATCCGTGGAGTCGGCGGTACTGATGTCAAACTCACGACGATGGCCACTCATTATAGATCCACAGACTCAAGCCAATAAATGGATTCGTGCTATGGTGAATACTTGTTTAAACATTGTTTACTATTGATTAATTATTTCTTATAATAAACTCTGATAGTTTAGCTCTAGTTATCATGGGCTAAGTTATTTTAAGACTCGAACAATGGTTCGATTCAATGGAATGTTGTGGGCATTAGCTAAAACCGTATGTATTTATTCACAAAATTATTCTCAGCCATATTAATTCACCGTTTACTAGTTCATAAGCATCCCTTTAGCAACAAATTGTATTGTAAATAGCACAATAATTTTCTATTTTATTCATTAAGAGTAAGCTTTGTTATGAATTAATTAGTAAAGAATTCATTTTTAATAGGCCATCTCTGTATGAAATAAACGGAGAGGAAAAAGCAGCTCTTGCTCAGTTTCTTGCAGTTTTTTCTAAGCAAAAGTTCTCCCAGCGTGAATTTGCTAAAACTGAATAAATTATATTGAATTTGAAACTTTAATGAGCTGAGCTAATATTTTCCTGGCAGGGTAAAATCGAAGGTCTGATCGTATGTAAACCTAACGACAGAGATTTATTACGGAACTTTGAGTCGGCACTGCGGTTTGGGAAACCAGTTTTATTGGAAAACGTTGGACAAGAGCTAGACCCTGCTTTGGATCCCGTATTGAAGGTTTCGATTTGATTACTAATTAATGTAATTCGAAAATGTGTTATAACTCTAACGCCCGTTTTTACTAAACCTAGGAGTCACCCAAATATGTCTCCTAAATATTTGGGAATTGTCTAAGGTAATGCAACGCTTAAAGTTAGGCATGCATTGCTTGGCTCCTAGCGTTGAGCATTTGCATAATGTTATATATATATATATATTTACTCTTCGGCTGTAACGGATGAGACAAGAGTTAAAATCAATGTAGTAACCTGGAATCAAGGAGTATATAATTAGAATGAAGTTATAACCTTTAGTTTGTTTTTTTTTTACAAAATTTTATATATTGACAATGACACCTTGTGTAAATAAAGGACCATACATATTTTTTTGTGTTTTATTACTTCAAAATATATATGTATTTTTATTATTATTTCTTTACGTGTAAAAGCCATTAACTTGACATTTGTGTAAACGCAAATAAAAAATACATTTAATAAAAAATATGAAAAAGAACTAAAGTATGCAAAATCATACACAAAGTTGCCTATTTATGTAAGTGCTAAGTTAACTAGCGTTACGGATTTGGTGTAACGAGAAATCTGCTAACGCTTCTCTTAATATTAAATGGTTTTTAGTTTAACTATGTCTTATTCTAAGTTAGTGAAAACGAGCATAAGTATCTGTTAAGTCGGTCGATTTCAACGATAATGATGTTTTTATTTAGTAGAAATTGATATTGTTTTTGTAGATGTTTAGAGTTGTCGATATATAATGAGCTATTTTCTTCAGAGGCAATATTTTCGTCAAGCCGGGCAGTTGGTGTTGAAATTAGGCGATTCACTGATACCTTATATGGCAGGATTTAAGCTTTATATCACCACTAAGTTACCAAATCCAAAGTATACGCCAGAAACTTCTGTCAAAGTGCAGATTGTCAACTTCGCACTAGTACCAAGGTACGAGGGTCAAACTGAAAGTTCTTAGAACTGGCCACTTATAAACAATATAATAAAAAATAATTCTAAAATTTGAAAATATAACTCTTTGCCAATATTACTGAGTATATATTTCATTCATTTGTCATTTGTTTTACGATTTGGCGGCAAATGAAAATTGTCTGTGTCACGTCATCATGAATTTAACACGAGAAAATTTTCGTGCAATGGAGTTTTTTATGACTTTCGATGTCCATTTAAGTCAACAAGAAAGTTATGATAGACTACGATTGGCCTTTCACGATGAAGCCCCATCTCGTGCGACTGTTTACAACTGGTTTTAATGAGTTTAAACGTGGTCGCACTAATCTCACTGATGATTTACGTGAGGGACGGCCTTCTACGGCGACGACTGAAGATAACATCTGTGTTGTGCGGCGTATGATAGAGACTGACAAAAGAGTGACCTATCAACAGATTCGGACAAGCTTAGGCATCGGTATGAGTCAAGTGCACAAAATCCTCCACGAACATTTAGCGGTCAGGAAGCTTTGCGCCCGGTGGATACCTCATAATTTGACTGAGGCTCAAAAACTCCATCGTGTGGATTGGTGTCGTAAAATGATTGAAAGATTTAACGGAGGTGACTCAAATGCTGTGTTCGACATACTAACAGGTGACGAAAGCTGGATTACTGTTATGATCCTAAAACCAAAAGACAATCTGCTCAGTGGGTGTTTCCTTTCGAGGAGTTGCCAACTAAAGTGAAGAGGAGATCGAAGTGCGGGAAAAAAATGGTGGCCTCGTTCTTTGGAAGGATAGGTCATTTTGCAACAATTGTGTTAGAGGATCAAAAAACAGTTTCTGCAGAATGGTACACTACCAATTGTTTGTCACTTGTCTTGGAAAAGTTCGAGAGAAACGACCTCGCAGTAGGATCCTCCTTCACCACGACAACGCCTCGTCGCACACCCGCCAAGCGAACGATCGACTATTTGGCGACATCAAACGTTGAATTACTGGGTCACCCGCCGTATAGCCCCGACCTCGCGCCTTGTGATTTTTATTTATTTCCAAAAATTAAGAAAAACTTAAAGGAAAGCGGTTTATGAATGCTGAAGAAGCGGTGGCTGCGTATCGCGATGCCATTGAAGAGACCCCTAAGGACGAGTGGGCAAAGTGCTTTTCCCAGTGGTTCCATCGCATGCAGCGGTGTATTGACGTGAATGGACAATATTTTGAAAAGATATAATAAAACTAATAACTGGCTAATGTAATCAGTTTTTGATTTTTCTAAGAACTTTCAGTTTGACCCTCGTATAATAATATTTTTTTTAACTAACTAAGTATTATCTTGATGATAGTCGTATCATATAGCGTGGGTATCTACCTCGCAAAGAATACCTGTATTAAGTAAGTATTGATATATTTACTAAGCGATATGACAGACATCGTCTCGTCTAAATGTTGGACCTATAATAAAAGCCAAACAAATTTTAATATTAGTAAATTTAAATATTAATATGTCTATTTACAATGTACATAAATGTTTTAATCAGGACATATTTGTTAAAGTTATAATTTTAAAGAATTTGTAGTCACATATTTTCGATGTTATATCTAAAATATGCCTGTTTAAATTTAACATTACAATATCTAGAATTTTAAACCGAACAGTTACCCGTTGTGCCACACGACGTTTGTTATAATATTTTATATGTTTTTTGGTAACATTGTAATTTTTACAAATGTTTAACTTTTGTCCCTATGTCTATGATTATAGACAATAATATTATTGTCAGGTATTAGACCCAGAATATTTCATACAATTTGATACGTTATTTGGTTACTTTAGTGGTCTTGCAGAGCAGTTGCTCTCAATCGTGGTGGCTCAAGAGCGGCCTGACTTGGAAGAGTTGCGTGGTCAACTGATTGTTTCGCGAGCGCAAATGGCATCTCAACTGGCAGAGATGCAAGCTGACATTCTTTATGGCCTGTCGAATAGCGAGGGTTCACCAGTGGACGATCTACCGCTTATTTTGACACTGGAAGCCATCAAAATTAAGAGTGCTGAGATACTTGTAAGTTTTGTAGAACGTTTCAAGTTTTGTAATGGCATTTAATGCTGCTTGTAGTTTGGACTCGAGTTACTCGGTTCTTCAGAAGGTACGTAAAGCCTCGAAGTACGTAAGGACTCGAGTTACTCGGTTCTTCAGAAGGTACGTAAAGCCGTTGGTATTATTTATACCCACCAATACGCATTGGGCCAGCGTAAAGGGTTATGGACCATTCAACTGTGCGTTTTTCTAGAAGTTTCCTGTCTCGCACGGCCAAATTCTGGAACAGTTTGTCGCCAGCGGTATTTCCAGACTAATACGACCTTCAAACTTTCAAGCGTAGAGCATATTCGTCCCTCAAAGGCAGGCAGCGCGCTTGTAGCCCCTCTGGTGTTGCAGGTGTCCATGGGCGACGGTAATCGCTTACCATCAGGTGATCCGTCTGCTCGTCTGCCCCCTATCCCATAAAATAAAAAATTCACCTTTACCATCTAAGGATGGTAAAGGTGAATTTTTGGCCTGAGCCCCTACAGTGGGGACGTAACGGGGCTAATGATGAATCTAAGCCGACAAAATCATAGTAACATTTATATACAAACTGTGTATATACTGGATCTCTTGTATAATTCCTCATTTAATCTAAAAAAGAAACTTAAACATTATATTATTCGTTTGTCAACTATCAGATAAAAGTAGAAGATATAGAGAAGACTACCACAGAGATTGAAATTGCACGCGAGGACTACGTGCCGGTCGCGAATCGTGGGCAGATTCTGTTCTTTTGCTTATCGGGCATGGCTAACGTCGATCCTATGTACCAATACTCACTCGAGTGGTTTGTCAAATTATTTATAAGAAGCATGGCAGAAACGGAGCCAAACGGTTAGTTAAATATACCTTATTATTATCACGGTATATTGATTTTTTTTTAATATTATTTAAACACAAAAAAGTTAGCACATTGATCTAGAAACTAGACAATTATTTTTGATCACATATGAAACTGTGATATAGTTATGATAGAAACTAGCAGTCTACTTTTTTTTTTAATTATCTTGAATTAGTTTACAAATAAAAATTCCCTTTAATGCAGAGGACATTATGGAACGCGTGGAAACTATTATCGAACACTTCACATTTTTACTGTACGTGAACGTGTGTCGCAGTCTATTTGAACGTCACAAGCTACTGTTTGCCTTTCTATTGTGTGCACGCATCCTACTAGACCGACGCGTCATACGAAAACAGGAGTTTGACTTTCTGTTGAACGGTGCGAAGATTGAAGAGGTACAATTTTGTTTACTTTAGAGGTTACACTTTAAACTTTAGAATTATGTGATGTGGTATTATGATACTTATCTCAGTGCATAAATGTTTAAGGTTTCACATTAGTAATATTTTAAAAACTAGTATATTTTGACATAGTTGTACAAACGTCCATTAAGATTATAATGACGGTGACACCAATGAAAATTTGCATTGGTTATGTCGCTTTAAATCAATGACAATTTTAAGGACTTTTGTGTAACTAGGTGTTAAATTGATATTTGAAGCAGTACTAATTATGATCTCGGGTAAAAATCTTTTTCCCCATCAGGAAATTGAAAACCCTGAACCTAAATGGATATCGCCTCGTATGTGGATAGATATACAGCAGATGGCGTCTTTACCTACTATGAAACAATTCGTGTTAGATGACTTCTTCCAGCAGCTCAAGTTCTTCAAGTCTTACTACGACTCTTACAACCCTCAGAGGTTAAAATATCAAATTATATATACTTTGATTTCATGCAAAGTAAAATTTTTACTATGTATTATAGCAATCGTGAATGTCTGTCGAATTTGATCAAATAATTCACTATATTTTTGGGCTTACATCACATACTTTCCATATTTTATTTCAAGCTTTATAACCTACACTTCAGATAAGAAACAGAGTAATTGTGTAACGAAATGTTGCAGATTGCCCTATCCTAAGCCGTTGGATACTCAATTAGATGCCTTTCAGAAAATACTTGTACTCAAGTGTGTGCGACCAGATAAATTAGTGCCTGGATTGCAAGTACGGTGACAATATATTTCATTTGGATAGGTTTTAGAATTTTTATTTTCGAAATATTACTGTGATGTTAGTAATATAATTACATGCTAATGCAGTTTCATAAAGTCTTTATAGACTTTATGAAATTGTAGATGTATAGAAATTATGGTCGGTGCATATTTGATGGAAAATGAGTCGCGGAACGTGAGAACTGACATAATATACGAATTGCATTCAGGTTGCCCAATATGTTAAGAAGCTTTTATATCTTTTAATTATTATTCCACAAAAATATATCCTTTTCGTACATAATTATTAAAAAACAATTTTGGGTAAAAATATTCTATATAGGAAATATAAAAATGGGCGAACAGTATGTTCGTATAAAAACATATACATGAAGAGGACTGGAAAAAACAATAATTATTCTAATATTATTAATAATATTACAAGGACTAAATATTTAATTGTTTGTTTTACTTTAATAGTCTCCTAAACTACTGGACCGATTCTAAATTTTCTATCACCTTCGGGAAGCTACGTCGTAAGCGGTTCACATTAGGATTTATTTACGCGGGTGAAGTAGCGGAAAAGATTTAATATTACACATATTTATTAGGTAGGTAGACTTCTTAAACATCCATAAGGAAGGCCTGAGCCCTTGGGGCGTAAGAGGGCTGATGAGGACTTAGTAGGTGGTACCTATGTCACAGAGTAAGTAATTTTTACAGGACTACGTTGTGGCTGGTTTGGGTGCTCGATTCGTGGAGCCACAACCGGCGGACTTAGCCGCATTGTTTGCAGAGTCCGACCCTTTGGCTCCTATAATCTTTGTACTCTCTACCGGGACAGATCCCGCAGCTGGTACTTATTTAAAAATAACACAGCATATGTATTTTATTTTTAACAAGCTATTATTAAAATCAGTAGCCAGTTAGGGGCGAGGGATAAAAAGCGCTCGTGAAGAGTGTTCCTTGATTTAGGAAAATAAAGATTTCTCTCCTCCTTTCTTCGAAACTACTGCTATTGAAGTATTGAAATATTATAGGAAAATATTTATTTCTCTAACTTTATTAAAAGTCCGTTGTTAAAAAACTCAATATTTATATGGGGCTCTTACTATAGTAGATCACAAAAACAAATAAAATAATTATATTAACGGTCGAATAGAATATTAGAATAGGAAACGTCTCGACCGACTGACTAACTGGTCGACCAACAGACTGAGAATTTCTTCATTGTTAGCTCCATGTAGAAACTTTGAACCAAGCATTATTAACAAGATTATTAGTAGGTAAATACATGTAAATTGTGGTGTAATTTTTCTAAATAATTTATCAGCCTTGATCATACAGAGTATTTTTAGACTTTTCCAAAAGAGACGAATTCAGACACAGCATAACAGATTTCAGGTTCATTATTGCAAAAGTTTTATTTGTAAGACTATTCCTTACCAACGAGTAATGTATAACGATGAATACTTCTAATACGTGCGTAGTTCTGGACAGGGTCTTAGAAAAGTTATACCGACGCGAATCAATTTTGTGTCGAGCACAAAGCGTTAAATTTTTGTATTCGACATTTTGTGGTAAAGGAAATTACTGATTCGCTTTAGAAATGTTTGTATTGACTTACGAATGACATGTATTGACACCTATCGGTTGCGTAAGTCAATACAAAAAAAATATTTTTGTTTTCGGTACAAATTTGTTTTGCAAGTAGCAATAGTAGTAAAGTATTGAGTAGCTCGACGACTCAGGTTAGTGCATTCGATCTGCCGTAGTGGAGGTTAACCAAATTGAATAAGGCTCGTAATCATATGACAAAAAAACAATTTTCGTATGCACTTCCGAGTTTTAGGAGGCTCATTGACCTATTGGTTCTGCCTGACTTTCGTCAATACCCACAATCAAAAGATGATTATGCCTCGTTTTCTTGTGCAGTTCCATCCATAACAGGGAAGGCCTGAGCACTGTGGATATTATCAAAACTGTCGATTTTTGACATGACAATTTTTTATACTAAGACTACTTTTAAATTATGATAGATCTTTTAAAGTTCGCGGACAAAATGAAGATGGGGAAACGTTTCGAGAGTATCTCTTTAGGGCAAGGTCAGGGTCCTTTGGCGGAGAACATGATGAGAATTGGCTGCGACTTCGGCAATTGGGTCTTTTTCCAAGTAAGATTAATGAATTAAGTTATTTACAGTAATAATTATTTGTAAAATACGCTACAGTAAATGAATAAAGTGTAGTATGGACTATGTCATAATTTATAATGGTAGACCATTTTAAAACTCCTTATGAAAAACGTAAATGTAATAAAATTTATGGATCGCGTGATCATGGATAGATTAATCTTGCTTACTGTTAGATGGAAACCATCACCGTGTATATTTTTTTATGTTAATAATAATAATATGAGAGTCATTTGAATTTGTAAATTAACACAAAAATCCATAAACATTCCAAAGTGATTGCTAGCGACGAATCAACCGAAAAATTCAAATTGAAATGCAAAAATAATTAAGAATATGAAATATATACACAAACAAAACACACACGAACACAAATAATATAACTATGTAATTGTACATCTTATATGAAGAAGCATACAATTTAATTTAAATCCCGAAATTTCAAGAGCGTTGTTTCTTAACCAGATGAAGATAAATACTTTTTTTGGCGTTATCAGAACTGTCATCTGTCTCCCTCCTGGATGCCTGTGTTGGAGCTTAATGTGGAACACATACAACCGGAGCTAGTACACAAGGACTTCAGACTATGGCTCACATCTACACCATCACCGCAGTTCCCTGTTGCCTTACTGCAGAATGGTTATATAATATTCTATTGCTGTAAAAAAAATATGGATGAAGTATATGATATTCTAATTTCATTCGAGTCTTGTCTTATGCCCGTTTTCGCTAACCTAGAAAAAGGCATATCTTAATTGGAAACTTAAGAATAGATTAAGCAGATTTGTCGTATAGATAAAAAGTCTGAAAATTCAAAAAATCTCATTGTTTGTACCTTAATTCTAATATATAAACATCTTAATTCCAACTTACTTAATTGATTTTATCCCTTGACATAGCCGAAGAGTAAATGTATATGTCCCATTACGCAAATGCTCAACGCTAGACGCCGCACAATGCATGTAATAATTTTATGTTACTTAAAGTTAACAACTTTGACCGGTGGCTCCTTGTCATTAGTGAAAAGCATTTTCACCTTCGACAATGCTCAAAAATTTTGGTGTCAGATTTAGGCGATTCATAAGTTTAGTGAAAACGGGCATTAGTTTACGCCAGTAATATCTTTTATGAATGGAGGACGATATCTTTAACAATATATTAAACTCCAGTTTTAAGTGTAGCCAAGTTTAGTTGAAATTTCATATCATTTGCATGATTTCAGCGATTAGCAGAAAATCAATGTTGTTTCAGGCAGGTTATTATGTATAAACATACTACCATATAAATAGTGCATTTTGAATCTAAATCTAAAAAAATAAAAAACAAAAACATGTTACAAAACCTTTTTATTATAACCACGTATTAGAGATTGTAATATAATTATTATTTGTTTGTACTGGCCGGTAATTAGCCTGAAACAAATACCAACTTTCAGTATGGAGATCAAACATTAAAACATAACTGCTGTTTTTTTATTATTATGAGGGTATCATATATTTCCTTTTTAATATATGAATTAATCCAACGACATTTTTTTTCGGATTATTAGTAAAAAAAATGGCATGATAAGCAAAATACATATAAAGTGACTTCTACGTATTTTCACACTGTTACTTATGTTACTTCCATGAAATACATAAATCTTCCTAATACGAGGGTCAAACTGAAAGTTCTTAGAACTGGCCACTTATAAACAATATAATAAAAAAATAATTCTAAAATTTGAAAATATAACTCTTTGCCAATATTACTGAGTATATATTTCATTCATTTGTCAGTTGTTTTACGATTTGGCGGCAAATTGAAAATTGTCTGTGTCACGTCATCATGAATTTAACACGAGAAAATTTTCGTGCAATGATTTTTTATGACTTTCGATGTCATTTAAGTCAACAAGAAAGTTATGATAGACTACGATTGGCCTTTCACGATGAAGCCCCATCTCGTGCGACTGTTTACAACTGGTTTAATGAGTTTAAACGTGGTCGCACTAATCTCACTGATGATTTACGTGAGGGACGGCCTTCTACGGCGACGACTGAAGATAACATCTGTGTTGTGCGGCGTATGATAGAGACTGACAAAAGAGTGACCTATCAACAGATTCGGACAAGCTTAGGCATCGGTATGAGTCAAGTGCACAAAATCCTCCACGAACATTTAGCGGTCAGGAAGCTTTGCGCCCGGTGGATACCTCATAATTTGACTGAGGCTCAAAAACTCCATCGTGTGGATTGGTGTCGTAAAATGATTGAAAGATTTAACGGAGGTGACTCAAATGCTGTGTTCGACATACTAACAGGTGACGAAAGCTGGATTTACTGTTATGATCCTAAAACCAAAAGACAATCTGCTCAGTGGGTGTTTCCTTTCGAGGAGTTGCCAACTAAAGTGAAGAGAGATCGAAGTGCGGGAAAAAAAATGGTGGCCTCGTTCTTTGGAAGGATAGGTCATTTTGCAACAATTGTGTTAGAGGATCAAAAAACAGTTTCTGCAGAATGGTACACTACCAATTGTTTGCCACTTGTCTTGGAAAAAGTTCGAGAGAAACGACCTCGCAGTAGGATCCTCCTTCACCACGGCAACGCCTCGTCGCACACCGCCAAGCGAACGATCGACTATTTGGCGACATCAAACGTTGAATTACTGGGTCACCCACCGTATAGCCCCGACCTCGCGCCTTGTGATTTTTATTTATTTCCAAAAATTAAAGAAAAACTTAAAGGAAAGCGGTTTATGAATGCTGAAGAAGCGGTGGCTGCGTATCGCGATGCCATTGAAGAGACCCCTAAGGACGAGTGGGCAAAGTGCTTTTCCCAGTGGTTCCATCG